TTGTCTTTTTTAACCTGTCCTGTAATGTCCTGGCAGTAGAAGCAGACAGAATGGTTGATCTGGTTGCCAGAGTAGTTTTACTCCTACAGCCAGAGGCATGTGGGATGTTGCTCCTGTTGCGTAGGAGCCGTTATTATGTTTGTGGAGTGTTAGGCCACATTTGCTTACGCACTGGAGTAGACAGGCAGGGAGAAAAGAGACAGCACAACAGGGAAAGAGAGGGAGGGGGAAAGGAGGGACAACAGTGCACAACAAATACCGTAATTTCCAGACTATAGAGCGCACCTCAATATAAGCCGTACCAACAAAAAAAAAGGTTTTCTACACACACACACCGCACTCAAATACAAGCCACGGCGCAGCAGTCACATGCAGGTCTCCGGCGCACAACGCATGTACGGCCATAACATAAGATAATTAGACAGGAAGACGCTACACGGAGGTTTTTCGTTGTTGTTTTAATTCAACAAAAGGAATTTTAAACACGGGTGAACGTGCCTGCAAGTTTAGAAAAGAAAGCAGCACTGATAGCGTTCACATTTCTGGATGGTTATAACATAAAAACAGCACTGACATGTTATTACCGGTCATTTGCATGTTTAGAAGAAAAGAACAGTGCTGACACAGCATTAATAAGTCCTGGATGATTAGAAAATAAAAACTGCACACAAAACATGCCTGGTTAGTAAATAAAACACACTTGCCTACCAGAAGAAGTCATTCGCTCTCATCTTCCTCCTGCGCACTAAAGCCATTAAAGTCCTCTTCTTCAGTGTCGGAGTTGAACAGCCTCAGAAGAGCTTCGTCACATACCTTTTCTGTGGCGATGCCAGTGTCGCTGTCCGTGTTGCTGTCATCATCCCCGGGTGAAGCTGAATTGAATGAGTTCTTCCCGCTGCCGTCTGCAGCGCCGAACCATGGATTCATTCAAGCCAAGCTTACGTGCGGCAGCACTGTTTCCCTCCTTTACTGCCAGATGATGGCCTTCAACTTAAATGCAGCATCATATGAACTCATACGTGTAGTTTCCATGATGAGGGGGTATGGATTTGAAACAAATTCTTCGTGGTGCCGGCTGCTTGCATGTGCTAAATTAAAATGAGCACTTTCTTCCATTTCCACTTTTGACTTCCACCTGTTTCACTTTCTGCTAAAGCGCCCCCTAGTGGCAGGTGAAGGAAAATCTTCAGTAAAGCCGCACCTCATTATAAGCTGCACGGTTCAAAGCGTGGGAAAAAGGTAGCGGCTTATAGTCCGGAAAATACGGTAAACAGCCAATACCCAGACAAGGCAAAACAGTGGGATCAACATAATATACAAATGAATAGAAATCTGCATCTAAATCTGCTTTTTGTTCTTAAATGTTGCGTATGTGATGAGGGAGGAGCTGCCTGCAGCAGCCCAGGTCCCACCAGCGCCACAGTCCGGGGCCACACACGCCCCAGAAGCCGGTTACAAATGGAAGGACACCAATAAGCCAGCCCAGAGGAGTCCCACCCTAAGCTGGTTATTTAAACCTGTTAACGCTAACACTGTATCAAAGCAGTGAAGCTGCTGTGAAGCTATCAGCTGATCTCGTTTACACTCCTGCAAACATCTGATGGTCATTTTGTGTCTCCTGCCAGTCTTGGCTGGTATTTCTGCTTTTGCTGCAGCTTGAATTGAGGCCATGGGAAAAGCAAACGAGGAGGGAAGAAAAGGTTTTGGGTCATCTATTTCAGACGACGCAGACCAAATCAGGCCGTGACGACTGTAGTTAACCCACTTTGACTCATCTTCTGGTTTAATTTTCATCCTACCAGCGTGCATTTTTATTCTCTTGGATCTTCTGTGGCTGTGACTAAAAAATAAATGTGGGTTACAACTCAGACATCAAAAGGTTTACTAAAAAAGGAAATGTAGCGCCGGTATGGCAAGCTGTTGGTGGATTATTTGATACGCCTGATGCAAACATTTTGCTTCACCAGTTTGAGACTACACTAGACTACGTGTGACAGGAGTCCTGAGAAGTGAGGAAAAGCAGAGGTAGAAGAAAAAGCTGTCTCACTTTCATCTGAATGGGTTTATTCTTCTGTTGACTTTATGACTTATAAGCTAATTAAATTATGTTTTTCTGGGCGGGGGAATAAATGCTTTCTAAATTTATTGCATCCATCCATCCATTTTCAGCCACTAAGCCTAAGTCGAGAGGCCGAGACTTCCCTCTCTCCAGCCACTTGGGCCAGCTCCTCCGGGGGAATCCTAAGGTGTTCCCTGGCCAGCCGAGAGACATTGTCCCTCCAGCGTGTCCTGGGTCTTCCCGTAGGTCTTCTGGTTGGACGTGCCTGGAAAACCTCACCAGGGAGGCGTCCAGGTGGCATCCTAATCTGACGCTCGAGCCACCTCAACTGGCTCCTCTTGAGGTGGAGGAGCAGTGGGTCTACTCCGAGCCCCTCCCGGATGACCGAGCTTCTCCCCCTATCTCTAAGGGAAAGTCCAGACACCCTGTGGAGAAAACAAATTTTTGGCTGCTTGTATCTGCGATCTCGTTCTTTCTGTCACTACCCAAAGCTCATGACCATAGGTGAGGGTAGGATTGTAGGTCGGTCGGTCGGCTCAAGAAAAAGTCTGCTCAATCCCTCCTTGTACACAGCTTCTGCACTGGAAGCCCAGTCCAGCCTGTTGTCTATCACAACACCCAGGTACTTGTAGTTCTCCACTTCTTCTACAGCCTCCCCCCTGACCTGTAGTGGCTGTGAAGGCGTCCTCTTCTTCTTGAAGTCAATCACGATCTCTCTGGTTTTACTCACGTTCAGCCTCAGGTGATTCTGTTCAGACCACTCCACAAAGTGATCCACCAGTGCTCTGTGCTCATCCTCCTCTCCCTCTCTTATACACCACACAACAGCCGAGTCATCAGAGAACGTCTGCAGGTGACATGACTCGGAGTTGTACTGAAAATCACTGGTGAATAAGGTGAAGAGGAAAGGCGAAAGCACAGTTCCCTGTGGAACTCTTACATCACTGACCACCACATCAGACTGGACGTTTCCCAGGCAGACAAACTGTGGCCTGCCTGTCAAGTAGTCAGTAATCCAGGAGATCCATGCGTCGCCAACACCCATCACCCGCAGCTTCTCACCTGATGCTTAAAACGTGTCAACACAGCGGATTTAATAGAACTATGAAAGAACAAACCGTGCTTGTAGTGAGTGGCGCTTTTGTTACTAACCTGCTGAAATAAAAGATGAAGCAGTCCACAGTTAGAGGCAGCTACAATAACCAACATGTCTGCATGAGCGTGGCCGTCAGAAACCAGACCAACTAACCTGAAAAGTAACTTAAGTCATGATGCTGGATGCCTTTCTGCAGCAGACAGCGTGTTCAGCCCGCTAGCCTTCGCTAGGAGTAATAAATAAATATTAACATAACGACTCTGACCATCTCGGATTACTTGTTACTGTTGGTAGAAATGCCTTACAACTTCTCCATTTATCCACAGAGCAGCTCTTCTTAGCAACAGCCGCTGACCGGAACTGGAAATGACCCTTTCCACCCACTGAACTGCCCTTCAAAATAAAACATCACTCTCGTATCCTTACCTCTTAAAACTGTCACAATAAAATGCATTGTTAATAAATCTCACAAAGTAGATTTTTTTTTTTTGCTTTTTTGCCACAAAGTAGAGATTTTTTTTTTTTGCATTATTTAGAGTGTTTATGGCTTTCGTTTTAAATCTGTTACATGTAGCTGCTATCAGTAACAATCCGTTTCATTTTGACTGAATCATTGTGATGCTTCAGCATGTAGGTGTAGACTCTCATTCATCTTGGACATCAACTTGAGATTTAATTGAAAACTTCTGGACTTTTCTTGTTATTACCCGTCATCCAAGAGACATTTTCAGCTCTAAACCTTGGGTTGTGAGCTGGAAGCTTAGAAGTTGTGGTCAACACTAATTGTGCTGCAAGTCTTTATTCCTCCAAATTAATAAGGTGATGTTATTGTTCCTTTATTCCCAGATCATGTAGTCTGTAGCACTTATAACCTCGTAGAAAATGTATGGCCATTCCAAGTGATTGGTATCAGTAGCAAAGAACCTGATCGGAGCATCCCCACTTAAAAGCTTCAGTACCTCGACACCTCTGTTGAGCATGCATTTAACAATTAGCCCAAGTGTATCACTGCTTTTTAGACAGGAGCATAAACCAGAATGCAGGCTTGAAATGTTTGTAGCCGAGGTTCAGCTCCACCAGCAGATGCCGCTGTACGAGGCTGAGTGAATGAAGCATTTTATGAAGCTTACAATCAAGCCTCACGATTAATTCTGCCATCACCAATTTCATCTTCTTAGTCTGAACCGGTTTTTAAACTTACAACCCTGAATAGAGGATTTTCACATGTAACTGCTAGTCCGAGCAGCCAGGGACACAACATTCAATTATTAAGTTTGTATTTAATGAAATGGTCAAAACCCTACTTTAGCATTTACAAGGAAACTTATTTACAATCATCAGCAGAAGCATAGGACCTTGCTGCACTTAGTGGTCGAGTCCTGTAGGAATTTCAGTGGTGGGGCTTATGTTTTTCAAGTGGCGTTGCATCAACCAGACAATTGCTGCAGTCATTTATGTTGATTACACTTTGGTCTATGCTGCAGTCGAGCTATCTTTTACATTAGTCCTAAATAAACCGTTTTACAGCAAGTCAGGGCTTCTTAAACTTAAAAAAATTAGCTTTTGTTCAGAAGTTTGAGTCAACTTTCATTAAAGCTTCAGTCCAACAGATCTTACAGCCACCCCCGTAGTTGCATGCAGTGATTCAGCCTCGACTCATCAGCAGATCTTTGTTCGTATTAAACGAGCACCAGCGTGTTCAGCAAATGTCAACACATGCAGCCAAACCAGGAAAAAGCTATGCAGGAGAGCGGCTGTCCCGAGTGGGCCAACACCAAAACCATTCCCACTGAAATAGTCAGCTGTTGCAGATGGGGAAACCAGCTCAGAGAAATAAGAAGCACCTTCAGGCTAAACCAAACTCAAGTTTATTGGGTCAGCTTCCAGCTTAAGAAAATCAAATTAATGTCACGTCACATTCACACAAACTAAACGAGTCAGCTGAATTAAAATCAAAAAGACCCAACTCCTAAACCCTGCAAACAAAAACTCAGCTGTCTGTTCACATTCCCATCTAACCTTTAACAGGCACCACCTCGGGCACCTCTAAAGGCCGAGGCTGCTTGATTGCGAACAAGCCGCGCAGGTTGACCTCTGGGTCGACGTAGTGAGGGATCTTTCGTTCGTTGAAGAGTCCCGACAGGTTGGCTTCCACCTTGCCACGTCTGGAGATCCTCATGCGCAGAGCGAAGAGGCGCTGCAGGTTCTCCTCCACCAGGGGCTGATTGCTTCCATTCAGGCGTTTCTGCCACGTTTTCTTTGGCTTCCAACATTTCTGTTGAGTCACGGAGATTCAGTAAAACATGAATCCTGACTCTTATTTCAAGCCAACAGGAGGACTTACCCTCAGGGCTGAGGAGCTTGGATCATGGCGAAGGAGGTGTCTGTACATACTCTCCTGGATAAGAACATTAATGTTCGGACATTCAGTCATCCAAGGATCATAAAAATTACGACGTTAACCCACCCTCATGGCAAACATGCGTGGGCAGTCTGGGAACGAGCACTTGTACTTCAGAAGCTGAAGGTGGACTTTGCGGATGTGGTGCTCGAGGTTAAAGGTCGTGGTGAAATAAGCCTGGCAGTCTTCTCTGGGACACATCAGCACCGGCTTATGGGACGCGTGCTTCCGTTTGTGTCTCCGCAGCGCGTCCGCTTTCTTAAACTCCTTCTGACACACGCTGCAGGTAAATGCAACTGCAACATAATAAAAGGGATGGAGCGTGAGCTTGGTCTCAAAATGAACACATTCCCGATGGCTTCACTCACCTGGATGTGTAGCCATGTGCTTCTGGAGCTTGCTCCAGGTGTGTTCAAGTACTTGACAGTTAGCATGAAGGCAGCGGTAACCTGCAGGCAGGAAGGTTAGGAGAATTAAACATTTACACAAAACAGGACCAACAAGGTGTTTCCAGAACACAGACCGACCTGCATGTTTCTTCTCATGAGCTTTACGGGCAACATGGGAGTCGAATGTGGCCCCACAAGCATCCTTAGAGCATCTTAAGAGTCCAAACAAAGACAAAATAAGTTGAAACAACTTAAAAATGCCAGATCCAGTATGTGTATTACACATGTTCAAAAAGAAATCAATGGAAAAACAAGTGTTTCATTAAAAATTAGTTTGCAAAACAGATCCTTCACTTGTTTGTCTGGTGATAAAACTGATGTTAAACATTTAAATTAATATTGATAGTTTGTGTGATTATATAGAACACAAAATGAAGTTAAATCTAATTTAAAATGCAATTTTTAAAAAATTCATTTAAATGTCTTTAATGGTTAATGTTTTCTGTCAGATGAATGAGCAGAATTAAAAATAAATCTGCTTTGCCAATCTGCTGCCTGAATTATTAACAGCAATTATTAATGAGTTAACTGCAAAATCTGCTTTAATCAGAAGTGGTTCTGCTCTAGCAGTTTTACTGAATACATGTATACATGTACATAATGTGCTGCAGGAGGATGCAGCTCTATATAATTTTGCTTTTCTTAATCATTCAAGCAAACAAAAGTTTAGTTTTCCTTCACTCACTGAAAGTTTACACATTAAAGAGTAACTAAACCCCAGAATAACTTTTTTGCCCAATTGTATAATTGGGCCTTTACAAATGCAATATTTGTTTCTGTGCATTTGACATGTTTGTGTAAACATATCTAGAAACTAGGTCTTAAAAACGTCTTAGTGCTGCCCCCTGTGGCAGAACTGTGGCTACTGCATTTTAAACTTGTGATTGACTGGGGCTGGTACTGTTTCAAGTCATCGGTACAGTCTCCTCCCACTCCCCCCTCCCAGGATGGAAATTCCCCACACTTGGCCATGCCACCCTGCCTCCTGGCAACGCCCACTTTCATGGCATTTTTCAAATCTTGACTAGGGGTGGAGTTACGTTTTCTGATGGTGTGCAGTCCCTCAAACTATAAAAACTACATTATTAACTTTAAAAAGCTTCAGACTTCATAATTCAACAAAAACTAGATTCCTGAAAACGTGCGACTCTGATGTTAACACCAGAGCTTTACAGCAAATGCATACAAAGCTGAATCTCATGTTCAAATTACACTTAATCAGAATTGGTCTCAGAATGGGTGATAACATTTTAATCAACTTTACACAAGTGCCCATCTCTATAAACACTTCATGTTTTTCCAAGTGAAATAATGAAAATGCACAACACCAATCCTGAGAACACAAGCTCTGTTACCCACTGCATCTAACGCCTGTAGCCCAATTTATCCATTCACTAGTGGTGTTTTTACTTAGCTGTGTTATGGTTTATTGTGTAACTTTGTCCCTTTAGTTTGTATATTATGAGAGGCTCTTGAAAATGTAAACAGTGGGATAGTAAGAGGTAAAAACGATAAGACTCATTTAAAATGTCTTCATATTATGCAGATTATATGTGGATCTGATTATCTTACAGGGCAAATCTGATCCAACACATTAGATGTAAACATTAAAAGTCCTTACCTGAACTTAGCAGCCACGCTGTGCTGCTGCTGTAGGTGCAGCTTGAACAGTCTGCGCTTTTTAAAGGTTAAAGCGCAGTTCGGCTGGTTGCACTGGAATGAACAGAAATGGCCAAACGTGAACGTTTAAAGACTCGTGCAGCTTTCGCGCCATCTGCTGGACAAACCTTGAAGTAGTTCTCGTTTCCATGGACGAAGCGCACGTGCCTTTTCAGTTTGTCCGCGTAGTAAAACGTCTTGGCACACGTGGGTATGTGGCATCTACACCGAGCACGAGTCAGACCAAAACAGCAGGTGGAAAACAGTCTCGCGTGCGTTTACCTACCGGAAGTGCGCCAGGCCTTTGTGCTGGGACAGGTGGCGTCTCAGGTGAGCTGTCCTCTTAAAGCGGCGACCGCAGCTGGAAACTGGACACTGGCAGGGCCGCTGTGGGTGATAAAGTTTCATTCAAACACCTTTATAAGCAGATGCGTGTTTACTCGGGCCGTGTTCCCCTCTCACCGCCCCGGTGTGCACCGTCTCGTGCTCCTTCAGCTTCCACTCTCTGGGGAAAGTTGCTGCACATCCAGCGTGGCTGCAGCTGAAGGTCCTCCGCGGCGGAGCGCTCAGAGGTTTCCCACTGAAAACACCGTTCATCCTCAGCTGAAACCGTTACTTCTGTTTCTCTGAATGTTTCTGAGTCACCTCGTGGGACCGGCGGCGCTTCCGACGACCCGTTTTATGGCCTTTTCTAAGTGTACTTCAGATGCAACCAATTAAGTTAATTAACCAACAGCCTTTACTGCAGATTTGTTCCTATACATAAGACTCTTTATCGGTGTTGGGAGGAATTAAAACAGACAAACCCAGCTGCTATAAACCACTTTGACCCTTTAGCACAATGAGAAATGCTCTTTATTTGGGGAAGTTATGAAGTAATAGTGTTAAATGATGACACTAGGCCGAATTATCAGTATAAGGTTTGACAGAATTCATATAGATTTAATAAGCCTTTATAGATATCAGGCTCTTTTGATTTTTCACTAATCAGTGCATGTTTCAATGTTTACTGTGAGAAAACTGTCTATTATTCATACAAATGGTGTGTGTCTGATACATTAACATTATTATAAGCAGGTGGCAAAAATCTCGAGTTTATGCAGAAAGCAGTCAGAAATCTTCTAAATTTAGGAAATGGGCCTAATTAATTATTGAATTTAAAACAAAAATCGTGCATAGCCTTAGTTTAAAGAGCAAGTCACCCCCTACCAGAGTCATACTCCACTCCCACTTCCTGCTTAAAAAATCCAGAAAATGCTGTTTCCTGGCAGGGTGGAGCTGCTAACAAATACACAAACACTGGCTCACAACATTGTGAGCTCATAATGTACCAGCTAACATCATAGTGTACTTCTTAGCCAATAGCAGTGGCAGATTTAAGTGCAATTGCAGTGCAGAGTTTTTACCTGAAGACGGCACAACGCTGACAGTTTTGGGCAGAATATTTAAATATTAACTAAGATGCACTAAAGCGCCTAATTATTGACTACACGTGTCTACAGCACGATTAGACACGCATTTATACAGATTATCAGCCAACAAAAGTTGATTTGGGGGTGACTTGCTCTTTAAAGAGGTATTTCAATAAAAATCATTCTGGTTTATAAAAGTTTTGAAGCCATTCTGAACGCCATCTATAAGAAAGCTGTAAGGATCAGACAAAGTAATGATTACAGACTTGTACTGATTTACCCCCAAATTCCACTACCTCCGCTCCACTCCGACACGAACTCCGGAGCAAAATCGGTCCCGTTGTAGTCAATCAGAGCAATTCCACTACTGCGGCCGTGTTCCGGCGTCCGGCAAAAATAGAATCGATCCTATTTTTGCCGGACGCCGGAGCACCTCTGCAGTAAATGGACAGGAATCACAACTGCCCAACAGGAAAAGGAGCAAGCACAACTTCCGTTTTTGACAATAAATCGATAAACAAAAGGCATTTTTTGTTTCATATGCACAGGTTTAACAACTTTTAACAACTATCAATGGCGGCTGAACTTTAAATGCACAAAAGTAAGCCATAAATACAGTTTCTACTATCAAAGTAGACACACTTTGTTGATCCAAACACTGCTGATCTCTCAACACAAACGATGGGCAGAATAAACAGTTCATGCCGATGCTTCTCCCACACAGCGGGTGTTTGGATCTAACTTCCGTGTTTATTGCTCGGACTGTATCGCAAGATCTCGAAAATCCCGCGCATGCTTGTTTGCCCACCTCAGGTCTCCGCACCGGAGCGGAGCCGTTGTAGAGCGGGTACCAGTAAATATTGAGTTCGGAAGCGAGCTGCTGCGGAAGGCGGGGGCGGAGGTAGTGGAATTTGGGGGTTAGTCATTTCTGCACGATTTAAGGCACAAGGATTCTTACTCACATGTTCTCAACATCACTGAACAAATGAATGGATGAGCCAGTTTACTTCGGAATTAAGTTAAAACTGCAACCCTGAATCGTCCTCATCTGACCCTACAGGAGGTCATTAAAGGGCACGTGTGTTTGTATGGATAATTGAAACAACAGGACGTTTTATGTATTGGTAAACTGTTTTAGTTGAAAACGAATTTATTGTAAGTTTTTCTGTGTGCAACAAATACAACTTTGACTCTTAACTCATTCACTGCCAATGATGACTGAAGTCGTCATTTGCTTTTTTTTTTTTTTTACTGTGTGGGCGTCGGAACGAGCCCCCGCACGGTGAGAACAAACATCTCAGCTCTAAAGCTGATCTTCGTCCGCATACGTCACGTGATCAGGAAGCAGAACATCCATGTGTTAGGAGATCGTTTTGGGCCGCTGCTGTAAAAAAAAGTGAGGCGCGAATCGGAAAAGCTTCTGCCGATCACAATACAACAACGGATTATGAAAGAACGGATAACGCTCGAAACACGTGGATTCTTGTAAGAGGTGAGTCTCCGCTTTGTTTTGGTTGTTTTGGCGTCGACATCATCCTAGCGCGCAACGTTCTGTGACACTTAAAAAACAGTAAAAACTGGAGAAACGCTGGCACCGAAGGCCGTTACCGATCAGGAAATGGCTGGCAGCGAATGAGTTAATTGTACATTCATGAAATTTGGAAATGGCCATCTCTTTGAGGTGTGGAACAATGAAACCCCGTTTTTAGTAATTATTTCTGATTATAATCAGTCACTCTGAGTTTTTCATGCAGGCTGAACATGAAAATAGTCTCCTACGCCTATCTCCTGCTTTAGCTTCTGATAGAAAATAGACGGTGAAACTTGTGACACTGTTGCTTAACATTCGTGGGCATCTTGACTCATGACGGGGAAGACTGTTGTTCCTTTAGCATCCAGGAAACAGAAGAGAATGTCTCAACTAGAAGAAGCTAATTGTTAGCATTAGCAACTCCACCATACAGCAGAACTCTTCCAGGCTGTGTTATTTGTGGAGATAGAACATCAACTCTCCAAGTTACTGGTAGAGTAGTTTTGCTGTTATCCAATCCAGGTCGAGACCCAAAAATCAAGAAATAACATCCCAGAACCTGTTTTCTGAAGCTCAGCTGCAACGTGGGTAACTGATAGTTCTGAGAGATGGTGCACTAGTATACCCCCTCTTTGTAACAGTAAAAGAAGAGTGACTTACAAGGCATTCATTCCGACTAGAAACCGCTGCAAATGTATTGATTAAATGAGTCAACCACATCTTTAAGCCCTATTGAGGATTTTTATGAGGGCAGCAGTAGCTCAGGAGGGAGAGCTGGTTGGAAAGCGGACCCCGGCTTTAAGCAGAGTGCTGCTGTTGTGTCCTTGGGCAAGACGGGGAGTGAGTAACTAAAAGTTCACACAGATACTGTGGAGCAAGGCCATGTACAGCTTTAAAAGCCAATAAAAGAACCTTGTACTGGACCCTAATACCGACAGGCAGCCAGTGCAGCGAAGCTAAAATTGGGGTGATGTGCTCCCTCTTTCTCGAACCTGTCAATAGGCGTGCTGCTGCATTTCGCACCATTTGAAGACGGGAGAGGTGAGACTGAGGAAGACCAAGGTGCAGTGCGTTGCAATAGTCAAGGCGTGATGTAATAAACGTGTGAATCGCTGTCTCAAAGTCATGACTTGAGAGCAGACGCTTAACCTTGACGATCCTCCTTAACTGATAAAAACTAGCTTTGGTGACGGCACTGATTTGCTTTTCCAGAAGCAGATCACTGTCAAGCCGGACTCCCAGACTGGCCGCTACAGGTTTCAAAAATAGGGTTAGTGGACCAAGGTCAGCAGAACATGGCCCACTGGACACACTAGGACAGGGGTTGGCAACATGTTCCCATCAAAGAACCATTATTACCCATTTCCCACAGTAAAGAAAACACTGGGAGCCACAGCAGCCGCGACGTTGTGGGCGGGGCCTACACTCAGACATCTGAGAGCTGCTTTAACCAATCACAACAGATGACAGCAGCCAGTACCGGTGGCTCGTATACCTCAAAGTTATCTTTCATAAGACGATAATCAATAAAACGATTTATATAAAGTGGATCCAGAAGTTGTAGCCCGTCTCTGCCTACAATATGTTGATATTTTTCACCCTGTTGGTGGTTTTACTGAGCAGGTGCCAGTTTTGTCATACGTTTCTTTTTAAAACATGTTTAGACTGTTCAGAATACAAATTCAGGCTCTGTCACGTTGGATTGTTGTAATTAAACTTTGTAGGTGGGGAAGGTCAGAAAAGGATCCGATCATTTAGTTTTTCCCTCATTTACAGTGACGGAGATAACGGCACAGTGCGCCTGGCTCCGGTGTTAATCAAGTTAAATTATATCTCTTTGCAACAATTTTCACAAGAAAACAGAACAGTTAAAAGCAGGGCTTGTGTTGACCGGAAAGTTCCCGTGTTTGGCCGTTTATTTTGATGGAGAAAGAATAGAAAGAATTACCCCGACGCATGCAGACGAACTGACATTTTATTCTACGCACATCGCAGATGTAGCTAAATCACTCAAGAAAAGATTTCCTTCTGAACATCTGAGCTGGACACTGCTCAGTGCAGCTCACTGTCAGCGCGTACATAAGGTGCACAGCGAGCTGAAGATGTGGAGAGGGGCTTGGAGCACGTCGCAGAACCAGAGCGCATGTGGGAAGATTCCTCCGACTGAAGCAAGTGTTTTCCAAACCCTGTCTCTCAGAGACTTGTCACTTAGAAAATGTTCCCTGATTATCAAACTTTGGCTGAATTGTGCTTGCTCCTGTCTCCAATGTGGCGACACATCCAGGAGCCGTCTGAGGAGAAGCCCAGAATCTCACATTCTCTTCAGCTCAGAAAGCTCCTATGATTACGCACAAGCGTGACGCGTCAACCCGGTCTCACAGTAAGACCGGGTTGGACCTGTTCAGGTTTACGCAGACAATCTTTACATTTAGAATTGGCATGCAGATATAAAATTAATGCAGTGAAATATAAAGCATTTTATTTAAATATCCAGTCGTTATTTTACAAGCACAGAGAGCCACATCAGATGGATGGAAGAGCCGCATGAGGCTCCAGAGCCGCGGGTTGCCGACCCCCGCACTAGGACTAAAAAGCATGACCTCATTCCTGTCATTATTAAAATGTAAAAAATTAGCAGACATCCGGGTTTTAACCTCATCGAGGCAGTTTAGAAGAGGATCTAAAGAATTGGGTAGGCCACGTTTAATGGGAATATAAACCTGGGTGTCGTCTGCATATAGATGAAAAGAACATCCATGTTTCGTAAAAATAGAACCCAGAGGTAGCAAATAAAGAGAGAAGAACAAAGGGCCCAGCACCGATCCTTGAGGAACCCCTCATATGAGAGGCAAGCGAGATGACGTGAAGCCACCTAATGATACACAAAACGACCTCTTGGCCAAATAGGACTTAAACCAGTCCAAAGCAACTCATTTAACCCCAACAGACTCTTGTAACGGTGAAATCAGGAGACTGTGATCCACAGTGATTACGGTGAGAAGCGATAACTGATCAGTTTTATTTTAATGCAGCTTAATTTACATTTTTCTTTCAAAAAATAAAGAGTTTTACATTCTGTGCTGCTGTCCTCAGTTTGATGGTACAGAAGGTGTGATGCAGCTCTGTGCACACCAGAGGGTGGTGCTCCACTTAAACATCCACTGTGGGATTTTATAAAGGAGTGAAAACCCCGTACCTAAAAATAATACAAAGTCTAAATATCTCACAAGTGTTTACATTTAAACAAAATGTAGATTTATTTATCATTTGGTGTCAACCGACAAGAGGGTGTTTTTATGGGTTGTTTTGATGAGTAAAATTTGAGGTTTTCAGCTGCTGAGCAGCATGAAGCCTCATTTAGCTTGTTTCTATTTTGATATAAAACTAGTTATATTTGTGTAAACTATCTATATAAAAGGTTTGATTCCACGTAGGACACAACGAACTGTTATGGGGCCCAAATCCAAATATGTGAAGAGGAAAGTCGCGACGTTATTGATGTTTTAAATAAAATTATCAGCAAAAATACCCGTAAAAAAAAAGTGTTGAATCTGAGAGCTGAAATATCCCAACAACCTTCTTAGGAAGGAAGATAGCATAGCTGTTCCTCTATGCTGAATAGTTCTCACCCCTCCCTCTTTTTGCTCCATCTTTGGTCTCTGAGGGGGGTAAATTAAATATTCAGTGGGGGCAGGCGATGCATATAGACCTCCATTAGTGGGGTGAGGCAGAAATGCAGCATGTTTGGAGGGCTGCGACGCATGGAGCTCTGCAGGTTCTGAGAACATTCATCTTCATGTATGGCTTCCTGTCACGAGCTAATCAATAGTTTCACTGGTGCATTGAAACTAAGTGATCCTGCAGGGACGTCAGGAATTTCCTGCTAACTCCAGCTCCAGCACAACAGGACTGGGATTCGTAACTCTGCAATGATCCCAAAAATGTTGTTTAAGCGACTTAAATCAGAAAAATACTAGTTAAAGCAGTAGTTCAGGAGGTAGAGCAGGTTGTCCAGTAATCGGAAAGTTGCAGGTTCAATCTTGGCTCCATCCAGAGAAGGCTGCTGTTGTGTCCTTGGGCAAGACACTTGCCGCATGCCTGCTGGTGCTGGTCAGAGGGGCCGGTAGCGCCTGTGTTCAGCAGGCCTCACCTCTGTCAGTGCACCCCAGGTCACCTGTGTGTTTTCAGCTTTAGCAGCTTCATCAGACCTTCTGATTGTAACAGTATCAGATATAAACAAGCATTAAAATGGGTTTTAACATGTAGTAAAGTAAATACACCCCCCTCCCCAGGTCTCAAACTTTTGACTCTAACACGTTAACGTGCCTGGGACTCTCGAGCTTTTGGACTTTTTTTTAAATGCAGATTTGAGTTCCTGAATGTTTTTCCTGCTGTGAATATTCTTTCTGGAACAAAAGCCCTTTAACAATTCCCAGAAATGCACATCTGTTGATGCCTTTAAGTCTTATGAATGTCGTGTATGTTTCACACCAAAATAATGTTTAAAATCATGTGTTTAGGGGCTCCAATGTGGTTCGCTTGTCTAAGGGTACCTAAATCTAATTTAGAAATCTCACATCAGTATGTTATAATTCTTACAATTTGGGAATTGAGAGTTTTTGATTTACATTTTTAAATCTAAAACAATATAATTGTCAAATGTCTCTGGGGTGCCAATTTTAAATTCATATAATTAAAGGATCACATATTAAGTATAGATATTTAGAATACAATTTAAAATTGTAAGTTAGGCCTAATGTAAGTGCACTGAAAAAAGAAAATAGTTGAACCAACTTAATTGAATTATTTCAATTGGTAACACCTAATTTAATTAAGTTCTTTGAAATGAAGTTAATACATTAGATTAACACAACTGATTTAAGTTACATGTACTTAATAAATTAATTGTTGTCAAATAAATATTTTGCATTGATCCAACTTAAAATTAAGACATTTCAACTTAAAGTTTTCAGTTTTTCCAACCCAATAATTTGCATAACCCAAAAGTAAAATATTGCTCTTTGCTAACCTAATAATTTGGTTTAGTGCAAATTACTTTTTGTAGTGACTCTAAAATGAAATTTTAGTTTGTTTAATAATGCTTAAATCAAAAATTTAAGTTGGCTGAAAATATTTTTCAAAAATTCAAAATCCAATGTTTTTTTTTAAATACTTTATTGTATAAATGTAATAAAGTATCACCTTCATGGCAACCAACACAGCTTTTGGTCAAACACATTACACATTTGTCCTTTTTAAAACACATATGCACAAAATGCAAGTAACGCTTAGTAGGACCACAAAGTTGTCATCAAAGTGTTAAGTGCAACACAGTATTAGACAAATATCAATCAACACATATAGTGTCAACTATGAAAAAGTGCCCCAAGAGTATACAGAAACTACTCTTCAGCTATAGCCAATGAACAAATATCTGAACAGCGTAGCTGACCAATGGGGATGAAAAAATATAAACACTCCTTTAGAGTTTTAGAATGTCACAACAGTTTGTTGTATAACTGAGCACATCAAACCTGAAATGCAACCTTTCCCTTGAAACGAAGGCAAATATGTCTGAAAAAAAAAATTAAATAAAAATACCATACAAAGTATGTATAAAAGCACATTAAATTGTGGTTTGAGGTCTCTAGGAGCATAAAAAAGGCCCAACATCCAAAAGAGACTACATATTTTACGTGCTATATGTCCAAACACAGTTGCTCCTTCGCATTATGGCACAAGGCCATTTGTTGGTCATTGTTCTGTGCCATTACTGGGAGCTTTGAAGTTTGATATACAGATTTTGGACTTTGGGGGACATCTTGTGCTGATCAAGCTGCATGAAGATTTTTTGGAGCACTTCAAAAGTGAAGCGAAAGGGTTTTGGATAAGCTAGGTTGAGTGCATAGATCAAACCTAGAAGCAGGGCACAAGCTGAGGCAACCGAAGTTAGTTCATGCAACACTTCCACACCCTCAATGACAATGCCAATGTCTGCAGGTGGCTCCTGCAGTCCCTCCCCCTCCTTCCGAATCACATACACTGCCATGGTGACCTCCTCCAGGTCCTTCTGAACATCATCTGCTCCACAGTCCTACAGAGGGGTACAAGACACAAACACAAATCATCATTAGCCTCACTTCTTACTTTGATTAAGTGTTTGGGTGAAGTACCAATATGTGTTGTGCTGGGCTACTTCTTGGCTGGGTGTCATCACACACCAGAAACAGCAGAGAGAGGTGTATCAATCTGACTCTAATCAAATTTAAAGCAAGAAAGATAAGATTTCCCAACATGTTAAACTATTCCTCTGAACTTAAATAATCAAGTAAGCCCTTCTTACTTAAAACAAAGTCAGTCCAAAATGTAATGTGTTGTTGCTGGGAATTACATAATGTCCAATATGGTCATGATAATAAATACATGTCAGCAATCCAACTATGGTTCACGTGTTATGTTTGTTCTAACAGTTAACTTTTTTGTGTCCCTTTGACAAGATGTGCTGACAAACTGTTGAAACTTACAAGGTATTCCTTGATCAGGCCATCTGCATCTTCTCCCAGGAAGATGATGAGGGCTTTCAGCACACATTCCCTCCGATGATTAATGTCCACAGTCTAGAACAACAAATGTGGATTAATTTTAAACTCTAAATTTCATAAGACAGACATCCTTACTCTTATTGCTTAACTTACATGTACTTTATTTAAAAACAGTAATTCACAAGCCCAGAGATTCATTACAGAAATAAAAGGATGAGTTCAGTGGTGTATTTTTTGAGTCGCTAAAACCATTCATGCATATGAAAGCCATGATTAGCATTGGCCTGCCCATATTGTCTTTATGAAGGATTCAGATATATTTTGACAGCCCTCTTAGTTACGAAGTATTTTGTTTGATGGTACAGATTTACCTGGTCCAATGTGTCCATGATGTTCGCAATCTTTTGGCGTGTTACCCCTCCTTTGGCACGTATGACTTTGATCAGCTGACTTGAGTACATGTCTAACTGGGCCATGAACTTCCACTCAAGAGGAACAGCCATGAGCCTCTGGAACTCTGTATTTATCTAAAAACAAAACACAAATGACAGTAGATATTGTATTATGGAACAAAATGCTGAAACTGATTGTATGCCAAAATGTCTATATCCCAAAAAGTATAACATATATGGAAATTCAAAATATAAATTCTTTCATTAAGTTCAGTGTTATAAAATCTCAACCACATCAAGTTATGACCGATTCATGAAAGTTAACTGCAAAATAAATCCTGAAGCATACAGACTTTGATCACTTCAGTTCCATTCTTACCTCTTTCTGTGTGAAGAGTGCAGGCCATCTATCCTTCAGTTCCTGAATGCTTGGTTCTTGGTTTACCACCTCATGTCGTCTGTAGGCAAACGTGTTAGCCATTTTGTTTGCGATGATCCTTTCATTGTCCCTTATCCCGATCTCTGTCAGAAGTTCTAGTCTCACTTTTTCCATGCTGTCCAGAGTCTCACCAGTAGGAAAGGATGGATAAAAGTTAGCTTCAGAACGTTTTGGCTTCTTCACTTTTTTAGCAGGGACAGCATCTGTAGTAGCTTTAGATTTCAGTGAGTTTACACACAGCTCTGGACACCCCTGTAATTTGAGCTGGGTCCTGTAGTTTGCCATTTTGTACTTCAGTCGTTGTTTCCAACCGTAGCAGCCATTGGATGATCCAGGTTCTTTCAAACATGGGTGCTTTTTGATAAGGGCCTCTGCAGCTGCGCAGAAATGTACATCCTCTGGATAGGCCTTGTAACGGTAAATTTCTTCTGCAACTCTTTTCAGGATATCAGACAGCATTCGGGCGCTTAAAGTTAACATTTTTTGGCTCACACGGTACTCAGTATTCCCCCTCTCTAGCTGTAGCTCTGTGTCATATGAAAATTGGGGAATTGCAAAGTCTTCTGGCCACTGTTGTGTTCGAGATGACATAGATTCAGGGGATGAGAGGATAATTGTGCCATTTGATGCCACCGAAATACCGTCATCAGACTCAAATGAAAGAGACAGAGATGAAGTGGACTGATCGACACTGATCAAAGGTGGATGTGTTTGCTGGTGGATCACTTTGATTGTCCCCAAATTCCGAAGTTCGGTGGTAGAATTCAGATTGAATAAGTCGTTGCCAAAGTCTTGGTCCATGTATTGCAGTCTGAAGTTACCTTTTAACCCAAAGGTAGTCTTTATCGTGCTGAGAAGGTCTTCAAGTGACTCTGGGATGCCATTTGGAAGAGTCAGCTTTTCAATGTTGTTCTCTCCTAAAATCACCTTCAGTCTTGCAGGTGTTGAACCAGCCATGGTGGTCTGAGAACAAAGCACAAGCACAGTTAGTGAGGATCAACATGTAAACCACTGACATTTCCAATTAGGAGAATTTAATGTCAAACTAGAGGAAAAGAGAGAAGGAAAGGGGAGGAGAAAATGAAGAGGAGACGTGGAGATCAGCTGAGGCAGCGAGGAGAGAAGGCAAACCGAAGAGGAGAGGGGAGGAGAAGAGAGATGGCGAGAATATGGGAGACATTGAAGAGAAGAGAGAAGGAGAGGAGGTGAGGAGAATGTAGGAGACAACAAGGAGAGGAAAGAAGAAAAAGAAGAGAAGCAGAAGGGGGGAGAGCATAGGATTAGCATTCACTGACTGGAATCTAGCAACCTGCATTAAAAAAATGACATAACTGATGAATAGCCAATGACATCATCGCACAACTTTGGCTTGCAGTGTAAAATAAATATGTTCTGAGAACACATTAGTATTGTATTGGTCTGGGTTTTGTTTTCCCACTTAAGAAAATACTTTATCATATTTTGAGGCCTCACCCTTTAAACATGGACATATCTTTTCAAGGTGACAAGACGCATCCCTCTAATTTTGTAGTCTGCCAGTGGGTAGGTATCATACAGTTCTTGTGGCTCAACAAGTTCCACTTCTTTGCTTGGTGATGTTTTGAGATCATAAGCTCTGTAGTGTTCCATATACCATCCGCTAAGCTTCTTCAGAATGAAGATTAGTTTGTCCTGCAAGATCACCATTTGGATGATTTCACCAAACTCTGGCAGTCCTCCCAGTGAGCCGTGGATTAAGATCATCCCACACTTGTAGATTAGTCCATTATATGCTACACTTTTAGCCAAGCACACATTGTCCATATCTGGAGACTTCTGTCTCAGTGCATTTGAGATGTCCTTGTTAAGAACATCAATGTGAACAGTGGAAACAGCTGTTACTTCCAGTGGGTGTTTGGCAAAGCTAATTGCATGCAAATGATATGCAATCTGATACTGATGTCTCTGTGAAAGGGAAAGAAGTACATTTTTGAAGCATCTGATGTTCCTTGCAACTCTTTTAAAAAAACTATGCTTTGCTTCGAATCGCATAGTCCATAGTGCAACCAGTGGCCCAAACTTACGGATCAAGTATGGATAATGTTCCAAGTAGTGGTGCTTTGGTTTAAGATTAACATCTGGGAAAACCTCTTGAAACTTGATTCTGTGCTCAGAGATCTTAAAACCGAGATATGCAATGGAGTCCTCAGTATGAACAGGACTGACAACAAGATCAACAATGTCCTTCAAGTCTGTTAAGATGTGCCAAGCAGGCTCCTCACAGGGTACACTCTGCCCAATGAACAAAGGCAAAAATCTGATAAGACTCCAGTTCTCGTGTGCATTCCCTCCTACACTTTTTTTGGATGCAAAACTGAGAGCCACAGGATGAGGTCGATTTGTTTTGTCAGCCCACTTAAAGATGAAAGATGATATTGCTTCATTCAATGTACATAATGTGAAATACTTTTTTTTGATTAACAAATTGAGGCAAAGCGCAAGTTCAAAAGGAACAATTCCCTCAAAAAGATCATGTACAACATCAGGTGGAAACCCAGTGGTAACATCAAAATGTGAGAGGTGCTTTGACAAAATGCACTTTGATTTCACACCATAATAACTGGGCAATTTGTTTTCCTCAATAATTCGTAAATGATCTGCATGAATGTCTTTTGTTCTTAAAGTAAAGACTTCACTTCTGACTTCAATAGTCTGGAACTCTGATGTTTCTGCAGTGCAAAATCTACATACGTATGTCCCTGAGAAATTTTCAAAGAATCCAGCAATACTGTGTGCACCAAGGTTGTCGGCAACAACACACTGAACAGTGCCTTTTACTGTTCTGCCCAACTTTGACAGAAATATCCCACTCTGTTCCAAAATTACAAGATCATTAATTACAGGTTTTAACACTTTCTCATACCCATAGCACTTCAGATCATTACTTTTGATTAAAGCAGCCAAATAGATTGAGGTTAAAGCAGAATTACAGCCTGGTGGCAAATTACCCAAAACCCAGTACAATCCACAAATTTTATGCTTCCTCCTTGAAGTACCAAGGGGATTACATATTTCGAATTCATCAATGTATAATATCAATGAAATGCTTTCCTGCTTGGACAACAATCCATTTTCATGGAAGAAGTCACCATCGAAGATAGTTTTGTAGTGCACAGAAGTTTTTTGAGGCTGATTATCTACAGTATTCAAATTAACAGCCTGATCTAAGATTGTCTGGCAGTCAAGAATATGCTGCAAAGACTTTAAAATTGAAATATATTGGAATGACTTGTTATTTTTTCGGTCAAGTATATATTCCACTGGTTCCACTACTTTAAAGTGGCTCTTATAGTATGCTTTTCGCCTCCAAGGAGTGGAAAGTGGACCTTTATGTCCAATTGCTTTTTTTACAGGGTTTGTCTCACATAGTACACTGGCTAGCTTTTCAACAACTGACTGGTCAAATTGGCATCCATTGTCTTGTAATACTTGGCTAATAGTCTTTTGGGTAATCGCCACAGAAACAGAACCAATCAAATAGTTTAACTCCTGCAAAAGCTCATCTACAGCTGCATTAGACACAAGAAAGATGTGTTCCAACTTAAGGAGCACTGAAGCTATTTTAAGCTCAATATCATTCTCTAAGTTTTCAGAATACCCATTGTCAAAAGCAGAATTTAAATTTACATCACTCTCTATAATTTCCACATCTGAAATATCACTGGCAACACTGGCACAAGATTCATCAACAGAACTTATTCCAGGCTTAAATGTGTTCACTGTACCAGAGTGTTTTCTGTATTTATGACTTTTGAAGTTCTCATAGACATTGGTTTTATATTCACAGTTTTGGAACACACATGTTACAGTCTCCTTATTTTTGAGATGCTGATAGATATGTTGAAAATATTCTCTTTCTGTGGAGAGTTGATTATGGCCACAAATATGGCAAGTGAATGTGGACGCAGCTTTGGAGACTGCTTGTTGGGCAGGGTGATTTCTTGATAGATGGCTCAGTAGGGCGTTCCAAGTCTTGAACCTACATGCACAATTTAAATAAGTGCATGGATATGAGTGGCCTCGTCCGTAATGCCTATGAATCAGTTTGTAGTGTTTGAGCAATTCAGATCTTTTTGTTAATGTTGTCCCACAGTCCTTGCATCTCCACATGAAGCATAGCACTGGAGAAACAAAGAGACACGCTTTACTGGGTGTATATAAATAATTTGAGAAAAACACCGAGGGAGAGTTGGACAATATTACAATATATCAATATGGTGATATGAGACTAGATCTCATCTCAGCTTTTTGCCACATTGCCCAACACAAAGCGAATCATTTAAACACAAAATGTATTCATCAAATGTAGCCAGCCCTCTCTAATTAGATTTTAAAGGGATAAGTTCAAAACAAAAGTTTAAAAACAAAACCCAAATGCCCATAGGTACTTTTTTTTTGGAATTGTTTTATATATAAAGCAGATTCCTGTTCAGTGTAAAACTGAATTAAGTTTAAATGAGACATCACTATTTTGAACTTGCATACCTTTGCTGTTGATGAAGTGAAAGTACGCAAGTTCACAGATAAAACGAGCTGCCTGGCACGCCTCCACACAGGAATGCCCCTCTTGAAGTAGTCACAGAGCTGAGAAGAAGTTAGGTCAGAAGGTGGCGATGGGGCATCACATTGGACACCAAGCCAAAGGTTGTGGCACTGTCCAGGGTTCCAACCAGAGGTGATGTAATCTTTCTGCCATCAGCAGACACCCCTCTGGAGAGGTTGACAGGAAGGAAAGGAAGTGCTACCCAAAGTCCTAAAGATTAAAGATATGTTTGAGTTAGTCTGTCGATCTTTCATTATGTTTACAGTGTTCATCTGCATCTATGTCAGGGGTGTCACGCTCATTTTAGCTCAGGAGCCACATTGAGGGAAATCTAGTCCCAAGTGGGCCGGACCGGTAAATTAAAAACAACTTCAGATTGTTTTTTCTTTGTTTTAATACAATCAATATAAAACAAGGCTGGAGCCTGAGGACAGTGTATCCAAAATTGTACAACACCTGAAGTATACTTGAAAATTTGGAAAAAAAAAAATCAATAAATAAAAAAAACATCTCTTAGTGATTCAAAGAGCTTACAGATCACATGGCTAGACCAGATTCATGCAGCACTTAAAGTATATTTGACTCATTTTACTTTACATCTTTTAGCTTTCACCAGCACATCAATATTAGAAGTCACATCCTGAGTGGCAGCCAACTTCAGGATGTGATTCAAGTTCTTGTGTGAGCCTTGAGCGCAGCTTTGTTTTATTTATACTCATTACAGAGAAAACTTGCTCACAAAGATAAGTTTATTTTCACTCTACATTGTAAAGTATGAAAATAAAGTTTACACAACCATCTCGCAGGCCGGATTTAACCCGCTTGCGGGCCGGATCCGGCCCGCGGGCCGGATCCGGCCCGCGGGCCGCATGTTTGACACCCCTTATTCTATGTACTTATATATGTATTCAGACACAGACCAGAAGTGTGCTAGGTCTACAAGAAATCTGATGGCTGTATTTTCTGTGTTCAATAGCGTAATACGTTCTTCTATGATTTCTAATTTTGACTTTCTGCCGCACACCATCTCCCTCTCACACGGCTGATCCGTGCGTGTACGAGCGCTGCACGCACCCTTTCTCCTCGCCTTCTTAACGTCATGTACATTGAAAGCAATGCAAGCGGCAGTAAATGCATGCTTCCTGGAGCCACCACAGCTAAACTTTACCTCCTACATCACCCGTGGCCGTGACCGCATGAACTATTCGCGCCGACAGGCATACTGCGAACAACCACTCGTGTATAAATGCGCGCGCCCGAAGCAACGTAGTCTTTAGAGAACCGCGGCCCAGCTTGCCGCCATAATATGCTAATGCTAATGAATAACTAACAGTAAGCCAACACCGACACACTGCATGAATACACAACTTTAAGCTAGCGTTACGATATTAAAACAAGAGAGTACCGCCGGCAAACGACTAACTTAACCTACATGTCCAAGCACAAACTACCAACAGGTCTGACATTTCGCTAATGTTAGCAGGGCTGAATGATAGCAGTTTGGTCAGGTCAGTTTACTAAACACTTAACAAACTTAACAATACAGTTGGAATATTTTTATATCTAATATATTAAAATATGTGTTCTACAGTTGACTTACCTTCAAGGACCATGGAAAAAGTAATATCTTTGTTACCTTATTGACCAAATTGTTCACGAGGTCCTGCATGCAGCCAACTTCCTCTCAAATTGGTGTTCTCAACCGGCCGCAGGGAGAAAATTCTGGAGAAGGCGGAGACGTCATGACATCAGACGCACTGCGTCACGAGAAACCTAATTGATGCAGGTTGACTCTAATGACAATAGCAGGTTACATGTGTACTGAGGGAACAACACGTAATAACAAGTTGATATACTCCACAAATGTAGACTGGCTCCACTAAAGCAGAAATCTTAATGAAACTCACTCAGAACTTTACGTAACTTCAAATACTGCTGAAATACACTATTTAGAGTGTGTTGTGGTTTAGACTTCAATGAAAACAGAGTTAGGATACGTCTAACATCTCTGAGTCCTTGTTGATGGTGAGATTGAATGAATTTGTTCAAGCATTCATCAGTGTTCCTGTCTGGGTTTGTTCTCCACCTTGATCCACTCCGGGGTCAAGTTTAGCAGAAACTTCTTTATATTGCTTCCAAAATCATGCAGTGAAACAATGCAAGATACCTATTTAACACCACAGAGTCCTTTAGGAAAAGCGCTCATACATAAATGGCTCATTTTTAAACAGGCACGTGCGATTTTACCACCAAATTCATAAACAATCACATTTATATTTACATTTCAACAGATAGCCAAAGAAACTAAATCACATTATTCATGTTTTTTATAGACAGAGTCCTGAATTACAGTGAATAAACTTGTTGGCATGGCTAAATATAACTCATTGGCACCCCATACATCCGCTAATGTTCATCAAATCAGATGATCTTTGTTTTATGTGACAAATATCTAAAAGGCATACAGCTAACACATCCTTCCAGAAACACGGGTGGCTTTGGCTGGACCTGGGTCGGGACACACCTTTATCCTCTGCAGACCTTATGTTACAGCCGAATGAAGGAACTTGTTCCCGCTGGTCCCTATGTTCCAGCCGATCTGTCGCATCCTCCTCCCTGCAGAGCTGCATGGCAACGGGAGGAGGAGAATGCTCGGGATGAGGGAGGGTACCGCGGCCCCACGTCTCCTCCTCACCGCAGACTGCTTTCCCATCCCTCCGTTTCCGCATATACCACACACACACACACACACACACACACACACACACACACACACACACACACACACACACACACACACAACTTCCTCCATACACCCAGAACGCCGGACCCGCGCAGCCGCTGCGGAGCGATGCATCCGCGATGCGCGCTCTCCCGTCCCCGATCTGTCCCTAGGCCCGGATCGATCCAGTTCTCAACATTCTGAAATGCACATTCTGGTCCGGAGCTGAGAGGCAGACAAGTGGGAGAGATGAGAGATGTTTAGCAGGTTAACCTCGGATCCTCGCCATCGTCTCTGCTGTGCGCGTGCTGGTCTTTTTCCACCTCCACGCCTGCCTGTTTTGCGGTTCTCGATGCTGTGATCGGAGGGAATATGTGAGGATCATGCTGCCGGTGTGGTGCTTCATGGTCTTCGCTGCAGTGGGCGAGAGGCTTGCAGTCTCAGGTAAGCGAGGGGGAGAGGGGGGAGGAAGGGGGATCTGGACAGCGGGAGCACCCTTTTCCTTTGCATCAACATTTTTATCTCTTGAGCTGCACTTGGTTTTACTGTTACCGGATCTCGGTGCCAAGCGACTCCCTGACCAGCCGGTAGATTTGCTGCATCAACACATTTCCTCCTGAAGATCTCTCACTCCCATAAGCATCCAGTTGACACCATGATAGCACCTTTTTCCAATAGATTACCTAAAAAAAATAACTTTAAATGCCCATAGATCCAAAATTTGCCGCATATGGGCAGAAGCTGTGACATAACGGCATTAATTATAATTCCCATCAAAACACACTAATGATATCCATTAGAGATCTCAGAATAGTAACCGATTAAACACCATTAGTGCTAAATTAGGTCACCAAATCATCGTGTGCTTAATAAAACTAGAAATGAAGGGTTGTGCAAGACTTTATCGCCTAAAGCATTGTGCACTGATTTCCCTGTGCAGGTGCAGATGGAGGCATGTGGGACTGGTTTCTCCCCTCGGGCCGGCTGGACAGTGGGGAAGCTGTGACTGAGATTACTTATCCAAAAAGACTGGTGCAGCGAACCGAGTCAGAGGAGGAAATGGCTCATGAGCACTTAGATACCAGGGCGAAGAACAGCAGCAGGGACAGCTCGGTGAGTTCCCTCTTCCTCTCACAGATCCCCAGTTCTGCTCATTGTACCTTTAATCTGTGGATTCCCAACCCAGCTGGTTGGTTTTGGCATCTAGGGATACCCAAGGATCCAGGGAACTTCCCACTAGGTGAGACCTAGATCTCATTTAAAACATCCCAGATGGACCTATGAGGAACTGCTTGGTTTTCACACATTTAAAGTTTTCTGCTCTATAACATCCTCATCTCAACCTGCCCTGCACGGCTGACATCTGCAGATCGGGAATCCTAGTGCAGGGTGGTGCTTCGCAGCAGCTTCAACGCTGGGATTTTTGACCCACTTAGTGGCTTCATGTTACAGCTCAGTTGTTTTATTTGGTCGTCTGTGAACAGGTATCAACGTCCGCTGACCCATTGTAGATGGTTGAAGTTCCAGAGTTCCTGGAAGGAAAGCAAATCAGCCGCCACGTTAAATGCCAGAGTTTTAAAACAGAATCATCGTTATTTTCTGTCCCAACATTGTTTTATTTTATATGCATCCATGGACGTAATTTTCACTTTAGAAGTGGGGGGACACATGGAGAGGGGGGGGGGGGGGGGGGTATCTTTACAGTATGCTCTAATGGGAAACAGGCTTCAACACAAACGGTTGTTTTCTGCTTGGTCCTAGAGCTCAACCAGTGTCAATTTAATATAGCGTAATATTGTTTTTGTATGGTAAAAAGTGCAGGGGTCAAAACTTGACTTTGGAAAAAGTGGGGGGACATGTCCCCCCTGCCCCCCCCCCAAATTACGTCCATGTATGCATCTATTGGCATGCAGTTTTGTGAAAGTCTCTCATCTATCACAGCAAAGTCACAGTCATTTGTATCTCCGTCCTACATCAGGGTGAACGTTCCTCCAATGGTTTTATTAAAAACCAATTGAATGGCATGTTTAGCTAACAGCTAACTGGGTTGGCTCCAACAATTCGTCGAAGTTTTAAGCTAAATCTGTTTTTCCTCGAGGGAGATGAGAAAAAGCCTCAACAGCACCACACTTTAGCTCAGCACTTGGAGCATTTTTGTGTTTGCAAAGCTCCATTAGCTGTGTCAGCCATCTTGAATTGGACAGATGCCAAAAGTTAGTGAGTACATCAAATGAAGAATTTCTGAGTGTTTCAATAAAATCCCTCCTTTGGTCCATCAGATGTTTTGCAGACGAACAGGCTAAAACTTTCTCGCCCATCTTGTGCCTTCAGCAGCAGTCGACGAAAAGTCCATCAGAGCGCGGTGCGCCATCATCTCCTCAGACCCGGTCCAAAATATTCCGACGTCACATTCTGTTACCACTCTGAGTCTTGACTTTTTCATTATTCAGTAGTGTGCTGCAGTGTGTCCCCATTAAATATGAAACAGGCCTGTGTTAGAAGGGCTGGTCCAACAGGGTTCAGCACTCCCCTTTTCTTTAGAGTCAGCTCTGATTCTCTCTGGTGGTGGTGATGATGATGATGATGATGATGATGTAAGGAGGAAGCACAAAACATCTTACAGTCACATGACCACTGTGATGTATAATTAAAACGATGAAGAGCATGGTTACGCTTTGCGCTCTCACTAGTCCAGATGTGCTGTAGCGTGTCTTCTAAAAACTCAAGGTATGTTTAGAAGTAGGAGGCTTTAAGATCAGAACGTTTTCTGATTTTTGGTCTGCAAATGAACAAACCACTTTCTTTAGCATTCCGTAAACATTTCATTATAACGTGGATCTGAACTAAATTTGCTCAATGTTGTAATGTCGTCGTCGTCTTCCTCCGCTTATCCGGGTCCGGGTCGCGGGGGCAGCATCCCAACTAGGGAGCTCCAGACCGTCCTCTCCCCGGCCCCCTCCACCAGCTCCTCCGGCAGGACCCCAAGGTGTTCCCGGACCAGATTGGAGATGTAACCTCTCCAACGTGTCCTGGGTCGACCCAGGTGCCTCCTGCCGGCAGGACATGCCCAAAACACCTCCCCAGGGAGGCGTCCAGGAGACATCCTGACCAGATGCCCAAACCACCTCAACTGACTCCTTTCGATCCGGAGGAGCAGCGGCTCTACTCCGAGTCCCTCCCAAATGTCCGAGCTCCTCACCCTATCTCTAAGGCTGAGCCCGGCCATCCTACAGAGGAAACTCATTTCGGCCGCTTGTATCCGCGATCTCGTTCTTTCGGTCATTACCCAAAGCTCATGACCATAGGTGAGGATTGGGACGTAGATCGACCGGTAAATCGAGAGCCTGGCTTTCTGGCTCAGCTCCCTCTTCACCACGACAGATCGGCTCAGCGTCCGCATCACTGCAGACGCCGAACCAATCCGCCTGTCGATCTCCTGATCCCTCCTACCCTCACTCGTGAACAAGACCCCGAGATACTTAAACTCCTCCACTTGAGGTAGGACCTCTCCCCCGACCTGGAGTTGGCAATGTTGTAATGAGATATTTAGCCAATAGAAAATTAGTCAAATGAAGCCAAATTTGTGGCTCATGTCTGCCTTTGGTGTATTTTACTGTATTAATCAGTCAAATGAACAAAGCAACAATCATGTCACCTTCTCAGCTTCTGTCATGAGAGGTGGAGGAAATGTTTTAGGTGATTTTCATTTTTGAAAGAATATTTCACACACAGAGTGGTTTAAAAAGCAATCCAGATTAGTTCCGTTAATCTGTGACTTTATAAAACATTATACAATTACCAGAAATTATTATTTTGATATTAAAAGTGTTTATATGACATAAACATCTCAAAATGTTTGCTTGAATTATTCTAAATTAATGACAAAACCCACCAATAACTGGACTGATTCTTATGAAACAGCCACCAATGACGGGTTAGAAAAGCTTCATACTTTATTCCACTGTTTGCTCACTTTGAATTCACTAATTCACAACAGATCCACTTCATGATTTTGGGGTGATTTTAAGGTGCTGTCTACACTTAATGAAAACTACTTACAGGACAGCTGCCCTGAACAGCCTCAGTTCAGTGAAGTAGAGCTCATCAAGACTGATAAGCTATGGAGTAATGCAAAGTTCTTACAGCAGGATAATCATGCTGATTTCTGACCCGCTCCTTAATCTGGTCAGACAATCCTACCATGTGTGGCGTGTCATGAGTGCTCTGGACCACTCAAAAGGATGACAGGACGGTTCCGATCATAAAATAGGGCTCATCAAACGCGTTGGATCGCCTCGGTATTTCGAGGTCAAAAAAACATGCTGCCCATTGAATGAGATATTTAGCCAATCAGAAAGCAAGGTGACGAAAGTGAGCACCTTTGCTCCGATGTTTGTTTACTTCAAAGTCACGTTTGATCTTACGAGATTTCCCGTCCGACAGGCCAATCTTTACACGTGTTATTTGGCTATAGCCAAGGCAGACATGAACTACAAATCTCAACCCATTTTTTATGTTATGAGGCTCTAAATGAACATGTTGCTGGTAAAATGCTAAGTATGGCTAAAAGCAGCCAGTGTGTACCATGACCCGTTATAGCAGGAGTGGAGAACCCTGGTCCTCGAGGGCCGGCATCCTGCACGTCTTTGCTCCAACACTTCTGATTCAGTGGTTGACCCACCTGTTCAGCAGCTCATCAGGCTCTACAGAAGCCCGTTAATCACCTGCTGGTTGAAATCAGGTGATGATTCAGGGTTGAAACAAAAATATGCTGGATAGCGGCCCTCGATGGATCAGGGTTCCCCACTCCTGTTATAGAGTGCTGACAGTCCTTCAGGTCAGTAGAGAGAAATGTGTTGTTTGTGCTCACTGGGGGAGTAATTTCTGCTTAGTGATGCATCTCAATGTAAAAGTCTGGTGATTCACTGTGCTCTGGTTCCTCCAGACTGAAATCAAAGCTACGCTGGCAGTCAGCGCTGCCGAGGAGACATAATGTTTGGTCTGTAGTAGGTTTCTGTCTTCTGGCCCTGCTGGCCGCCATCCATCAAGGACACATTTTCTCTGCCTTTCTTCCGTCAAACCCCCTTCATCATCGCCGTCACGATGGACATCAAACAGCCGTAACTCTGTTCACCCGTTGCTGCCTGAGTGCTGATCAATAATGACTTCATCAATCAGGAGAATATTTCACCAACTGGGATGCTGTCTTAGCTCGTCGATCCTGCCGAATTATTCGTGGGAGTTAATAAAGATTATTGTGGCTTTATTGGAGTGGCCCACTCAAACTAAACTGTTCCTCTTTAACTTATAATCTGTCCAATCTGTCTTTTCTTTTCCATCTGTAGCCTGTTCACTTGGCCCAGAGCTGCTTTCTGGTGGAAGCCTTCGGACGCACCTTCACTCTTGACCTGGAGCTGAACCAGTTAGTATCAGAGCTGTTTTTCTCTTCACGCATGTGTCAGCGAGCTCTGCTAATTCACTGCAGCTGTTCTCATTAGCATGTTCTCTGCTCATGAGCAAGTGCACTTAGCGCCTCTGTTATGTTGCATGACAAGATAGGGGAATACCAGTGTGGCGTGTGTTTTAATAACACCACATGCTAATCATTTCTCTGAGTCTCGGTGGATAACAGGTGTGTGTGTGTGTGTGTGTGTGTGTGTGTGTGTGTGTGTGTGTGTGCGTGCGTGCGTGCGTGCGTGCGTGTGTGTGTGTGTGAGGGGGGGGGGGGGGGGGGGGGGTTCCAGAACAAATGTCCTCTTACAGATGTATGTCTCTGCTTTCCCTCTAGTCACCTGCTGTCCTCAGATTATGTGGAGCGGCACTTTAACGACGATGGCAGACCCTCTCAGGCTGTGGTAAGGTTTTCTGCGTGGGGCGTGAATGCACGATGTGCTGATGACACAGTGTTGATGAGTGATTTTGTTTTTCTGGCACATACTGCAACGTTTTAATGGGATGACCAGAGCTGCAGCGTTTTAGGCACCTCTCTGGCTCTAGAAGCTCTGGTTCCTTTTCAAGTGATCAATTAAAAGTTTTACTTGTCAGATCAAATCCTCAACTTGTCCAGAGTGCATTCATTTATCCGATCTCCCTTTAGGAGGTCATTTAAGACTATCTAATATCTGTTGTTTCTGTCCCTATTTCTGAAACAAATTAGATGCCTTTTGTGGATTTATTTTTTCTCTTTTAAAGTCATTTTTAGAAGTTTTATTCATCTCTCCAGAGTTTGATCTCATCCTCGTGGTTTATCTATTTATAGAAGGAGCATTGTGTGCTTTCTGCTTCAGAAATAGGCTGCTATGCGACTTGTACTCTGATGCTGCTGGTCTGCACTACGTGGGCTCACCTGGCAGTCAGCCGAGGTTTTTCTCAGACAGTCAGGACAGAAAAAAAAAGTGGTGCACATCATCAAGAGTCACCAAAAAGCAAAAAGGGAGAGTGGCTGGACAGACTGTACTCCAGTGTGTTTGCTTTCTGTTCATCAGGAGAGATGGATGTTGTTTTAAATCCTAATATTTAAATTTTTGAACATACCACTCCATACCCCTCAAGCACCCACCCACAGTCGTGCCCAACTCTTCTTCAGCCCTCCTGACCAATCACAGGCCTGTTTCCATAGCAACCAGTCAGCTCAGCAGTATCATTAAGCTCTTGGCAGCCAAGAGAATGAAAGAAGACCATAAGAGAGGGAAGATCAGAGCTGCAGGAGGAGATATTAAGAGGAAAATGTCAGACAAAAGCAGGAAGAGTTTTTGGGCGTGTTTGTGGGAGGTGGGAGAGAGAGAGGAGGCTAGCAGGGCTAAGAGTGGGGACCTGCAGACAGACCAGATTGTAGCTCAGCTGGTCGTTGGACTCACAGGATGCTGGTGCGACAGCAGGACAGGGCAGGTGCAATGGATTCAGGGCTGAACACCACCACAGTGATCCACTGCGTCATCATTTCAGTCCGAGTCGCAGTGAGCATCAGAACCCCTGTCGAGTCTAATATGAGCCCGATGAAGCGACATTTCTCGCCTCTCTAGGTGGTTCCTTCTGACAGCTGTAACCTTGTGTTGCTGCAGGTTTCTTTCTCATCTCATGTTCTTGAACTGCAGCCGAGTCTCCGTACAGTTCCTTTTTCAACCCAACTGTTGGCAATGTAATCGCAGGTTTAATGAAAACACCTTGATCCGTGTTTTTCCCCACACCTGCTGTGAATGAAGCACAGGAAAAGTAGGTTGCAGTCAAACTGTGGTCGTGATAGTGGGTTGGGTGAGGGGTGAAAAGGTGTTTAAATCTCCTTGTTGACTGCTCCAATATGTTGTTATATCTAATGGAGTACAGGAGCAACCCTGCAGAAATAAATCTGAAGTTTTAATGTAGAAACTCAAAAAGTTTTGATCACACAATGTGAAAATAAAAGTAGCAAAAAACCCAGATCAACAGTGGTGATGTGATGCAATGGTGAGAAGGATCTGGTCTTTGTTTCTACAGTGTTTGTGTAGCTAAGATGAGTTAAGATCCTTCACTTCCTGTTTGAAAGAGAAGGTTTTGAGCTAAAATAAAATTTTGGGAGTATGAACTTCTGCACTCTGAGAGGATTTGAGAGAAATCCATCATTCCTACAGCTTCTCTTTCTGTTTCTGACTGAAGTTTGGCAGCAAACATCTGATTATTCTGGTCTGACTGAACTCTGCCCGAGTGGTTATTCTTTTCTTAGCCAGCCCCGGGGTTCTGGTTTTGGTGGAGGCCTTGCTGTTGTTTTTAGAGACCATCTTCCATGTAGCTCTACAACCTCTGGTTGCTTTGCTTCCATTAAACTGCAGCTGATTAAAGTCGGGTGTAAGGACCCGTTCTACTGTGCTGTGGTCCATCGTCCACCTGGTCCTAACAGTTCTTTCCTTCAGGAGTTTAGTGACTTTCTATCCTCCACTGTGAAGCTGTCAAGTCTGGTGTTTGTTGGTGATTTTAACATCCATGTTGATGATCCCTCAGACCACTTTGCCATGAGTTTCTCTAGCCTCATGGACTCCTTCAGCTTTACCCAGCATGTTTCTGGCCCCACACACACCAGGGGGCACACTCTAGACCTCGTTTTTACCCTGAGTCTAAATGCTGACAGTGTTTGTCCTGAGGACGTTTATATTTCAGATCACCATTGCATTTTCTTTAACTTGTCAGTTTCTGCATCCCCACCTCCTGCTCGCCGTATGGTTAGTTCTAGTTTTCTTAATGAGACCACAGCTAGCATTTTTTCTTTTGCTTTTGATCCACCCTGTTCTTCTGATAACGACCCAGATTCCTTAACTTCTCAGTTTAACGAGCACTGCCTCTCCTTTCTGGACAACATCTGTCCTGTCAGAACCAGATCAGTTCCTGCAGTGAACCCTACTCCCTGGGTTAATGACAGCATTCACAGCCTGAAGCAACAATGCAGAAAAATTTACCACTTGTGGAAGAAAACCCATCTCCACGTCCATCTGCGGCATCTAAAGGGTCTTCTGACATCCTTTAACTCTGCAGTCAGAGACGCTAGGGTTTCCTATTTCTCCAACCTGGTGTCCCAGAGCAAAGGGAACCCCAAGGTGCTGTTTAACACCATCAGCAGCATTGTCTCTCCTGCCTCTCCTACAGCCTCCATCCACTCTGTTACAGACTGTGAGAACTTTCTGTCTTTCTTTGTGGACAAAGTCAATAAGGTTAGATCTAGCATCTGTCCTTCAGCCTTATCGCTGCCTCTCCCGACTCCAACCAGGCCCATCATCCTAGATAGCTTTGCTCCTGTTTCTTTGCCTGAGTTAACCAAACTAGTTAACTCTATGAAGACCTCTGCATGCCCCCTCCACATCTTACCCTCATCTTTGTTTAAAAGTGCTTTTCAGTCCATCGGTCCCAGTGTGCTCTCTATAATTAATGCTTCTCTGGTCTCTGGTCAGGTCCCTGCTTACTTTAAGAACGCTGTAATCCACCCGCTTCTTAAAAAACCGAGTCTTGACGCCTCTCTCCATAGCAGCTTCAGACCCAACTCTAAACTTCCGTTCATCTCCAAGATCTTGGAAAAGGTTGTGGCTAAACAACTCACAGCTGCTCTTGATGAACATAGCATCTATGATAGCTTCCAGTCAGGTTTTCGTAGAACTCATTCTACTGAAACAGCTCTTCTTAGGGTCTCTAATGACCTTCTGACTCACAGTGATGCAGGGGACTGTTCGGTTCTGGTCCTGCTGGACCTGACTGCAGCCTTTGACACTGTTAACCATCACCTGCTACTGGAGGGGCTGAGAGACTGGGTAGGCCTATCAGGATCTGCTCTGGAGTGGTTCTCCTCTTATCTTTCTGAGTGCTCCTTCTCTTTAGCCATCTCCAAGTTTAGGTCCTCCACCACCCTCCTCACCCATGGTGTCCCACAAGGTTCTGTGTTGGGGCCTCTACTCTTCCTCCTCTATCTGCTTCCTCTTCAGCACATTCTGAGCTCCTTCAAAGGAATCTCCTACCATTTTTATGCAGATGACATCCAACTGTACATCTCCTTTAAGCCCCATGAGATGTCTAAGCTGCAGCTGTTACACACCTGCTTAGACTCTTTCAAAACCTGGATGGCTGGGAGCTTTCTACAGCTGAATGAAGATAAGACTGAGATCCTCATCTGTGCCGCAGACAAGCTGGTTCCCAAAGTCAGAGACTCTCTTGATCAGCTTGCATCTCACACCAAACCCTCTGTCAGGAATCTTGGTGTGACCTTTGACCCAGCTCTCACCCTGGATTCTCATGTCAGTCCTCTTGTTCGCACTTCCTTCTTCCATCTCAGGAACATTGCTAAGCTGAGTCCCATTCTGTCCCGCTCTGAACTTGAGACTGTTCTCCACACCTTCATCTCCTCACGCTTAGACTACTGCAACTCTCTTTTCACGTGTCTGAGCAGAACCTCCCTGAACCATCTACAGGTGGTCCAGTGGAGGTCCAGTGACCAAAGCCTACTGGTTGTGCAGCACCAGGCTAAAGACCAAAGGTGACAGATCATTTGCTGCTGTGGCCCCCAGACTCTGGACCTCTCTCCCCCTGAGCCTGAGATCAGTGGACTCAGTGGTCTCCTTTAAAAAGCAGCTGAAAACTCACCTGTTCAGGCTGGTTTTGGTGTGACTTTCATCACCACCTTCTCCTTATTCTGCTCTTTTTACCAATTCCCCCTTTCCTGGGATCCGATTTCCCTCTTTCTTATTCATTTTCTCTCTCCCTTTCCTTATATTCTTTAACTACATTTTTTTCTCTCATTTTAAACATATTTTTAATCACTTTTTAAACTCTTTATATTTTTAATTTTTTGTTTTTGTGAAGTGCCTCGTGATTTTTCTTGAGAGGTGCCATATAAAAGATTGCTTTTTTTTCAGTGAGAGACACGTTGGGTGGAAGCAGGCAGACACTAGTGTGACGTCATCCATTGTCAATTGAATACTGTTTTTGTGATCCATTTAAACTCTGAATGAATTTTATATAGTCGTCCTGAGTTATAAGCTGTTTTTACAGGACAATAGCATTTGCAAAACGGGATTTGCCGCGGCTCCCTGGGGTGGATAAAGGTCGTTTATAAGATCAGACCGTGGCGGTAATGTGGCGCAATCGTGGGATTTTTATGAAAGATTAGGTGATGGCGGCATAAAGGGGGTATAGGGGCGGTCTCTGCGCTGCCGCAGACTTCCGTTTATCTTGGACATAACTTGCTTTTCATTGCGATTGAAGCTGTGATCGTTAAGTTTTTTTTAACAAGCAGCACCTAAAGGTGTCTGTCCCCATCAGTCCCTGTGTAGTCTCTGGTGATCTGAGCTTCAGCTCTAACAGAAAGGCTCGTGGAGCACTGCGGCGCTCCAGTTTGCAATCTCAGCTGATTTAGTTCAAAAAGCGAACCTTATTGCCTGTGTTTACTTTCATTTTCAATAAATTTGCCAGCCGGAGCTCAGCAATAACTCCCCACGTCATCATGACATCTGCCTCTGTTGCCTCACAAGGCGATGTCTTGTGAGGCCAGGCCCCTTGCTTGCAAGGGCACTGTCTTCCCTTGGTCAAAGAAACAGTTAAATGGAACAGACTTGCATCATGTGACTCAAGATTTACGTTATATTTTATATGTATAAGTTTCAATATAAATATGTAACGAGCCTTTTAATTTTAAATTGTGTATAATTTGGTTAAATTAAATATATAAGTGAGTTACTACCTGCTAGCCACCGAAGCTGCAACTACTGAGCAGTAACCAACCATAGCATTGGATATAAAAAACATTTCAGATATCAACCCGATAGCTACAATTGGTTGGCTTACAATTAAACTTGAAATTTGCCTCCAAAATAGCTGCCGGCTTCTGATCTGCCGTCCTTTTGAAAATACTGCTGTGTATTCTGAGAAAATTTTGACCAAGGCTAGGCTACAAGATACTGCCCGTGTATCCTTGCTCAGCTAGCTAAACGGCTAACAAATGGAGAACACACGCCTCAGTAGAACATGAACATTGGAACACATCTTGGTGGTTCCTGATGATGTATCTCCCAGGCAACCAGGGCGGGACCAAGAGATCAAGGCAAGGTCCCTTGGCATTGAGAAACACCTCTAGTCTCCTCCCCTTCTGGACGGCTCATAGGTTCCCTGAACTCCAAAAAATAACATGAATGTAAAAGAATGGGGATATAAAAATTATTTTCTAACCCACCTTGCCTTACGCTCTGAATCACACATATGTTAAACTTCAATATAAATGAAAAGTAATGATGTGAGTTTGAATTATTAATAATAATAATAATAATGCATTTAATTTTTAGGCGCCTTTCAAAACCCAAGGTCACCTCACAAAAACTTGATAAAACTCACACAAAAATAAGAATACGATAATTTAAACAATAGAATTACAAAGAATATACTATAAATTACAGAGTGGAAAGTTTGTGGACTAGAAAGTGTAAGCCAGTTTTGAGTTTGGATTTGAATGAGAGGAGGGAGTCTGTATTTTGGATGTCAGGAGGAGCGACTGAAAGCTCTGTTTCCAATGGTGGTGAGACGAGCAGGAGGAACCACAAGATGAATGGCAGAGGAAGACCTGAGGGAGAAAGATGGGACAGCAACATGGATGAGATCAGAGAGGTAAGGAGGGGCGAGACAGTGGATTCGTTTGTAGGTGAGAAGCAGGCTTTTGAAGGAGATTCTGTGTTCAGTAGGCAGCCAGTGGAGATGCTGTAGAGCAGGGCTGTGTCATGGTCTGCGTCTGCGTCTCCCCTCATGTGTCTCCTTGTGTTCTCCATCCCTCCCTAGGTTCTCCTTTTGTGTCTCCTAGTGCCCTCATGTGTCCTTGTCTGCGTCTTCCTCATGTGTCTCCTTGTGTTCCTCATTTGCCCCCAGATCTTCAGCCCTCTAGGTTTCCCTCCTCAGGCATCCCCCTCCCAGGTCCTGTGCTCCCTTGGCCCCCTTTAGTCACGCCCCTGTAGTTTTTCTTTCTGTAGTGTTTTCCTGTAGTTTCAGCTTCCCCCTTAGAATATTAGTTATGTTTGCTGCCCTTCTGGTCTTTAGGTTTTTCTCTTAGGTCATTTTCCTTTAGTTACAGCTGTTCATGTTATTAGTCTCTTTGGTGTGTTTTTCCCACTGGTGTTTGTGGTTTTTCTCCCCTCTTAGGTTATTAGCTATGTTTCCTGCTCTTCTTGTCTTTAGGTTTTATTCTTAGGTCATGTTAGTTTCCTCCCTGATTAGTAATTGAGTTCACCTGGTCTCTCTCTCCCCACACACCTGCTGTTCATCTCCCTCTCATTCTCCCCAGTGTATATAACCCTGTCTGTGTCTCAATATTTTGTCAGTCCATTGTTCTTGTCAGTCTCGTCTCGTTACTGTTCCTAGCCTCCAGTGTTTCTCTAGTGTTTTTGATGACTCAGTTTAGATTTTTTGATTTTTGGTTTTTGGCTCCCTGCTTTCGGATTAACAACCTTAATAAAGGATTTTTACTTTATCCTCCACCTCTGCCTCGTTCATCTGGTATCTGCATCTTGGGTCCTAAACTTCCTCCTGAACCAACTCGTGACAGGCTGATGTGATCTCTGGAGGGGGTACGAGTGATGATTCGTGCAGCAGTATTTTGGAGGATTTGGAGCTGATGATGGGATTTATGGGGAAGACCAAAAAGGAGAGAGTTACCGTAATCAGTTCTAGAAGTGACTAGGCTGTGTACGAGGATGGCTGTAGCATGAGGGGTGTGAGAGGGGCGGAGTCGGTTGATGTTGCATGAATGAAAGTAGGCTGAGCGAATGATGTTGTTGATGTGGGCTTTGAATGATAGAGTGCTGTCAAGGACGACAACAAGACTCTTTACATGGGGGGAAGGAAGGATGGAGGAATTTTCTATGTTAATTGATATGCTGCGAGATTTGTTCAGAGTGGAGGGTTTCCCTATGAGTAGAGTTTCAGTTTTATTGCTGTTGAGTTTCAGGAAGTTTGATGAGAACCATGATGGACAGGGAGGGCAAAGGGAAGATTACATTTGGTTGAGAGGAGATATAGATCTGGGTGTCATCTGCGTAGCGGTGGAAATTTATCTTGTATTTGCGATAGATTTGGCCAAGTGGAAGAATGTAGATGATGAATAAGAGAGGTCCAAGGACAGAGCCCTGGGAACACCGGCAGAAACGGCAACAGGGTGGGAAGAAAAAGATTTTAATTGAACAGACTGTCTGTCACATACCTTTAGATTTTATTAGCTTGTAAAAACTCCTATTTAAAATGACTACAAATCAGATGTCGCATATATGACTGTAGAGCAGAATCTCTTCCCCCCATCATTACTGCTTCTTACCACGTAGCCAGATTTTTGGGGTTTTCTCTTTGTTTAATACTCTTTCTGTCATCCTAATAAGGATTTGAAGTTCTCTAAACTCACAGCCAGCTTTCTTCTTTTCTTTGGTGTGTCTGATTTTCTGAAATCCATTTGGTGAGACGCACATTTGTAGTCTGTTACATCTGTTCACGCAAATCCCCCCAAAAAACTTTTGCCACTGTTAAAAAATGTGTGCTCCATGTGAAAATATGTGTGTCTTAAATTTATGGACATCCTATGTGAAATCCTTGGCACATATCAAACAAGCTCAGAAGATAATGTATCTTCTCACGGATTTCCATTCATTTGGGGGGGGCATGGTCCAGAAGTAGATGGGCGTGACTTGGGCTCCCCATACAGCTCCAAAATGTTTAACCAAAATCCTGTTTCTGTCTTTGGGGAAATGTTAGCAGCTACAAGCTGTAACTGGTTTCTTTCTGAACCTCAGGTTTTGTTGCATAATTTCCATGGTTTTTTTAAGTTACACAGCATGAAAACTGACTAAACTATCTGTAATAAAAAAAATCAAAAGACAAGGAATATGTTTTCTCCATGTTCCCACAGGGCGGTGAGCACTGTTACTACCAAGGAAGGCTGAGAGGTTTAGCAGAGTCTTGGGCAGCCGTCTCCACCTGCCATGGCCTGTGGTGAGCTCAGAGAACTGGTTTGGTTCAAATCCTGTGCCTGTGTCTTCACACCAGTTTTTTCTGTCTCCTATTTAACCCAAAAGGGTTCAAATAAATGCAACTGGACTTCTCTGGTTTCTTGAAGCGAAATGTCTTCAAGAAACCAGAGAAGTCTAGTTGCTTTGATTTGAACCCTTTTGGATTATCTTGACCTGGATGACTGAGAACCTTCACCAGCATGTCTCCTATTCAACTATCCTTTTGTTGCCCTGCAGGGGCATGTTCTCTGATGGTTTCTTCTCTTATGGAATTGAGCCAGTCCACAACAGGAGCAAACAGGTAGCCGCTCTCTGACTTTAACATGATGTTTTAGATGCTTTATGAAGGTTTTGATCATACATGTCTAAATGGTAGAAAATATCTTGATGGATATCAGATTTTACAATATAAATAAAAGTGATTATTGAAGAGTTTTTAATGTTTGGTGAAATCTGGATGCTGTTCTGTTTTCTTTTTGAGGCCGATGGTGCTCACTTCATCCACAGGATGCCAGATGTGAGACTGTCCCCGTACTGCCCAGGTATGTCGTCTAAGGCTTTATGTACCGGGACAAAATTTATTTGGCTTCTTTCAAAATTCTTTGGAGACATGCTGTAGTCCACCACCTTATATTGCAATATACAAAGTGATATGTCAGCACTCGTATTTGCAGCAGCCATCAGGAATTGGGTTGATTCCCAAAATTAGGGATGAGCCGGATACTCGTTTCAGACGAGTATCCGGTACAGATAATGCATTTTTGACGAGTACGAGCATGAAACGAGTAAAACTCATAAATATCTGTAATCTAGCTGAAGGAAAATCCTCATTGGGTAACTGACTGTCTTCACGCTCTGTGATTGGCCAGTCACATAGAGCGCCCACCCCTCCCTACACACAAAACTCTGCAGCCGGGAACTCACAGCTCAGTCTGCGTCCGGTCCATCCACGCGCACACACAGACAGTAACGGATCTCTCTGTGCTTGCTTCACTGTTCATGTTTCTTCAGTGCTCCCTATGTTTTCTTCAGTTTGCTTCTTTTTAAAGTTACTTCAAAGTTATTTAAAGTTACTTTTTTCGTAACGTACGTGGTGCATTTGACAAGACAGAGCTGAAAACGGCTCGTGCTGCGTCAGTCACTGCCTCCGCTCCGGTCGGTTTTTTTTTTCCTCTCTCTCTCTCCTCTTCCTCAGGATCCACTCCCTCTTTCCTATTCACTCTCTCTTTCTTTACATTTTTTAATCACAATTATCTATTTTTTGCTCATTTTAAATATATTTTAATCATTTTCTAAATTCTTTTTTCTACTTTACATGTTTTGTTTTTGTGAAGCGCCCCGTGATTTTTATCTTGAGAGGCACTATAGAAAATATATTTTCTTCTCTCTCTCTCTCTTAATTCATGAACTTAAATATTAATGTTCTGATTTTATTGAAAAACTTGTTCTGTAATAGTTTCTTTACTATTGTGATCAAAAACATTTAATCTCAACTCTGAGGCTGCTCTGTAAATAGTTTTCAAATAAACAATACACATAGCAACTTCTGATGAGACTTAAAATAACGTATTGATGTAAACCACACCCACTTCCGGTTAAACCACACCCACTTCCGGGTTATGCCACGCCCACTCCGAGTACAGATACAGATAATTTAGATGGTTGAACAGATACAGATACAGATAATGGTGTACTCGCTCATCCCTACCCAAAATGTAATCCTTTGTAGATGTATGTTCAAGGATTACATTGAAATCTATCAGAAGGTAATCGAGGTATTTTGCTATCAAACACACCTTTTGTCTTTCAATCAGCAGAAGTTGTGAAGGTGATGTTTGGTTAAACTTGTTTTAACCAGTGTAGCACAGGAGAATGTTTTAGATACGAATATGAATCTATGAATGTGTAGCATTATACTAAATGTTAACAATTAAATATGATGTGTCTACTTCTCCTTCATTATTCATACTACACTCCAGAAAAGCAGTAATTATGTTAAGTAAGCTAACTTTACTCTAACATCTAAATGCTTCTCATACGTCCAAAGAAGCTCTTTTCATTAAAAATAAGTAGCTGTATTCCTTTTTTTATTCTATTGTTAGAAGACCGTTTCATCACAGTAAAATAAAACAGGACTTTTATCGTTAAGTAACTGGTTTGTGTTTGCAGACTGCTCTGAGGACGAGTGGAGCAGCATCAGCAGTGACAACAGACCAAACCAAACGGGGGGTCACCACCTGACCGGGGGGCTGAGAAGATCAAAGAGATTTGCTAGGAAGCCTTCAGTCCAGGCCGAGACTAAATATATAGAACTGATGGTCGTCAATGACTATGACTTGGTGAGTGAAAGTTTTTTTGTCTGCTTTTCTGCCGGTGGTGGGTTTAGGAGTTTGTCTCCACCCTGCAATCAGAAGGTTGTAGGTTTAAGCCGCCCTTAGTCTGTCGCTGCTCTATCCTTGGGCAAGACACGTCACCCATCTTGCCTTCTGGTGGTGGTCAGATGGACTGGTGGTGCCAGTGTACGGCAGCCTCATTTCCTTCTGTGTGTGTGTGTGTGTGTGTGTGTGTGTGTGTGTGCATGTGCGTGTGCGTGTGCGTGTGTAAATGATTGTGTTGTTTAAAGGAAATAGTTGTGCCTTGGGGGGTTATCATCACTAGCAGGGTAGATGATAAACATGTTTTAACATCTAGATTGAACTTGTTTTCCTGACTGCTACGTTTTGACTCAAAAAGGAGATAAAGACAATGTTTCTGGGGAGATTTTTAAAGATGATCATACATAAATGAATCTGTAAAAGTTTTACAGTTTTACTTTGATACAACTTTAAAAGCATGTCATGTTTTTTTGTCTTGACGTAGCAGAAACCACACGGGTTTTCGTTTATATTTACAACCAAATACCACAAACTAGGATGGCTAATTCCAGCTAGAATTACTTTTCAAAGGACATATTATCCTTTTTTAAAAACGGCACAGTAGAACCAGATCAAAGGAAAGTGTCAGTGACAATGCCTCATTTGGACCATCATAAATGGCCGCTCCCTCCACCCACCACCAGCAGGTAACTAGGGTTAAGTGAACCTTCAACCCTCCGGTCGCGAGGCGGGAACTAAACCCCTCTGCCACCATCATAACTACACACCTGTTTAACTCACTCAGTGAAAATGCTTCTATAGGCAGACAGGATTTAAGACTAAAACAGAAAACATCTGACAAACAGATGCCGATTTTTGTTAAAAAAAAAACAAATTCTGTGAGAAACAGAAGGCTGTGATGGCCACATGTTTAATTTTCTTTTTATTTCTCACTTGTTTCACCAAAAGGTTGAATTTTATTGGATACATCTTGAAGTGATGTTTAAGACTTTGGGACTATTTTTTTATACTTGTACTGTGGAGCACCTTTTGCCTTCTGAGGCCTACTGGATGGTATGGAAATCCATTCCTGCTAATCTGTCAATGGCTAAGAAAATGGAAAAAGATTTGGATGAAGTCAAGAAGTCACTAAACTTTATGTCAGGTGACCTAACTAAAATGGTGACACAACAAAGTGATTTGATGAAACTTATAGTTGAAGTACAAAATCTGAGGGAAATGATTAAAGAGAAAGATAAGAAGATTGAAGAGCTTGAAAACAGAGTGGAGCAGCTGGAGCAACATGCAAGAATGGAGGAGGTGGTGATTTCAGGCCTGGAGACTACACATCGTACATATGCACGGGCAGCTTCTGGAGGAAATGCTGGAGAGGATGCGCCAGCAGAAGAACTTGTCACTGGAGAAACAAGTTATTCAGTTCTTTGGAAGTAAGGGCGTTTCTATTGACAGCACCACTATAGCTGCATGCTACACAATTCCTAAAAAACAGGAAAAAAAATCAATAAACAATAATTCAGTTTGTGAGCAGGAAACATAAAGTTCACTTGTTAAAGGTCGTAAAGAAGCTTAAGGGCACAGGAGTGTATGTAAATGAGCACCTGACAAAGAAGAATGCAGAGATTGCCTGGCAAGCAAGAATTCTGAAGAAGGAGAGGAAAACACAGGATACCTGGATAAGTAACTGTAAAGTAATGATCAAGCTTAATGCACCACCAGAACAGGCTAAAGTGGTGAGCATCAGGAGCCTCTCTGAACTGGAAAAACTTAAATGATGAGAAGAAGAAGATGGTATTTAGTTCATGGACAAAGCAGACTACAAGAAATCAGGAAGTAACAGATTTGTTAGGTTTGTCAGTGATGTAGATCATAAATCAAATCTGATAGATAATGGAGTTGACTCAGAAATTAATGGTTGCAGCAACACCCACCTGGACTGCGAATATTATATTGTAGAGGACTTCAAAGTGAGTATGTGTGGATTTTCATTCATACACTTTAACAGCAGAAGTCTCTACAACAATTTATCTAAGATCTCAGATTACCTACATGAGTTCAAGGAGAAATTTACAGTAGTTGCAATTTCTGAAACCTGGACCAAAGATGGAAAAGAGTTATTGAATAAACTGGATGGCTATGAAATGTTTACTCAGAGCAGACAAAACAAAAGAGGGGGTGGGGTAGCACTTTTTGTTAGGAATGGTTTTGATTGTACGATTCTAACGAATATGACCTTCATTGTTGAGAATTTGATGGAGTGTCTGACAATTGAAATGAAGTGTAAAAAATCCAGAAACATCATTATAAGTTGTATGTATCGTAGTCCTGGTTCTTCCATAGATCAGTTTACTGAACGTATTGAAACATTATTTGGGCAATGTAGGAACAAAATGACTTTAATTTGTGGTGATTTTAATATTGACATGTTTAAATCAGATGATAATACTAAAATAGCTGAATTTATCAATTTAATGTTTAGTTTAGGTTTCTTTCCTTTGATATTGAGACCAAGCAGGATAACAGCCGATAGTATTACACTGATTGACAATATATTTATAAATCAATCTGACATCAAGACAAAGAATGGTCTTTTTTTTAACTGATATTACTGATCATTTACTGGTGTTTAGTGTGGTGGAAATGATGAGAAGTGATGAAACATCTCTGGAAAATGTAAATTATACCACAACTAGAAAAAAAACTCCTGTTGCAGTTGAAGCTCTGAAATATGAACTGTTTTGCTCTGATTGGACTGATGTTTATGTTGTTGATGTTAATAATTCTTATAATGCATTTCTAGAAATATTTTTGGGAGCTTATGATAAACATTGTCCTCTAAACTATCATAATCAAAACTTAAAAAAAGGTCCCCACCCTGGATTGTTAGGGGATTGGAAAGGGCTTGCCAGAAAAAGAACTCACTGTATCTGGATCTTATAAAAAGTCCAACAAAGGAAAAAGAAAAAAGGTATAAGGAATAAAAAAACAAATTAACTGCAATAATAAGGAAGCAAAAAAAGGAATATTATGATCAGCTTTTCCTAAAACACAAAAATAATATCAAGGGTACATGGAATATGTTAAATAAATTAATAAGAAATACAAAAGAAGCAGGTATAGATATTCACATAAAAATGAAAAGAACAATGCAAATGAGTTTAATAAATATTTTGTGAATGTTGGCCCTAATCTAGCTAAAAAGCTGCCAGAAGTTGACATTAACCATGAAATAAATAAAAATAATAATACAATGTTTTTGAGCAGTGTAAGCCAAAGTGATGTGATCCAAGCGGTACATAGTTTCAAAGGTAAAAAGTCCTTAGATTTTCATGGGATAGACATGTCTCTCATCAAGGAGGTTATCCATTGCATTATTGAACCTTTCACTTATATTTGTAATAAATCCTTTTCAAGTGGCACAGTCCCTGAACAAATGAAAATGGCCAGAGTTATTCCTAGTTATAAAAGTGGTGGTAAATTATTAGCTTGTAACTATAGACCTATCTCTTTACTGCCACAGTTTTCAAAGATACTTGAGAAACTTTTTGTAATTAGATTTGAAGCATTTACCAACAAGTTTGATCTTTTCAATGACCATCAGTATGGGTTTAGTAAGAATTGTTCAACCTCATTAGCAGTTATGGAATTGGTAGAGCAGACTGCAACAGCAGTGGATCAAAAACTTAATGTAGTGGCTGTCTTGATTGACTTGAGTAAGGCATTTGATACAATTGATCACACATACCTGCGCAAGAAATGTGAATACTATGGTCTTCATGGTAAAACCAAGCAATGGCTTGAAAGTTATTTAAGCAGTAGATTTCAATATGTTAATGTTAATGATATAGATTCACAGCTTGAAAGAGTAATATGTGGTGTACTGCAAGGCTCGGTGCTAGGACCGAAATTATTCAACCTATACCTGAACGACATCTTTTCTGTATCGTCTTGGTTAAAATTTATTATGTTTGCAGATGATACTAATTTTATTTGTATAGGTAAAGATATGAGTAAAGTATTACAAGAGGTTGAAAATGAATTGGGTTCAATGAAAAAATGGTTTGATTACAACAAGCTATCACTAAATGAAAATAAAACCAAATTTATGATATTTTCAGGGAACAGGGACAATGACGGTGCTAAGCTGTATTTAAATGGAGTCCCAATTGAACAAGTATATGAAACTAAATTCCTCGGTGTGATTATTGATAGTAAACTCAGTTGGAGACCACATATTGAATATATCAAACAGCAAGTGTCTAAATCTATTGCTATACTTAATAAAACTAGTGATGTACTAAATAAAAAAAGCCTTGTTTTTGATGTATTGCTCTTTAGTTATGCCTTATTTGTCTTAGTGTGCAGAGGTTTGGGGAAATGCAGGTAAAACGTGTGTTGAGACTGTATTTAAATTACAAAAAAAGGCGATTAGAATAGCTAATAAATCGGGATACCTCGAACCAACCCATAATCTATTTAGTCAAACTAAAACGCTAAAATTAGGAGATATTATTAAAGTAAAAATCTTAGAGATTCTTCATAAAGTAGTTAATAATAATATCCCAAATTGCATAAAAGTTTATTTCAAACCAAGAGATGATCATTATAATCTCAGAGGTGTATTTATGTTTGAATGTGTAAAAGCCAGAACTAATGTGAAATCAAGATGTTTCCGTTGTTGGTGTGAAATTGTGGAATGAGTTAGATGATGATTTGAAGAAATGTACTTCCTTACTAAAGTTTAAAGCAGGTGTGAAGTGTCACATACTTACAGGGTATGAAAAGTATGTATAGACATTAATGAATTTTCATTGTGGTTATTTATATTGGGGAAAATAAAAGAAATGTATATTGTACTCCATGTTTGATAGACCACAAACCTTGGCGTAAGAACTTTTTGTTTTACTGAGCTTAAGAACGGTTTTAGTAAGGATTCTACACAATGTTTGATAAATGAGACCCCTGATGTGAGCATTTATCAGATCCTCCTCTTTATCCATCTGTGGACCTTCATCTCTCTGCAGTTTGTACAGCTGCGTCGCTCAGGCAGCCAAACCAAGAACTTTGCTAAAGCTGTGGTCAACACAGCCGACACGGTAAGGTCTGAAAACTTCCTGCTAGACACACACACACACACACACACACACAAACCACCAGCTGGATGTTCTTGTTTGGAAGAAGTTTCTCTTCACAGTCAAAGCTGATGAACAGCTTGTGCTCCTCAGATCTTTCAGGAACAACTGAACACACGGATTGTGCTGGTTGCTATGGAGACCTGGACCTCTGAGAACATGGTGCCGGTAGTGGAGGACCCGCTGGTGACACTGCAGAACTTCATGAAGTACAGGAAGGGCAGCATCAAGGAGCAGAGTGACATCATCCATCTTTTCTCGTACGAGAAGATAAATCTATAAATATAAGCCGTGTTTCCTGAGGGTCGGTTTTGATGGGAGTTGGGTTCTAGGTGACTTTTCATTTCTAATGAAAGGTTGTTGTTGTTTTTCTGTTTGTTTATTTCTCAGAGGGAGAACCTTCCACAGCGGCCGCAGTGGGACAGCCTACACAGGAGGGGTGTGTTCTCAGACAAGAGGAGGAGGAATCAATGACGTGAGGAGAATAATAAATGTCTCTAGCAAGGACTGAGTTAGAAAAGTATTTTTCAGATAAATGTTAAAACATTCATGTAGTCAAAAATAAAACCATTGAATTATTGTTCAATATTCTAAGTTTAATCAAATAAAATGTTACTTATAAAATAATGTTCTACTCAATACTTCAAACACAAATTCTCTGAAAGGCGACAGTCATGATTTTGCAGTTGGTATCTTAAAGTAAATTAAAAGAGCTGGTTAAATAAGTGCACAATTAAATCATCTTTAGTTCACTTATTTTAAACATACTTTGATGGTGATTAGTCTCAGTTTGCCTGCGGGTGTACTGAAGTCAGGTGGAGTTAAAGAGGGACTGCACACCATCAGAAAACGTAACTCCGCCCCTAGTCAAGATTCAGGAGGCACAGAGTGGCATGGCCAAGTGTGGGGAATTTCCATCACGGGAGGGCGAGGGAGTGGGAGGAGACTGTGTCGATGATGTGAAATTGTTCCAGCCCCAGTCAATCACAAGTGTAAAGGATGGGTAGTTTACATCTTACTTATGAACCATAAAATGTGAGATTCCATAGAAATATGAAATATCAATCTGATGGATCTTTGAATATTTTAACCAGAAGATGAGAACTTTTTATTGCAGGGATTAAGCGACACTTCGTATTAACTCCAAGGAAAGAGAGAGAGTCTGGTTTATAATAGTTAAGAAATTTATTTCTACACAATTTAAACAAGACTAACCCCCAAATTCCACTACCTCCGCTCCGCTCCGCTCCGGTCCGCCCCCGCCTTCCGCAGCCGCTCGCTTCCGAACTCAATTTTTACTGGTACCCACTCTACAACGGCTCCGCTCCGGTGCGGAGACCTGAGGGGGGCAAACAAGCATGCGCGGGATTTTCGAGATCTTGCGATACAGTCCGAGCAATAAACGCGGAAGTTAGATCCAAACACCCGTTGTGTGGGAGAAGCATCGAAATGAACTGTTTAATCTGCCCATCATGTGTGTTGAGAGATCAGCAGTGTTTGGATCAACAAAGTGTGTCTACTTTGATAGTAGAAACTGTATTTATGGCTTAATTTTGTGCATTTAAACTTCAGCCGTGATTGATAGTGTTTAAAAGTTGTTAAACCTGTGCATATGAAACAAAAAACGCCTTTTGTTTATCGATTTATTGTGAAATACGGAAATTGTGCTTGCTCCTTTTCCTGTTGGGCCGTTGTGATTTCTGTCCATTTACTGCGGAGGTGCTCCGGCGTCCGGCGAAAATAGGATCGATTCTATTTTTGCCGGACGCCGGAACAGAGGGCGGCGCACGGCGCCGCACTGCCGGAGCACGGCCGCAGTAGTGGAATTGCTCTGATTGACTAGAACGGGACCGATTTTGCTCCGGCGTTCGTGTCGGAGCGGAGCGCAGCGGAGTGGAGGTAGCGGAATTTGGGGGTAACTTTAACACTCTGTGTACTGATGGAGTAAGGTGGAGTGAGACGTGATGAATGATGATGGTGTGTGTGTGTGTGTGTGTGGAATGTTATTCAGAACCAGCGGATCTGGAGAAGCATTTAGTTCTGAGTGGGAGTGAATGTTTCGCTCTAAACTTTAGTAGGAGATTTATAACACACATGAAACGCCATCTGTCGGTCTACGTACCCCAGGGGAAGCCTCCGTTAGATCCAGAATGTCGAGGTCCTCTTGGACCCTCCTTGGTACCGAAGCCGGTAGAAAAGCAGCGGTGCCGACGAAACTAGTCTTGGAATGCTTCCAGGTCACGACAAGTTATCACTGGCGTCTCCCAGTCCCTGAAGGGGTCATGAGGTTCAGCTTTTATTCTGAAGGAACCGTTGCGGTCAGGTGTAACGTGCAACAGATTTTATCCAGCTTGTCGAGGTTCTTTAAGGCTGAAGAGGAAGTCCGGATGGCCGGTCCCAGACTTCTCTAGAACGCTTGAACTAAAGAAAAGGTGGCGTGGGATAGTTTTTATAATTGTCATATTTTGGTTTACTGGCGAATCAGAATTTGACATGCCAAAGAGGGTTTATACAAACACCACAGATAACCACGCCCAGCCAGAAACGAAGGTTCTGATTGGATCAGACAAAAGGAAATGTGTCGTGTGACTTTAGCATTACGTGTCATCAGTGTCTAGTGCAGATGTCCAGGATTATAATAACTTGTAAAATACTACTGATCACAGGATTATAACATCAAGTAATACATTGTCATTTCACAGATTGATTGAACATTGGGCTCACATTATTATTGGTAATAACAGAGTTGTTGATTATGTGTTTTATCACAAGAGAGTTCTTGTCTTCGTTGTAACAAAGGTGAAGCAGTTCAGATGACAGAGTGCATGAATGACCTTGGCCACTATCTCATGTAGATTAGGCTGTCAGAGACTTTATGTCTCTGCTCGAGCAGACGCAGCAGATCATGACCTTTAGGTCAAAAACAGGACATTCATGATGCTGCAGAAGTTCAAAATGCAGTAGCCGCTGTTCTGCCACAGGGGGCAGCACTAAGGCGTTTTTAGACCTAGAGTCTAGATTTAATCTAGTTCACACAAACATGTCAAAAATGCACAGAAACAGATACATTACATTTGTAAAGACCCAATTATACAGTTTATAAGCAGCAAAAAGTAGTTTTAGGGTTTAGTTACTCTTTAAGTTTCCTTGGTGGAGTTATTTTTGAAGTCTGGATCATCAAGCTGGTTGTTGTCATTCTGCAGGTGTTTTGCATGCTAAAAGCTGTTTAAACAAACATAACCAAAACCACTGATACACACTTTATCTGGAAACCACCAGTATTTGTGAGAGCGCCCTCAAATGGCAGAAAGCAGCAACAACCATGAGGCAACAGGATGGTGTCTCGGCCAATCTAACGAATAAAAAACCCAAACCTAACTTTTATCACGACACTGAACTCTGGGTTTAACATGTAGGTCTGTGTGTGGGGTTGTTTCAGTACGGGAGTGTCGGAGCGATGGCCATCACTTTGTGTCAGAGTCTGGGTCAGAACATCGGGATGAGGTGGAACAACGCACGGACGTCAGCAGGTGAGTCCGCAGGAAAAGGTTTAACATGCAGGAACTTACCGGTTCAGTCATGGGAAATCCAGACCTGTTTAAACTTTGAATGCAAAAGCATGAAGCAGACTAAACCTGATGTTCGGTGTAATTTATTCTTGTTTTGTCTACTTCTGTGTTAAGCTGATGTGTAACTTCATATGTTTTACTTGTTTTTTTGTTTTGTTTTTTGTCTTTTTGCAGGTGACTGCAGGTGTCCAGATGCCTGGGTGGGCTGCATCATGGAAGACACAGGGTAAATGTCCTCGACGTGGAAGTTTGTCCCATTTCATTTCTCTCAGATTACCAATTCAACACCTGTACAAAAGCAACACTTTGACCCCTATCCTGACCTCCAGCTGCTGACGGTCACAGTCTGCATTTGAAGCTCAGAGAATTAGTGTTGAGGCAGCAGATGCCATCATTACAGATTGTGAACTAAAAGTATTTACTACATGAGTGATTTGGATTAGGATCCCCTGGGCAGATGGAACAATACAGATTTCAGTTATTTGAGTCATATCTTGCTGCAGATGGTAACGTTTGTGTCAGATTGCAAAGTGATGGCACAGACACCCACAATGGATCTGCTGTCCACTAGCAGCCAAAAGCATTGTACTGCTTGTGTTTTACTTTGTTTGTGCGTGCGTGCGTGCGTGTGTGTGTGTTCACAGATTCTATCTGCCCAGAAAGTTTTCTCGCTGCAGTGTTGATGAGTACAACCAGTTCCTACTCCAGGGGGGTGGGAGCTGCCTCTTCAACAAGCCCAGTAAGGTGAGGGCCGTGTGTCATCTGCCTCTAAATATCCTGAATAACACCTTCTTCTGAGTATCCCAACACTTCTAGTCAGTAATCCCATGTTGTTTTCATTGTTATGATCAGCTGTTAGACCCTCCAGAGTGTGGCAATGGCTTTGTGGAGCCAGGAGAAGAGTGCGACTGTGGATCCCTGGTGGTAAGTAGCAACTTTGGCTTTTGTTAAATATGCATCAGCCCAGCACTTAGCTGATTATTTGTTTACCTGCTTTTTGGCTGCAGGAGTGTGCACGCAATGGAGGAGCCTGCTGCAAAAAGTGCACCCTCACCCATGATGCCATGTGCAGCAATGGACTCTGCTGCAGTGGCTGTAAAGTAAGTTGAACAAAAATCTAAACAGTCAGTGAAGGGAGGAGCTAAAGCCATCTGAGTAATCTGAAGTACCACAGAGGATCATAAATATGAAACGGTTAATTTCCATACGGAGCTACTTGCCTCCATCTTCTGAGATCTAAAGGGTTTTGACTCTGGAAAGATTTGTACCAAACACCATAACGTGCACATATGTAAACATTAAGATCAAGTGGCGTGTGTTGTGTTTAGGTGCAAATGCAAAACTGACAACTGATTTCAGAGAATAAACACACTTTATGTGGTAGGACGCTGCTGACAGTCATGTTTCTGTCAGAAGAAATCCTAGTCTGCCACCTAGTGGTAGATCTAGTACAGACTAATGTCTAAACCAGAAGAACTCAAAGAGCCACTTTTATCACTTTCCTTCAAAATGAAATCCACACAAAACCAATACTGGACCCTTAAGGTGTGTATAAAACTGTTTAGAAATGTTCATATGTCTATTTACATTTTGTTCTTTTTAACTCAGACAATAGAGAATAAACTAAAGCTGTGTCCAGGAAAATGACATTTTGCTCTAAAGAACTGTTTCGTTTTTACAAGAAACCATCGTTTTACTTCTGTGTGTATATTTTTACAATATGAATATGATTGATCAGAGAATACTGTAATTTTGTTTTTGAAGAGTTTGTGCAGGACATTACCATCAGCAAAAACTATCCAAGAACACCTGAAATGGTCTAAATTCACACACACACACACACACACACACACACACACACACACACACACACGCACGCACACGTCAGCTCAGATCAGATTTATTTATAAAGCGCTTTTCAAACAAAGTGCTACTCAAAGTGCTTTACAAAATGACCCCAGATTCCCATGTCCCACATGTCTGTCTTTCTATCATAGTGAGGACTCCATTGACTTCCATTCATTTTTGTGACTCCACTATGCCTAACTCATACCCTAACCATAACCATAACCAATGCTGATCTGTTCCTAACCCTAACAAAAACTTAATTCACACCAGACCTCTAAAACTTGTAAGCTTCTAAAGAAAAGTGAGGACCAAAAATGTCCTCACTTTGAAAAAAGCCCTCACATTGTAGAGAAAATGGTCAAAATGGTCCTCAGTATGTAAGTACAAGAACACACACACAAACACACACGAGCACACAGCTGAATCAAAGTATTTTTAAAATTAGTTTGACCTCAGAATGGCCGGTTGTGGTGTACATTACACTTAGGAATGGCTGAATTATATATGTATATATATATATATATATATATATATATATATATATATATATATGTATGCATATATATATATATATATGCATATATATATATATATATATATATGCATATATATATATATATATATATATGCATATGCATATATATATATATATATATATATATATATATATATATATATATATATATATATATATATATATATATATATATATATATATATATGCATATGCATATATATATATATATATATGCATATGCGCATATATATATATATATATATATATATATATGCATATGCATATATATCTATATATATATATATAGATAGATAGATAGATAGATAGATAGATAGATAGATAGATAGATAGATAGATAGATATATCTGGGGCAGCAGTAGCTCAACAGGTTGAGCGGGTTGTCCAGTAATCGGAAGGTTGCAGGTTCGATCCTGGCTCCGGACAGAGAATTCTGCTGTTGTGTCCTTGGGCAAGACACTTAACCCACCTTGCCTGCTGGTGGTGGTCGGAGGGTCCAGTGGCGCCTGTGCGTGGCAGCCTCGCCGCTCATCCCCACCAGTGTATGAATGTGTGTGTGAACGGATGAATGATACACTGTAGTGTAAAGCGCTTTGGAGGCCTTACTCTGAGAGGCGCTATACAAGTGCGGGTCATTTATCATATATATATATATATATATATATATATATATATATATATATATATATATATATATATATATATATATATATGATAAATTGTTTTAATGAGAAAATGTGTGATTGTGTTTCTGTTACATAAATGCTTTTTGGTGTGAATTGTTGAAATATGAGAGTAAAACTAACCCCCTTAGCCCTCACAAGAAACCATCTATTCAGTAATGATCCGAGGCCTTCTGGTTGTATGTCCTGCAGTACGAGCTCAGAGGAGTTGTGTGTCGAGAGGCCGTAAACGACTGTGATATCCCTGAAACCTGCACAGGAGACTCCAGCCAGGTAAAACCTCCTCTAGACACAATTGAGCAAAACTATCCCACTATGGTATCAAACAATCTTCATAAGATGTTTTTACTGTGCAGTGCCCTCATAATGTGCACAAGCTGGATGGTTACATGTGTGATAACAGCCAGGTGAGACCTGCTCTGTGACTCATCCTCTGGTTCGCAGCTTCTGCTATGAAAAGCTTGATCGGCACGTTTCACCTCCACAGGGACGCTGCTACAGTGGGCGATGCAGGACACATGATGGACAATGCAAAGGACTGTGGGGCTTCAGTATGTAATGAAGACACTTAACGAGCATGCTCTTATTTTGTCACACTGCTTGTGTGAGACTCATTTCCACGCATTGCAAAGGTTAAATTCACATGTGGTGGTGTTTTAAACAGTCAGCACATGTAAATGCTGCAGAGTGACACTTATGTGTTTGTCTGTTGTATAAGCAAGCAGTCACTGTAACGCTCCTGAGTCCAAGAGGGATTTCCCCCATGGGAACACTAAAGAGCCATTTGATTTGATTTGATATGAAAGAAATGCTTCTGTTATTTTTGGGCGTGACACATCCTGTGCCATAGTGTCCATTGATGCTGATTAAACACTTGGGTAACACTTTACAAAAAGGGTCGCTTTGTTAATGTTATTTAGTGCATTATTAAGCAATAATAAACTATTAAATAAAGTATTAACAACTGCTTAATATTAATGTTAATAATATTTAATGTATGACTAAACAGACACACACACACACACATTCTGACCCTTTGTCCTAACCTAAATGATACTCTGTAGTTAACAGTATCCGAAACATTAATAAAGGGACCCTTTTTTATTAATGCTTATTAATTAACTAAGTAACATTAATAAAGGGACCCTTATTGTAAAGTGTGAACCACACGTTTATGTTCTCCAGAAGCTCTTCGCTGCTTTTATAGCAGTGCAGTCTGTCTAAGTCTTAAATGACTGATTAATAGTCACGTTTAATTTATTCTAAGGTGATGAAATTCTTTTTGGTTTCATAGTTTATACTTTTTAGATTTTAATTAGCATAAATCGCCACTAGAGAATGCAATTCTGACGGCTGAAGACAAATGTCCTGCAGAATCTGAAAACTTCTGCTTTGAAAACGATGTCCTTTCAAGAGAAACCCTGTTGGAAATGAAAATGTTCTGCGGTTAATAAAATCCTTCAGCTGTATAAACAGACCATAATAAATTAGCCCTGCTGAAAGGTGCTTCCTGAGCGTATTAAAGATGAGACTCGATGCTCTGAGGCCACACCAGGAAGTTCTTGATCTGTTTTCCCCTGAAGAGGAGAAATACTGTAATTCCTGGACTACAGAGCGCACCTCAACATAAGCCGCACCGGGCTAAAAGCCACAGATATCTACTGAACTGAAAACGTAGTTTAACTGAGCGTAATTGAACTGATCAGTATCAAACAAAACAGAAACGTTATTGATTAGTTTATTCATCGTCCTCCTGCGCTCTGAAACCATTAAAGTCCTCTTTTTCAGTGTCGGAGTTGAACAGCCTCAGAAGAGCTTCGTCACATACCTTTTCTGTGGCGATGTCCGTGTTGCTGTCATCATCCCCGGGTGAAGCTGGGAAAACAAGCAGCGCCGTTTTACTGTGAAAAAAGTCCTCCTGGGCGATTTCCGTACCACTCCTTTAACCATTCCTTCATTAGACTTTCCAGCATCCATCCTTTCTGGTTGACTAAAGCCGCGTGGTTCAAAGCGTGGGAAAAAGTAGCGGCTTATAGTCCGGAAAATACGGTAGTTGCTGTGTTTCAAAATTAAGTGATTAAACGCAATAATTGAGATTAGGATTGCAATCATCACTTCTCACCTGCCTTCATAAACGTTTCCCTGTCGCCTCAGGCTCAGCAGACAGGTTTTGTTACGAGAAGCTGAACGCTGAAGGAACAGAGAAGGGGAACTGTGGTCGGGATCCTGAAGGGAAAGGCTGGCAGCAGTGCAACAAGCCGTGAGTTCTGCTCAACTCTTTATGTAATTCTAACTCTTTTCCACATCTGGATTAAAAAAATGATCTGCTTTGCTTTGTGCTTGTTTTCTCAAATCTCCTCAGAGATGTTTTATGCGGTTTCCTCTTCTGTGCCAACATCACAGCCAAGCCAAAATTTGGAGATCTTCAGGGTGAAGTGACCAGCTTCACCCTTTACCATCAGAACAAGTACCTGGACTGCAGGTTGGTGCTTGGGTCTGGTTCACGTCCAGATTAAAGAAGTAGAGAGTCCTCCCTCGGTATTGTCTGACTGAAGCCTCTGGATGCTTTGACAGAGGTGGCCACGCTCTGCTAGAGGACGGCTCCGATATGGGCTACGTGGAGGACGGCACTCCCTGTGGTCCAAACATGATGTGCTTGGAAAGACGCTGCCTCCCTGTTACGGCGTTCAACCTCAGCACGTGTTCGGGGTCCACCCTTGGACATATTTGCTCCGACCACGGGGTGAAAACATGCTCTACGAACTTCAGACGATTATTTAAATACAGCAGTTTAAATTTTTGATTTGAACAAATGAAGGTTTTCGTTTAGGAGAAATTTTTCTTTGAAACCGATTTGTTGATCCTGATTGGTCGGAAAGACGTGCGGCGCCAGCGTTTGGCAGGCCCACCTCTGTCAGCACGCCCCAGGACAGCTGTGCCTACAGCGTAGCTCATCATAACCACCGTGTGAAAGTGTGTGTGTGCGTTGGTGGATGAGTGATTGTGCTGTGAAGCGCCTTGGGGGGTTGTAGAACCTTTGAAGGAACCATACAGAACAGGCCGTTTATGATTCGTCCTTTTCTAAAGCATATCTGGTTTATTGTTCACATAGCTGCTTTTCAAACCAAAGCAGTAGTCGTGGTTATAAGGCAAGTTTGCTCTTTTAATTTTAGAGTTCATGTATCCGAACATGATGAGAAAGATCTGATGTTGTAAAGATCATGGGATCCACGCTAAAGTGTAGAAACCAGATTGTCACCTGAAAATAAAACAAACCAAAGAAAATCCACCAGCTGAGAGCGGGTGTGAGCTTCTCCAGTGACGCTGCCGTGCTTTAAGCTTGGTTTATGCTTGACGCATTCACTTTCCGCGCGGTGATGCGGCTCGCGGATGGAACGCGCTTCACAACTCGCAGCGTTTATGGTTCATGCGGCTCGTCTCTGCGGTGAGCCAATATTCTCCCAAACTGTAGGGGGCATCATGGAGCTCTACGGCATGCACCCAACACTACACCATAGTAGAAGTAGAAATTACTGTTTACAACACGGCATTCCAGCATTTTTAACAGCGTCCTCGTCTTTTCCGACAGTGCGAGCTATTTCTCTCCAAGAATTATTAACAACATGTTGATCACGGTGATCTCTGAGAGCTGAATCATACAAATGTCTGTATTTACGGACCTCTGTCATTCTAGTTCTTGCCGGTCCGCCATGTTTTTCCGCGTCCGTCCGTCTGCGTGGTTAGAAATTTTCCGAGGTGTGTGTTGCGGAAATTCTGGGCCGTGCGGAGCCGCGGTGGAGGGGCGTGGTTGTTAAAATGACGCAAAATGAAGCAACTTTTCCGCGCGGAGCCGTGCGGACCTCGTGGACGCGTCAAGCATAAACCAACCTTTAGGGTCCTCTGGTTCAGGCGGAACTTGACGAACCTGAGTCGTGCGGCCATCTTTGTTTTTAAAAAAGAGGATTTCTCCCAAAATGCTTCTAAACAAACTTTTGACTCGTCCTCCGACTGTCCTGTTGTTAACTTTAACCGTGTACTTGTCTGTAGAGGCTGAGACGGATCTCTTGATGTTTCTGTAACTTCTTGCTGTCTTGTAAAGTTCTCCCTGTAGAACGACAAACTCCACGTTGTTTTAAAATGACCTTTAACCCTTCTTAGATAGATGGACAGCAACAGCCTGTTTAAGGTCAAAGGTCAGATGCTCTTCTTCAAGATGTTCTGCTGGAGGGCCAAATTCGTGGCTCCATGAGCCCTTTTTAGAAGACACACCATGTAACGCTGCCACCTTGGTGTGCCTAATGAAAGCGCCATGGCGGCATGGCGATGTGGGAATTAAGCGGCGCTCGTGCCGGCAGGCTCTTTAATAATATTGCTGCAACGCTGGACTTGTGAATGTATATCATGTCTTGGCACAACAGAGGGAGGTGTCACGATCACGTGGGGAGTTACTGCCGAGCTCCGGCAGGGAAGTGTATTAAAAATGAAAGCAAACACGGGCAGCTAGTTTAGCTTTTGTTACCAGAACCAGCTGAGCTGGAGAGATCCAGGAGCTTCTCTTCGTTAGAGCTGGAGCTCAGATCATCTGACGGTTCACGGGGACTGTGGAGGACAGACACCTTTAGGAGCGCCTTGAAACAAAAACCTAATGATTGCGGCGGGGCAGAGAGCGCCCCATACCCCCTTTATGCCGCCATCGCCTAATCTTTTGTAAAAAGTACACGATTGCACCACATGACCGCCACGGCCTGACCACTCATAAACGACTTGAGGCTCCCTGAATGGCTCATGAGTGAAAGAGCTCATGGTGTCAACACCATGTCCCACATGCCTTTCCTGTCATTAAACTGTGACCTCTGACCTTGCCCAAGAGTGGCCTTTAGATGATCTTCTGTGTTCTTTTTGAGATCTTTTAGCCTCCATGTTGCAGACATGTTTATGTTTATGTATTTAGCAGACGCTTTTGTCCAAAGCGACTTACAAGTGATAATCGGCATGTTGCCCTTGAGGCTAACAACAACAATAACAACAACTTGACATCAATCATGGAGAGGAGGGAACAAGGAGTGGACAGTAGAGAGGGGGGATGGGTGCAGGGAGGGTGCTAGTTTAGAAGATGCTCTCTGAAGAGCAGGGTCTTCAGGAGTTTCTTGAAATTTGAAAAGGAAGCCCCTGTTCTGGTAATGCTTGGAAGGTCATTCCACATTTGTGGAACGATGCATGAGAAGAGTCTGGATTGTCCTGAGCGTGGTGTAGGCACTGCTAGCCGACGATCCTGTGATGACCGGAGCGGCCGGGCCGAGACGTAAGCCTTTGCAAGAGGATTCAGGTAGATGGGAGCCGTACCATCTCGGACTTTGTATGCTAGTGTTAGCAATTTGAATTTGATGCGTGCTGCTAGCGGTAGCCAGTGGAGCTCAATGAACAGAGGGGTGATGTGTGCTCTTTTTGGCTGATTGAAGACCAGACACGCCGCTGCATTCTGGACCATTTGAAGAGGTCTCACAGTACAGCCTGGAAGACCAGTTAGAAGGGCATTGCAGTAATCGAGGCGGGAGATGACAGTAGATTGCACCAGGAGCTGGGTGGCATGTTGTGTTAGGTATGGTCTGATCTTTCGTATGTTATACAGCGCAAAGCGGCATGAACGAGCAACAGAGGCAACATGATCTTTAAAGCTCAGGTGTTCATCAATCACAACACCCAGATTTCGAACTGCCTTTGAAGGAGCCAGAGATAGGAAGCCTCACAAAACGCATGTTCTATTGAAGTGAATGCCGGGTGGTAATCATGTCTGAGTGTGGCTTCTCAACTAATCTAGCTAAACCTTGTGGTCCAGTGATGTAACAAACATCAGTATCGGGCTTCATAAGACGTTCTTGGAGTTTCATCAAGTGTAGCCACCCAGGTCATCCCTGCACTCACTCTGACGTGGTGTTTTTTCCCCTGCAGACTTGCAGTAATGAGGTGAAGTGTATCTGTGACCGGGACTACACGGGGAAGGACTGCAGCGTGTATGATCCTATTCCTGAGCCGACTGTGGCAACGGGTCCAGAAAAAAAAGGTCCGTAGCAGCTTCCAGCCTCGTGTCACGCCCCCTCATAGTCTCTGCTCTCCATCCATGTAGCTTCTCCGTGTTCTGGACCAGAGTAGGATGTCCCACCTGGTGCTTGTGAAAACGTTGAGGCACTCTGTGTTTCCCCCTGCTGAGTCCCGTCTTGTTGGAGTGTGTGCTGAGACACGTTTATGTGTGTGCTGTTTTTAAATGTGTGTGTGGCGCTACTGAATGTCTTACAGGCGCTACTTTGTTTTTTTCTTCAAGTGTCTTCCTTACTTTCTTGCAGTCTGCCAATGACTCAGAGCAGTTAAGCAGCTGCTGCTTTAGGGCCAAAAATCCACCCTGAGCAAGAAGGGATGAGAACAAAGTAATACAAACATTCCTTTTGTTTTGATGTAACTGTTGTCCCCCCCCTTCCCCTCTGACCTCCCCTGCTCACCTGCTTGTTCTCCCATCTCAGCGTGATCGTCTCCTCCTCCTCCCTCCTGTCATCTCTCTGTCTGTCTGCAGGTATCTCACCATCTGCCGTTTTCTTTCCTTCTCTAGTTGATGTTGTTGATGTACTGTGTTGATGCTGTCTTCTGACGTGTTTTTTAGTGGTGTTGTTTTGTTTCTGCCCCTCCTCTTCCTCCTCCGCACCCTTCCTCCCCCCTCCCTCCTCCTCTGCGCAGGTCCCAGTGGCACCAATATCATTATAGGGTCCATCGCAGGTGCTATTCTCCTGGCAGCTATAGTCCTAGGGGGAACAGGATGGGGATTTAAGTAAGAGTTCTGGCATGCCTTTGTGTACCTGTCTGCTTCTACCTAGAGAACCCCCCCGCCAACCCCTCCCACTCTCATCCCCCTGATCCGATCACTGCTCGGTCCTCGGGAGGGGAAACGGGGGAGTCGAGTCTGAAACACTCGAGTGCTTGAATGCTATAAACTTTAAGATCAAACCATCGCAGAGGTTGCTTTGTTTTTAATTTCGAATCAACCCGAGCTCCATCCTGCACCTCCCCCTCCACCCAACCCCCCACCCCCCTGTAGTTTAATGACAGAACAGGACTGAGTTGTCCTCTGCCAGGATTTATGGCACCACAGTACTTCTTATTTACATCACTGGTGCCATCCGGAAGTTTCCCCTACTTTTTTCATTTAAAGACAAACTTATAGTACTGTGCAAAAGTTTTAAGACACAATATTTAAAATAATTAGCTTTGAGTAGGCAGATCTCCTTGCATCGTGTTAAAGTGGTCGTGACCGGTGGTTTTCCAGTATGTCTGCAGGTTGCTCTCTCTCTGTCCAGTTCTTTGGGTTTGGGCATTTTGATCCTAGGTGATTCAAAGCTCTGGACTTCTTTCCCTCGTCTTGTTGCATGTTGGAGGTAGTTTTGGTTTAAGGGCTACAGATAATATTCACTATTGCACAAAATGCAAATGCAGTAATTACTGTATGTTCACTTCTCATAGTCAGCCTTCATTCTCATTGCTGAGCCCTTCTATTTGTGTGTGTGTGTGTGTGTGTGTGTGTGTGTGTGTGTGTGTGTGTGTGTGTGTGTGTGTGTGTGTGTGCGTGTGTGTGTGTGCGTGCGTGCGTGCGTGCGTGTGTGTGTGTGTGTGTGTGTGTGAGGGGACCCCTCACACACACACACACACTAGGGATGGGTACCTTTGACATTTGAATCGATTCGGTACTAATTCCCGGTACCTACGAATCGATACCGGTACTTAACGGTACCAATTTTCGATACTTTTGAGTGTTTAATATTTTTAATTCTCTTTTATAATTAAATATATATTTTTCTCAATATATAACCATATTTGATAAATATCACGATAAATGACATACAACTGTTTGTATTTTAACATCGTCCTTATAGTTTTATAAGCTGATAATTAAACTGAAGCAAACATCTTTACTGTGAACTAAATTTACTGTGTAACTTCATTCCTTTTACCGTCCTTTTTCATTTGATTTTTCCTACTGGGAAGTTAGAATTTCCGAGGAGAAAGTGAACGCACCATTAGATAATGACAATGGTGGCATAGGAAGCTAACATATCGAGCTACGTTATCTTAAATAGTGTATTTAGCTGCTGGAGCAGATTTAAACGATGATGCCTCACACTTAGATCGTCACTGGTTTCATCTTCACCCAATCACCCGTCGCATTTAGTAAAGTGAAGCCAAACTTTAGAGCGCGTTCATGTTCTTCTAGTCGGAATTTCGGAGTTCCGAGGAGGAAGCGAACGCACCATTAGTGAAACGGAAGCTAACAAATCAAGCTAACGTTATCTTAAACATTTTATTTACCTACCGGAGCAGGTTAAGATGAGGATGTCTCACTTAGATCGTTGTCGCTGGTTTCATCATCACCCAGTTACCCATCACATTTAGTGAAGTGGACCCAAGCTTTAGCATGCGTTCTTTCTACCATGCTGCTCTGTTTACAACTGGCTCGCAGCGACCGATGACATAACGCTCTTGCGCATGCGCAGCTGTCCAGCCAAGTTCTCGTTATGAAGGACGGGTACCGAAACGAGGCACCGTTTGAAATGAAGTGAATCGGTGCTCGGTCGGTACTGTGGAATTCGGTCGGTACCTTAAAAAGTAACGAATTCGGTACCCATCCCTACTCCTGTCTGATGAATGGTTTTCTTTAAAATGTTCTGTTTTTTACCATTTCAGCGAAACTGTTTATCGTTTTGTGTCTTCTTGTCCAAATGTGTGCAGCAAAGTAGTTTCTTTCTTGGGAAGATGTTTTTCTGACACGGCATGAAAATGACCCAACAAGCAGGCCAGGTCCAGGGCCAAACTCTAGAAGACCTTCAGAGTTTCTGGAAATCTTTTGATCACAACCGGTTTCTATTGTTGTTAAAAGTTTTATTCCTTTGAAATAAAAACAATCAGGAATGACTCAAGACTTATGCACAGTACATTTTCCAAAAACATTTCTTTACAGTGACTTCAACAGTCTTTTACTTGATCATTGTATTGTTTCTCAAGCCTCCATGACTCTTTTTCCTCTTTAGGCTCCTTCCTAACCCCAAAGCCCTCAATGAAGTGCCACATCCCAGCTATGCAGCATGCTCGCTATTGTTAACTAACGAAGGTCTGACCTAAAAGGACTGCTCCTACTGGCTGACCAAAAGCATTAATTGAAAGGCTACATTAATTGATTTGTTGCATGCAGCCAGTCCTTTTAGGGCCAGAGGTAAGTGTGTGTGCATGCGTGCACGATGAGCCGTGTGCAGATTTTCTTTTTTCTTGTTAAACCTGTGGTTTGTGGCGTGGAGCTCCACATCACATGCTAACCCTGCTGCATGTGATCTCATTAGTGAAACAGCCAAACGCTGACTGGTGGATGAACAACCGCAGAGCTGAGTTGTTAGATTTATGCTTTGTCCTGAAATCTGACGGTGTGTGTCAAACAGCCAGTCCGACAGGAAACAGATCAGGAACAGATCATGTTGAATCTCCTTCGTGCACAGCTGTTCATGCTTGTTTGTAGCATTTTTAAGAAACATCTGAAATATCTGTTTATGCCTTAAGTTTGTCCTTTTTTATTTGTTGACACAAAATATTTTGACACATTCTCTCTTCTCATGGCGTGCTCGTCGGGTGCAGGAACATTCGAAGAGGAAGGTGAGTTCTTTGCAATGCCGCAAACTCAACAAGACACAAGCAATAAATAACAGGAGATAATGTGCTTGCCTGTGCATGAGCTAAATATCAAAACAAAAAAATAACAGAATAAATTTAAGTGAAACTGTCAGATCCTCGTTAAGCACTTAGAGCAATAGATGCTTTTACAAGGTCATGTCCAAAACCCAGGCCACCAAACGGATCCCCTCACCACCTTGGCTGCGCTTAGAAATCCTGTCCATAAAGGTTATGAACCGAATCGGTGACAAAGAGCAGCCTTGACGGAGTCTCACCGGGAACGAGCCCGACTTACTGCCGGCAATGCAGACCAAGCTCTGACACCGGTCACACAGGGACCTAACAGCCCGTATCAGAGGGCCTGGTACCCCATACTCCCGAAGTACCCCCCACAGGGCCCCCCGAGGGACGCGGTCGAATGCCTTCTCTAAATCCACAAAACACATGTAGACTGGTTGGGCGAACTCACACGTACCCTCCAGGACCCGCCTAAGGGTTTAGAGCTGGTCTAGTGTTCCACGGCCAGGAAGAAAACCACATTGTTCCCTCTGAAACCAAGGTTCGACAGTCCGACGGACCCTTCTCTCTAGAACCCTGGCAGGCTCAGAAGTGTGATCCCCCTGTAGTTGGAACACACTCTGCGGCCCCCCTTTTTGAATAGGGGGACCACCACCCCAGTCTGCAAGTCCAGTGGAGCCATCCCTGGTGTCCACGCGATATTGCAGAGCTGCGTCAGCCAACGACATCCAGAGCTCTGAGCAGGTCTTAGCCTTGGTGACCTCGACTCCAGAGATTGAAGAGTCCAACCCAAAGCCCCCGGACTCTGCTTTCTCACTGGAAGATGTGCCGGTGGAATTGAGAAGGTCTTTGAAGTACTCCACCCATCGATCCTTGGTGTCCTGAGTCAAGGTCACACATTGTCCCCATTATAAACTTTGTTGGTAATGCACTGCTTTACCCTCCTTTGATGGCCCAAGGATCAAGTCTCTGCTTTTTGCAGATGATGTGGTCCTGTTAGTCATCAGAACGTGATCTCCAGCTTTCGCTGGAGCGGTTTGCAGCTGACTGTGAAGCAGCTGGGATGAGAATCAGCTCCTCCAAATCCGAGGCCCTGGTTTTGAACTGGAAAAGGGTAGAATGCCTCCTCCGGGTCAGGGATGAGGTCCCGCCCCAAGTGGAGAAGGTTAAGTATCTCAGGGTCTTGTTCACGAGTGAGGGTAAGATGGAGCGTGAGATCGACAGGCGGATTGGTGCTGCGTCTGCAGTGATGCGGGCATTGTACCGGTCTGTCGTGGTAAAGAGAGAGCTGAGCTAGAAGGCAATGCTCTCGATTTACCGGTTGATCTACGTTCCTACCCTCACCTTTGGTCTCGAGCGTTGGGATACAAGCGGCCGAAATGAGTTTCCTCAGAGATAGGGTGAGAAGCTCGGTCATCCTGGAGGGGGTTGGAGTAAATCCGCTGCTCCTCCACATCAAGAGGAGTCAGCTGAGATGGCTCAGGCTGCTGGTTAGGATGCCTCCTGGACACCTCCCTGGTGAAGTTTTCAAGGCACGTCCAACCAGGAGGAGGCCTAAAGGAGGACACGCTGGAGGGCCTATGTCTCACGGCTGGCCAGGGAATGCCTTACGATTCCCCCGGAGGAGCTGGCCCAAGTGGCTGGGGAGAGGGAAGTCTGGCCCTTCTGCTTAGGCCGCTGCCTCCGTGACCCGAGTCCAAACAAGAGGATGAAAATGGATGAAAACTTTGACAATAGCTGTGAAGTGCTAGAAAGATTTTAAGGAAACTTTTAGAAAGTAATCAGTGAAGCCCTAACCCAAGTCAGCCCAGTATGAAACTGTTGGCACAACTAATCTTAGCCAACCTTAGCAAACACAAGAACACCGGGCTACGGTTTTGTGTTTTAATTATTAAGTCGTCCTCATTATTGACAGCGATGTGCTGAAGTTTTAGGCAGGTGTGAAAACATTCTGTGTAAAAATGATGCTTTGAAAACAGAAGTTTTGATCATTTCTTTTCATCAATCAACAAAAATCTGTGAATGAACTAGAGATAAATCTAAATCAGATCAATATCTGCGTTGACACCCTCTGCCTCTAAACCAGCATCAGTTCTAGCTACACTTGAACACAGCTGTTGGAGGAACTGGGCTGGTAGGTTGTTCCAGACATGTTGGAGAACCAACCACAGATCTTCTGGATGTAGGCTTCCTCACTGTCAAGATCTGTCTCTTTGTGTAATCCAGACACTGAGATCAGGCTCTGTGGGGACCAGACCATCACTTCCGGGATTACTTCTTAAAGCTGAAGATAGTTCTGAATGACTGGCTGTATATTTGGGGTTTGCATTTTGTAAATTGATAATAAAAAATTAAATAAATCGTTATTTCTATTTCTGAAATGATTCTTTGTTTACAGCTATTTTTCACATCGGCGTAAAACTTTTGCACGTTGCTGTATTTTAGGTGCTACTAGATCACATGTTTCAGATTTGGATCAGTCAGACCAATTCAAGATGGCCACCACAGAAACCTTTACACAGATATTGAACTTTGGGTGTGTTATTAGCTCATTTTCATTAATGACAGAACAGCTAACCAACTAAGGTGTGGAAAACAAAACTTACTCCACTTTTTTACATTTTATCTTTTCTTTTTAGTTTATTTTTAAAATTTTGAACTTACAACAAAATATACTTGAGTAGAATGTCTTCATCCATAATCCAAGTCCCACAGCAGCTTTTCCTCCCTTACACTATCTTGTTTTCATCCTTCTGTTTCAGATCTGGAGGAGGATAAAGTCTCTGTCCATCTTCCTGTCTGTCTGTCTCCTGTTCACCTTCGTCTTCCTCCTCACACTGTGTCGTTTCCACGAGGACGAAGAGGGTGACGCAAAAAAAAGTCTTCCATTACAATCCTAAATTCTCTCCAAACCTCTTCAGAAGATCATCTCCGCACTCACGTCTGCTCCTTCCATTTGTCCTCCTTTGGTCTCCCCTGTCTCCTTCAGGCCTGGGGGGGGGGGGGGGGGGGTCCTCTCATTCTCACCTGGCTACGCCAGACAGCAGCTGAGGATCATGTTGGGACTGGACCTAAACCCAGCTCTCCCTGTGGGAGACACCAGGGTCATCCTCTAGTCCTGGGGCTCTATGAAAGTGCTTCTCTCACCACAGTCGGATGAAGAACAAATCAACAGTGGACCAATATGATAACGGACTCGTGTTTCCAATGCCTGCCTCGTCTTCGGTCCGTGGTTAAATGCTGGACTTGTGCACAGACCAAAATAAAGCGAGAGAAACTGAATTGTTCCCTTTTAAAAAAAGAAGAAATGGACCTGCGGTTCAGTTCCTCAGCCTGAGCCTTATAGGTGCACCTTTAAATAGACACATGTCTGTTTTCATTCACTTCTGCAGAAGAGAATCCAGCATGTGACCGAGAAGCTCGGTAAAACGGTTTCGGGATCATTTTAGAGACCACTAAACTACGAATCAGCAGGGACCGCAACTCGGTGTTTTAAACATACATTCCACTAAATCTGTCTCCACTTCCAAAGTCCAGAAGGTTTACCAGGCATGTGTGTGTGCGTGTGTGTGTGTGTGTCAAAGCTTTATAAATAAAGCTTTGATTGATTGATTGATTGATTGTGTGTTCCAGAGCGAGCAAATGAGTGAGAGATTTCTAAAGAAAGGATGAACGTCCAGAACACGTGTTTACATCCATGCTGGGGCGGCTGTGTCCTGCACACCTGAACACCCCCCCTACTGGCAGGTTTTTACCTTTCATTTCTTTTTACAGCTTTTATGAAGCTGCAAAGCTTCATCAAGGCCGCGCATTAACAGATTTTACAGAAAACGAGCACTTGCCAACCGTATGCACACCCGTTTGTAAATATGTGCAAAATATCATGAATGTCTAATGCAATGTGTGAAGCTTTATGTAAAATTATGGGTTTTTTTTGTTTGTTTCTGCAAATGTAAAGATATTTAATTCATCTCCCCTTTAAGACCTCCGTGCATCTTTAAATGTGGCTGAACGGCATCGTCTCACTGAAAGTCCCAGGTGCGTTTGTGGGCCTCGGCCATGCAAAGGTCACAATGAGCTGGTTGAGATTAACAGCTTCTGGTGTTTCGGGTCCAAGAGGCAGCCTGTATTATACTTTCTGAGGTCTGTTTGTCTAGATGAAGTTTGCACTTTGGCAGAAACACTATTGTTATTAAATATTGTACAAATCAAAAACAATCAAGAGAAAAAGCCAACAAGGTGCATCCCACACCATATGTTTTAAACAGCCTTTTTGGACTGAAACAACAGAGAAGAATGAGCTGATGCTTGTAAATGAACTAAAAAGAAGAAAAAAACTATCAAAAATAAAAACAGATCTTCTACATCTCACTGCATTACTATTCTTTTGATTGCCCCATCGTTTGTGTAATTTAACACAGTTTTAAGGTTGGAAACAGATAAGAAGTTCAACTGAGGATCCTCATTTTTCTGCAATGCCAATCAGAGCCTACAGAAAATGTTTTCTACTATATAAACCACGTTAATTTACATGGACGATGCAAAAACAAAATATAACACTGATTTGTAATGATTTTCCATTTGAAAACTTCTACACAATCCTATTACACTGCACTGCTTAAATGTTCAGTAATTATTGCTTTTATGGAAGTTCACTTTCTAATTTCTATGCGATCACCTCCTGAGCGACTGGCCTGTAGCCCTGAAGTGACCCACATGCACAGAGACATGACATCACACACTAGGAACCATATTTACAGAGGTAAATATCAGTGATGCACATCTGGATGAAGTTGTTGCTCATACAAAACCCAATGATAGAGGTACGCTTCTTTCTTCCAGTGTCTACTTTTGACCTTGCTCTATCCGGCTTCCTTAATGAAGAGCAGAGGCTGGTTTAACTCATCCTTTTGCCACATTAAACACTGTGAAACATAAAAATCCACATCTGACCATCAGATACTGCTGCAGCTCACAGTTTTCCCAGAAACATTTCATGTTTTCACTCTGCTCCTGTTGGGACCATCGCCATATACATATATGGACAATGGGCTTCCATAGCCTCCAATAACACGTTTTTGAGGAGAAATGGGAGGTGGCCACCACCGCCATTTTGACCGTGTCACAGGTTCCGTCAAGCCCAGACAATTCCACAAAAGGGAAGAGAGGAGGAGCTGAGGGTGTGGCTGTAAGGCTGGGATCAACTGACGACTCCCGGTCGAACTAGCTACAAGCTAACCTGAAGCTAACCCAAAGGAGGTGGGAACTAAGCTAATGGAGGTCGCTACCTAGCTACAACCGGAGCTAACTCTGGAACACCAGCGACCTGAAGCTCACACGGAGTTTGTGTGGAGGTTTGCGGCGCTTTTTCATGAAAACTATCTTTCTGTGAATAAAAAAGTATTAAATCGGTAAGTTTATATGTTATTTCCTTAATGAAAATATATTTTCCTTTGAGCAAGTTTTCAATATTTTTAACGTACCGTATTTTCCGGACTATAAGTCACGCCGGAGTATAAGTCGCACCAGCCATAAAATGTTTAATGAAGAAGAAAAAAACATATATTAGTCGTATTTTGAGGGGCAATTTTATTATTTTTCTTACTAAATCTGAGACCAAGCGTTTCACATTGCAAGACAAGTACCGGTAACAATAACAGAATAAACAACGCAGGCGCAGCAGCGCGCCGCGGTCTCCAGCAGAGGATGGCGGTGTTTGAAACCCTCCCAGCGGTCCAGGGGAGCTTGTTCCTGGGTCGAAGCCGGCCCGCAGCAGCGCGCCACAGGCTCCAGCAGGTGATGGTGGTGTGTTTTTTATTCCTAGCGGGGCAGGGGAGCTCATTCCTGGTCCAGAGCCGGCCCGCAGCAGCGCGGTATAGGTTGGGACAGGCGTGTGGGGTTACCATGGCAACTCTGAGGTTTTGAAGCGACTATTTTATGTTTTTTAATTAGTGCCGCAAGTTTTTTCTTACAGATAAGGAAAAATCCACAAAATGTTATTAAAATAATATTTTAATTCTGAGCACCCTTTTCTAAAACCACACACAGCATCAGGAGGACACCCTCCTCGCACCACAGCACAAAGCCTCACTTAAATAATAAAACTGTAAATCAAAACCTTCAGACGCATCATGAACAAAACAAGAGTTTAAAATTGGCTGATGGCAGCCAAACACCTGAATACGTCAATCTGGATTAACATGGTGCATGGGTCCATCTTTTATTTCCCGGCTCAGTCTGTCCAGTTCTGCTTCTTTTCTGTCAACAGTGTTGGGAATGTAGATTTCTGCAAGTTCAACTGTCTTTTTGTAATTTTAGACAAGGAAGAAGAATCCCCTATAAGCTCAGGGATTGGTCCAGACGTCAATCTGCCACCTCACCACTGTCCCACTTAGTTTTGGGCTCCTGCCACCAGTCAGCCAGGAAGGACTCCTCGTAGTCCCCCATCCCCTCAAATTCAGCATCAGGATGTTCGGAGCGAATGATGGATGTTTCTTCTGGACTCACAAAATCCTAAAGATGACAAGAAAACACAGACAGTTCTCAGAAATCAATCTTCCTCTCCGTTTGCCTTTTAAGTGTCCCCCTCTGTAACCCAGAGTTTCCTGTCCTCCCCCTCTCCAGTCCACGCTGTGTGTTTTAGGAGGTGGGAGGAGCTGACCCCAGTTAAATGGACGTGGCACAGTCTCAGTGGCCGACACCTCCCAGCCACATACCACACACTGCTGGCGGAACACACAACCCCTCCTTTTCATCCTCACTTTTTTTTTCCTTCTTCTTCAACCACAGCTTGGTTTTATGCAAAGTTGTTCTTGTGGTGGTTTAAAGCGTTGTTTCATCCTGTCTGGTCATGCAAAGAGTTTATCTGCTGAGACATCTCAGACTGGAACCTCAGCAGCACCTGACAGCTGAAGGAGTTCTGATTGTGCTGTTTGGAGAACCTCTCTGGGTTAAAGGTGACAGTGGAAACATCAGATTGCTCTGGTTCCCAGGATGACACATGAAAAGGCCTCATCAAATAAATAATCCCAGCTCACCGGAGAAACAGCTTTACTACAGCAACATAAAAGGAAAGATAAGAAGAACTGTGTGAATCCGAGATGAAAATGTTGCATTCCTCTAAGGGGCGGGGCATTTCATCTCATAGTGAAGCCAGCCACTAGGGGGCGTGTCAGTTACTTTCAGCTTTAAAGGGCAAGTCACCCCCTACCAGAGTATTACTCCACTCCCTCTGCCTGTTTGGAAAATGCAATAAATGCTGTTTCCTAGCAGGCCGAGAGGGCGGAGCCGCTAACAAATACACACACAGGCTCACAACGACATTGTGACATCATATGGTACCAGCTAACATTCTAGGGTACCTCTTAGCCAATTGCAATGGAAGATTTAAATTCAACTGCAGTGCAGAGTTCTTACCTGACAACGGCACAACGCTGACAGTTTTAGGCAGAAATTTTTAACTAAAATGCACTAAAGCGCAGAACTATTGACTACACGTGTCTGCAGCACGATTAGACACGCATTTATATAGTTCAACAGAAAAGAAAGTTGATTTGGGGGTGACTTGCTCTTTAACCTCTGACTTACCTTCCTGTGTCTAGTTATTATACAGGATGATGTGTCAGAGGCCCTGATTCACCTCTACAGCAGCTGAACTCAGTATCTTACTGAGCTGTTGTTCGCCACTTGTTGGAGAAGGAAACCTTCAGTTGGAATCTCACTTGGTACAAATGACACATGTAGGTCACGTTTTAGATCTGGCTGGGCTACATGGGGCATAACTTAAAGGATACTTACTATGATTTTTTAAGTAATAATAGCTTTAAGGTCTATAAATAACATGTTTGTAACGTTTTTGCTCTAAAATCTTCCCACATAAAGCGGTTTCAGCACTCTCATCAGTTTCAGTACCTTCCAGAATGAGCCGTTTCAGGGCACTGTCACTTTAAGACAACAAGTTAGAGCTGGCCAAATAAGGCAAATTAGTCTGTTTCATTCTCAGTGTGTTTACCCCCTTACATTTACACTGCTTATTTTGTTCAAACAGAACTGTGCAAACGTTTTAGGCAGGGGTGGAAAAAATGCTATCAACAAAAAAAGATTTTAGAAAAATAAATGACCCCAAATATACAGCCAGTCATTCAGAACCATCTTCAGTGTAAAGAAGTCCAGTGTAGCGTGATGAATTGTCCATTTCTGACCTAAAAGGCCCTGCTCTGTTTTGCTCCGCTCAAAGCAGAACCAGAAGTTTCTGACACAGAACTAATCTGCATGAGATATTGCTCAAGGTCTCATGCTCTGCACCAAAACTGTTTCTTTCTTTCCAGCTCAAGAGAAGAATGAAGACAAAGGACTCTTTCTTTTAATAAATCAGAAGAAGTCTATTTTTAATAAAGCTAATCAAAGTGTTAGTCAATAATAAAATGTGAACCAATCTGTGAAATGACAATGTTTATGATTAGATTTTAATAAGTAATGTAACTTAAATTGTTTCCACTAGACTGATCACACGTAATGTTAAGAATCACATGACACATTTCCCTTTTCTGATCCATTCAGAACCTTCCAGATCTGACGTGAGGCATGGTTTGGTGGTGCTTAGTAGATCTGTCCTTTTTTGACTTGACCGTAAATCAAAACATCCAAATTATAAAACTATGCCCACGTCATCCTTAACTTCAGTTCAAAGCTTTCTAGAGAAGTTGTTGGAGTGGCCAATCCGTAACTTTCCTCTTCAGCCGAAAGAACCAACAACAAGCTGGATTAAATCTGTTGCTGTTCCACTAGCTGCAACAGTTCCTTTCAGAATAAAAGCTGAACCATCGACCCCTTTTTGGGTCTCGCTAGATGCCAATAAAACTGTCGTGACCTGGAAGTATCTCAAGACTGGACTGGTCGGCAGCCGCGGCTGTGCTACAGGCTTTGGCTCCAGAAAAGTCCAAGCTGGACCTCTTCACCTCCTGATCTAGACGGGGACTTCCGCCAAGGGTACGTAGACCGACAGAATGGTGTCTCAGTGCGCTATAAATTTCCCAAACCAAGCCTAGCGCGAAACATCATCTTCACTCCCATTAGAACTAATCGTTTCTCCGGATCTGCTGGTTCTGAAATATTCACGCATACACCATCGTCAGTCTTACCTCACCTTAGTTACACCATACACCTAGTGTTAAAGTTAGTCTAGTTATAATTTGTTTAGTAATAAATCTTTAAACTTTTAAAACTTGACTCCTATCTTTTCTTGAAGTTAATACGAAGTGTTGCTCAATCCCTGCAATAAAAAGATCCGATCTTCTGATTAAATTTACTTAAAGGGGCATTATGGTAGTTTGACAGTCAAAACATGTATAGAAATAATAAATTTGTTCTTCATACATTCTCCTGCAATGCCCTGGTCCTGTACAATGAGCCCTGGCATTCTTACTGTGATTGCCTGTTTTTCTGTAAAATCACAGAAAAAGAGAGCTGCTCGGGTCGAGCAGGCTGCTTCATGCGCGCTCACGCTCAGGCATCGCCCGTAGAATTTGCTATCCGTAGCTTTAGCAGCAGAGAGAGAGGCAGTGCCACTTTGTCGCTGTTCCTAACGCGTAGTGACAAACCTAGCTACATTTCTGAGGACCCTTAGCTACTTTCTGTAGAACTTTCTTCTAGATATTTCCTGCAAATTAGCAACAAAATAGCCATTTTCACTCCAAACCGTTCTTTGGTTTGACGTTGTTTCAGCTGTCATCAAGGATATAAATGTTACAGATACAAAGGACGTCACCGGTGCTTTAGCTCACCTAGTAAGACGTCGGACTCCCATGCTGAAGTCCTGGGTTCCATTCTGGGTGTGAACATAGGTCACTTAGAGTTTATTTTTTACATTAATGGTATATTTTTTTACAGTAAGATGCCCAAATATTTATTTGAGACTCGCCGAACGGCATTGAATTCACAGATAAAAAAGATGTGGGTTCAACTTTCATTTTGGAACAATTTTTCAAGCAAGGAAAGGGAATGATCCGAGCATGCAGGAGGACTGACCCATCATAAACCTTTCTCGGCTGTGCTGAAGAGAAAGGTACAGAACCACATTATTTAATTAATTAGCTGTGCGTTCTCCTGTCCTCTGTCCTCCGGGCCACACACACACACACACACACACACACACACACACACACACACACACACACACACGGGACTGTCTCAGCTGTTATTTTCGTTAAGGAGTGTGCACGTACAGCATGCATGCCTCATGCACGAGCCCCCCTATTGAAGCTGCCGTTACGCTTTTGGCCTGAGGGGGCAGTCGCGAGCATAAAAATTCAAAACTCTATAAAGTCCCTTTAAAGATCCATTAAGGTGATATTTCATATTTTATGGTTTCTAATTAAATGTAGGAACATCTTCTCTACACCAGAAAGGGATGGTCTGGCCCCCACAAAGCCCTGATCCCAGGGTTATGGTTAGTCATCATGGAGTGTGTCTGGGATTACAGAAGAGACAGAGGGATGTGGGGAAGCTTAACCTGGTGAACTAGAAGCTCCATTGGAACCTCTGCGGCCCCTGGCAGCATTCTGGTGGGCCAATCACAGCTCTCTATAGAAGTTTCAAGCCGATAGAACGCTGTGATTGGCCGGCCATTGTGACAAAGGGTGGTCACACCAAAGATTGATTGAATTTAGATTTATCTTGTTTTTTTCACCGCTTTTAGTTGATTAATGTAAATAAATGATTAAAACTTTGAAAGTATCCTACTCCTACACCTGCCTAAGACTGTTGCACAGCACCGTGTATCGTAAATTACATGGAAACTGCATCCAAATTCGTTTAACTCTTTCATATGAAAATAAAGTCACTTATAATTATAACAAAATTTCAAAATGGTCACAAAGTACAAACATGTCTCAATTTATTCCCAATGTGCTCTCCAACCCCAGAATAAGACTAGAATACCGGCTCAGTCTTGCTGCTGATTTCAGTTACATATGAGAAGCTGCAGCCACAAGGAAAATGAAGGAAAAGCTTTGTTTCATCATTCAAATAAATATTTTAATACCCGATTATTGATTTACTACTAATACCAGCATGTATGCTCAGAATAAAGCAATGAGGAGTCTCTGCCCTCACAGCTGAGAAAAGAAATGTACCTCATCGTCGGTCTGTAGGTAATTCCGTGCAAACTCGAGCATCTCCTTCTGTTTGTTCGTCTGGTTGAAATAACTCAGAGCCTCCTGGAAAATAAAACGCACCAAGCTGACTCCGACAGCAGCTGTAAACAAAGCAACAGCTACAAATTACAGCCGCTGTTTTCTCACTGCTTGGTCTGAAAGGCCTAAAGTTTTTTACAGCAGTGCCAAATTTACTTCAGTGGCAAAGCAACTTTATATGCCGCTGCAGCTCCGTTTACTATGAGGCTGCAGCCAAATTTACACCATGTAAACAATAAGAAAAAAGTGGAAAAGCAGTCTGTTTTTACACGACTATATAAGTGTGTAATCACCACCCTGAGATGGTGTTAACAGCCACGCCGGTGCCGCTTACGCAGCATCTGGTCCAACCAGCAGTCCTGCTGCAGATGGATCAAGACGTGAGTTTTTACTTACAGGCCGAGGCAGAAAGTCTTCTTCCTTCAGGCCCCACTGCTCCCGGTAGAAACGATAATAAGCTACATTTTGCTTCATCACCTGGTCGTCAGAATCAAACAGCATGTAGCTGGCTGCACAGGGAGCAGCGTTCTTCACATCGTTCACTGGAAAACAGGAGGGAACGCATGGGGCGCTGATTGTAAAGTTGTACAGTTAAAATGATCACATTTAGTTTTAAATAATGATAACTATGTGGAATCTAATCAAAATAATAAATTAAATGCAAATATGTAAACAATAAAAGTGTCTGTCAGTTAACAATACTTATCAACAGACATGTAATGCATCTTTCCAACAGAGAAGCTTTTGATTGTAATCATATACGTACACGATAATAAAATACTCAATATTTCAACAATTATACTTGTAAATACACATTTTCAGAAAGGGCACTTGAGCCACTGTTCTGCCTTCTTCTCAAAATTCCCCACGTAGTAATAGCTTGCGAGTAATCCCTTTGCCGAAGTCTGCATCGATGCACACTTGGGCAAAGTGTGCATCAAGGTTGCAAAAAGGGCATGGGCGATTTCTGCACTTGAAAGTTGGGATATCCTAGTACTCGCATCCCAGGAACGCACAATTGAGGGGTGCAAGGGTGGAAGTGTGAGTGTTGGGACTGGGTCAGTGTCTCATTGCAAAAACATGGTAGAAAAACGAAGTCTTCCAGTCAGTTTTATTTAGACGTATGCTTTCCAAGATCTAAATACAGACAGTGGAGTGATCGCTCGTTCTCTGTGGCAGCTACTGACATAACTCTAAATCTGGACTAATCACACACCTCTTTCATAAGGCTTTGGAATGTAACGGAGTGTTGTAATTTGGATTGAATCTTCTGACGTTGATTTTAGCATTTTCATTTTTATGACTGTTTTTATAGTGGTTCTTAAGTGTCTTTGGTGTGTTCTTGCTGTGTTGAAATTCTAATTCCATCTTTAAGTTCTTTTTAAAACACAGAAAGGTTTTATTTACCTGCGACGCTTCGTTTGCGGCTGCAAACTTCGTCAGCCTGAGCGTCTGCCTGACGAAGTTTGCAGCCGCAAACGAAACGTTGCAGGTAAATAAAACCTTTCTGTGTTTTAAAATGAACTAAAAGATGGTTCTTAAGTGTTTTACTTGTTTTTAAATTCCATTTTAAATGTAAAGCACTTTGGTCACCCTTAGAGCTGAGCAGTGTAAAGCGCTATACAAGTAAATGTTGGTTGGCTGGTTGGTTGGTTGGTTGGCTGATTGGTTGATTGGTTGGTTGATTGATTGGTTGGTTGGTTGATTGGTTGGTTGGTTGGTTGGTTGGCTGATTGGTTGGTTGGTTGGTTGGTTGGTTGGTTGGTTGGTTGGTTGGTTGGTTGGTTGGCTGATTGGTTGGTTGGTTGGTTGGTTGGTTGGTTGGTTGGTTGGTTGGTTGGTTGGTTGGTTGGCTGATTGGTTGGTTGGTTGGTTGGTTGGCTGATTGGTTGGTTGGTTGGTTGGTTGGTTGGTTGGTTGGCTGATTGGTTGGTTGGTTGGTTGGTTGGTTGGTTGGCTGATTGGTTGGTTGGTTGGTTGGTTGGTTGGTTGGTTGTGCTTCACAAGACAGGATTTTTTATTTATTTATTTATTTATTGCTGAAAACGAGAAGGTGTGGACACGAGTTTCTTCTTAGTTAAGGTGCGTTTTCCTTTTTACAAAGCCCGACTACACGTGTACACGGTCTTAGATTTCCACATTTTAATTTTGTTTTTTAGATTTGATTCTAAATATTAAGATATAAGAAAAATATTTTTATTCCATTGTGAATATTTTTGATTGAATAAATGCATTTAGATAGATTCTAACACAATAAGGATTCCTCTTTAAACATTTAGTCATAACAGTGGGTTTTCCTAAACAAACCTTCATTTTACTACTTGTTTTATGTGATGCCACAAAATAGCTGCTAATTTATTCAATGTATAACTTTAACAAAGGAAGCTCCGTGAAAATGTGCATGATTTGAGCAGAACTGTAACCCTAAAAGCGATGACTCCTTTATAAATCGTACGTTTATAATATGAGAACTGGAGGTAGTGGTACATGGTGGCGACAAACTTCTCCACAAAGAAACCTCCGACGTTGGGCGTGAGCTGCTCCTCACATTTTACTTTGCACTTCAGCACATCAGTGAAGAGATCTGAGAAAAGAGTGAAAAAACGAAACCTTATTGTATCTGCTGAAAAGAAGCAGCTTGGTTCTCTTTTTGCTTTGTTACCTGCCAAAGTTGGATAGAAGTCCTTAAACTCTAAGATTTCATACGAGCCTTCGCAGCCTGCTAAGCAGAGGCTGTAGCTCTCATAGTACTGCGTGATGGCCTGCTCCATGTTTCTGGCACTGCTGCTGAAGTCCCCATTGTTGTAGAGCATCACACTCTTGAGGAAAACACTCTAAAGACCAGATTCATTTGTTATTTTTAAATAAGATGACGTTTAAAGGTGTGCTGCAGGAATGTAGCGCCACCGACTTCATACGGCTGCTCCTCGAGGTCGGTGAGATGCTCCTCCACATCGAACAGGGTCTTGTAGTAGTTCATGTTTTTGCTCAGAGATGGATCACCTGGGTTTTTCTTCAGGAAGGTGTGAGCTGCTGCTACAGCCTTCTCCAAGTTGTTCAGCTGAAGAAAACAAGAAATGATCACAGAGAAAAAGTACATTTTGTGGGTATTTTTAACACTGATATTTGCAGCTAAAGGCAGATGTTGGTGTTTTTGAATTTGGAAATTGGTGCCCCAAAGACTTGTCATTTGGACGCACATAGCACCAGGCACGATTTCACAAACTCTAGACCAAAGAGGAGAAGAAGAAAGGGGAATTGTTCCACTGGAACACTGGAAAGAGACGTGGCACAAGCTCAACTCGGTCTGCAGGAGGGCGCAGCAGGGAAACTTCATCTCTGACATTTCCTCTCAGCCTCAAACTGAATCCGTTCATTCTAACAAAGGAAGACTTATTCATATAAAAGTTATCCATGTGGTGAGCTGAGACTTGCTGCTTGCACTGAAGCTATAAAAGGTGATGTTTTATTCGGCATCTGCTGTGCCACATCACATCTGGCCTCACCTGGTAGTACGCATACTGGACGTACTTGTACGGAGTCCTTTGCTCAAAGGTTTCCAGTAAATCCCTCTTTGGGTAGGAGAGTTTAAACACCGGGAAGTCCGCCTTGCACTTTTTCAGACACGCAGCCCTCAGCAGGATGTGGCGCACAACGCGCAGGCTGCTGTCCGAGGAGGGGCTGTCTCGGTCCCGACTAACGGAGCTGCAGTTGCGGCCGCAGAACGCTTCGCTGTCCCGCAGCAGCCGGTGGAGCCGCAGGCTGAGCTCCAGGTAGCGGACGCTCTCGGCCCAGTTCTGAGCCGCGTACTGCTCCAGCGCATAGCTGTAGGCGGACTCCAGAGGCATGATGTCCATCTGGGGGAAACTTTTAAAGCTGTACTTCTCATACTGAGCCTCCACCAGGACGGCGCAGAGGAGGAGGAACAGGAGCGGGCTTCTCCGGAGCATCGTTTCCTCCGCCGGTTCTGATACTGACGGATCAGGAGACTTCCCTGCTACTCGCTCATGTCTGCCTGCACGTAGGCTGTGGAATCCCAGCAGAAATACACACTTGGCGCGGGAGCGTCTGTTGGGATTTTCAAAATAAAAGCTTTTATGTAAAACAAAAACTGTTTTCATAAATTCATCAAGTCTATTTTCCCATTATACTTGAAAAAAGGTGTGTTCGTTATTTGTCTGTTCAAAAGTACTTTCTTTCAGTTAGTTTCAAACTGAATGACATTTAATTGTTTATTTTAATAACATTTAGGCTGCTAAATAGTAAATGTAAAATGAATAAATAGACAAAATTACTAATAAAACTACGTGTAAATAAAATCACATTGCATTATCAATAGCAGTATCATGCCACCGGAGGAGGGGTGGGGTGGCAACAATTAAATCTCATAAATCATTTAGCCTATAGCTATAGTTACACAAGTAACTGAAATATAATTTCCCCTGTAAATCAACCCAACCAGTTCATAACATGACCTCTTGTGCAGATCCAGTGTCATTTATAATCAGGTGGTTTGTAAATTCTGCTCTTAACTATTAAAGTGAAGGTATAGATTTTTACTTCCGATATAGATGGGCTAATTATTTTGACTTGACAAACATCAGTCGGGACCTCCTGGAGGAAAAGGTCCAATTTTTTTCATTCTTGTTATTTTCACCTGACTCATAAAGTTCAAAATATAACTAAAATTGACCAATTTACGGATATTGATTAAAATATATACTCTAAGTGTGTTTAGTAAAATTATTTGTGATAACATTAAAATGTGAGTTATTATTTGTCTAAAGACCTTTTGTGAGCACCAGGCTGGTCCGATTCTGAACAAAGACACGTTTCAACATGGACCGGTGTCTTTGAATATCTATGAGCACATTTATCCATGAACTGAAATTTAAACATTTAAATATATTAAGTTTAATAAAGTCTTACTTCTCACATTTGACGTCATACAGAAGTAGACTTTTTACAACACAGTAGACACATTTGAAATATTTCTCTGAGATGCAGACGTGCAGCAATTTAATGAGGACATAAAGGCTTTTAATCCTAGGTTATTATTCCAAGCTCCATGTCTTCATGAGAACTGGGGAGTCCTGACATGGGGTCGGGCCTTTACACGTTTGCAGAATTCCATCAGAAAGTGGGTGGGGCCTGGGCCCAAGGCACCTCCTCCTCCGTGGGCTCAAGCCCAGAAAGTTTCAGTAAATGGTACAGAAAGAGGCCAAAGAGCACCGGATGTGGTTTTCTAAATAAAAGCACAGAGTTCAAACTGTAATTGTTTTCATCATCCCCACGTTTCATGTCAAACCCCTCTGCAGAACTTTAACTTTTATTCACAAGAACACTTGATGCCCACAGACCTGATTCATAGGAATGTTTTTGTGTTATTTAAAAAAAACTATTAAATTAAAATTGAGAAATTCCTTTCCCCCTAGTTTTTATAATCCCACGTTTCCAGCCCATTTGTGTTTTGTGGATCAGACTGTTTGGGTTATTTTAGGGAAAGGGCGCCCAGACCTTTTAAGGCAAGGGCCAATGTTGTCAAGTAAATAGTCCTCCCAGACCTAGAAACTTTGAATAACAAAATGCAAAAACGATTTTGTGGTGATTTTTTAAAGTTGTACTCCTCCACATAAAATTTGAACATGTTTGAAAATGTTGATCTACACCAATCCTGTTGGAAAAACAAAATTAATTCTTCTAGAAATAATTGGGGGACATAGATGACCCCTGGCCCAAATTGTGGTCCAGGGGCTTCAGGTTCTGGATTTTCTGGTGTGTCCCAACATTGACTTGTTTAGATGATGACCAAAAGAAGGAGACCATACAAACTGCTAAATCGAGTCTTCTCCATAGTGACCAATAAGAAGAGCCACTCCATCATCTGAGGAAGAGCTCAGAAATAAAGCTGCTGTTCCACATAGAACATCAACTGAGCTGGTTCTGGCCTCTATGACGATGTCTTCTGACCAAATATGTTTAATGTCTACTCTTTACAATTTCCAATACACAATACAGTCTGATTCTTAACTTCCAACACCGACATAAACTGATACCAACATAGGCCCTATAACACCACACATTTTCTATCACCCACATAAACTTTAAACATTATCTGTGCCAAATGTGACAACTGCTTCCATTCAAGTTAGACCAGCTGTGCCAAACAAACATCTCTGTGTCTCCCGGTGACGCAAGACCATTGGATGCCCTTTTTAATTGTACTTCGGATATTGAATCCTGGATGTCAGAAAACTTTCTCCAGCTTAACCGGGACAAAACCGAAGTTTTAGTCATCGGTCCTGAGACCCAGAGAGAGAAACTTTTTCCAAAGCTACGTAGCTTTGGAAAAAGTTTCTCTCTAAAAGTAGTCACTAACTATTAACTTGTCTTCTCAAGTGAAGAACCTGGGTGTGATTTTGACTCTGAGCTAACTTTTATTCCCCACATTAAGAATATTACAAAAATTGTTTTTTATCACCTGAAAAACATCGCCAGAGTCCGCCCCTTTCTCTCTCTGGCCGGTACAGAGACGCTGACGCATGCTTTTATCACCAGTAGAATTGATTACTACTGTAATGCCCTGCTTTCTGGTCTTCCCAAAAAAAGTACCTCAGGTTTACAACTCCTACAAAATTCAGCAGCTCGTGTCCTGACGAAGATCAGGAGACAGGAGCACATTACACCACTCTTAAACATTGGCTTCCTGTATGTTTCAGGATTGATTTTAAGGATCTTTTAATGGTTTTTAAATGTCTTCATGGTCTTGGGCCTTCTTGTATCTCAGAACTGCTTCATAAATACGAGCCTTCGCGATCCCTGCGCTCCCCTGACAGCCATCTCCTCGCCATTCCAAAAGTCAGGACACACTCCCAAGGCGAGGCATCCTTTCAGTTTTATGGCCCTCGCCTCTGGAACAGTCTGCCAGAGGACCTCAGGGCCGTAGAGAATGTTCTTGTTTTTAAGGCCAGGCTCAAGACTCACCTTTTTAGTATAGCTTTTAAGTGATTTTGATCTATTTTAGCCTGTTTTTACCATCTTTTATATATTTTATCAGTGTTTTATTACTTACTCTTTTTAATTTAATAACACATATTTTCCTACATATTTATTTTAACTTGTAATAATTATTAGTTTTAACCCGTCTTAATACTTTGTGGTACAATATTTTATGAATTTAATGATATGTTTCTACTTGGTTATCTTTTATCAGTGTGTTTTATTTAGATTTTTATTTATCAGCTGTTTATGTTTAATTTGCTTCTTAACTTGTTATCTTAGTCTCATTAGTAAACTAGTATTTCCTCTGTGGGGGCCGGCTGCCCCGGGGGCAGCGGTGGGCTGTGGCAGCCGGGGTGCTTCCCATGTCTACTCTTGCCAAGGCTACTGCTGCCAGTCTTGGTGCTCCCAGTGCAGTTGGCACCTTCGATGGCGTTTTCGTTATCTTTGTATCTACTACATCTGCACTCAGCCAGCTGCCCTTTCTCGATTACGTGTGTGTGTGTGTGTGTGTGTGCGTGCGTGCGTGTGTGCGTGCGTGCGTGTGTGTGTGCGCGTGTGCTGGAGTTTGCATCTGCTTGGGATGGGATTGAGGGAGGGAGGAGGGAGAAACAAAGGGGATCTCTTATGTGAATCTGTGTGGGAGGAGTGGGAAACCGGCTGCTGTCTGGTTGTTTTTAATATTGTAAAGCGCTTTGAGCTGCATTTGTATGAAAAGCGCTTCATAAATACATTTTGATTGATTGATTGAAACAAACAAAAACATCATAAAATGTACTTCAGATCTGCCATATTTAGACATTCTGGGTGAGAAGTAGTTGTAGAGTGATGTATCAGGTGTGTGTGTGGTGTGTAAAAGTTGTGCCTTTACAAGAGTAAAAACTGATGCCGATCATTTCAGATGTTATGTTTCAAAGCTAACATCGGCTGACTTTAACTGCTTTTCTCTGGAGTCGTTTTAGTCTAAAATAATCATTTCTGTCCTAGGAATGCCCCGTGAGTAGGTAGAAGGGGAGAGTGTTGCTGGATGTCAGTGTTTACCTCTGCAACGTGACGCCACAGAGGATTTTGAGAGGCTATTATTTTGAAATCCCAAAACGGAAGCTGCAGTCGTTCATCCAGCTTGCGTCCGTCTTCCAGCGGTCCAGATCTCTGCTTCCTCTCTTCTCACTGACCCACCTCATCCGGCTGCGGACGGGAGTCTCGTCTCTTGTCTCCAGATGGACTTGGACACATGTCTCAGACTCGTCCTCCTCCTGCAGGCGGCGAGCTGCAGCCCCGGGCTGCTGGTGGACGTGCTTGTGGACCGCTACGACGTACCGAAGGTTTGTCCGCGAGAAGTGCGAACGGAAGACTTCATCCGTTATCACTTTAACGGAACCTTCCACGACGACGGGAAAAAGTTCGACTCCAGGTGAAACGAAAGTAATTTCAATGCTGTTTTTAATTCTCATCGTTCAGCGGTGCGCGTGCACGTGTTTGTGCACGACCGGCCAGGATCAGCTGAGAGTGGGTTCATGTTGCGTTTACTGATGGATGCGGACGTGTCAGCCCACCCGCGTGGTTACAGATATCACTTTAAACGTTTATCAGATTTATGCTTCGGTTCAGTTACCAGAGAGGTCATTTTAGTTTCACTGTTTAAAGCTAAAGAACGACATCTAAACATGAATGTGTTGATTTTAAACTAAATATTACGCTGATCCAGAACTGAAGTACCCTACCAAAATAAAAGTGGGGTGAAGACACCCCCTATACTCCATCTGAGAGTCATTTAGATCAGGTCTGGATATTCTCTCTACACACACGTTACTCATGACTAAACAGACCCACACTAAGGCAGCCCTATTCAACAGGTGGCCCAAGGGCCAGAACTGGCCCATCGGTCATTCAGGGCCGGTCCTTGCCCACGTACCTCTTAGTAAATAATTTGTTTAACAGCTGAGGCTTAATTGTCAGCGCACAGTTAAGAACGTCTTAAGGCATGGAGCGCCGCCATTTACACTGCTGGAAGTTTACAACAGCAGTTTCTTGGGAAAACAAGTTGTCTCCAAAAGAGGAGACGCAAGAAAATAGAAAATGTAAACAAACTAAATGCTGAGGGGGAAACCCATGTGCCTTGTCCGTCACCTCTTTTGTTAGCCTAGTGAACTAGACCAAACTCTTGCTGCTTGCTTATGTTTATTTAGTCTGGCTTGGCACGCTAGTCATTTGTTTGCTATAGATAGAGAATACAGGGGGATTGACAGACTAGAATAAAGACACTAAATAGTGATGCACCAATATGAAATTGTTGGGCCAATACAGACATCCGAGACGTATACATATTGAGATCACTGTTATGAAAACCATTATTTGCCGATACCGATATGCTGACATTAATGCTTCTCAAATCAGCAGATTTTGTATAAAATGAAAATGATTAAAGCTGAATTGCCATTATTATGTACACACACAACACACACATTCACGCTGACGATGATTTAATTCACTGTTCACGTGACTAAACAAATACACATCACCCCCTCACCCTCTGAAACGGGCAAGGCAAACAAATAGAGACAAGATGGAAAAAATATCAGTTGTTAATATCGGCCCAGTTTTATTTATCGGACCGATACAAATATGTTAAAAAATGACTAATATTGGCTGATACCAGTATTGATGCTGATATATTGTCCATCCCTAACACTAACACTAAACTACCAGCAAAGTTGAGTGATTTTTCACTTGGAAAGCTACAATATCTCTCTGAATTGCATGAATTAAGAAATAAGTCTAATAAGAAAAGACAACGGTACAATACAAAAGATGGAGTACATGGAGATGAGTGGCCAGCTGGCAAAACTAGGGTGACTATTTGACCCAACAAGAAATCTACCTGAATACCCCTGATCTAAAGGGCATGTTATACTGGAGATCTCCTCACCTGACTTATTTTGAAAGGCTTCATCTGAATGTGGAGGTTAGCTTTAGTTAACCACGGTTTTACATCAACATCTTGTCACGACGTGCTGCGGAGCGGAGCTAAGGCGAGGATCCAGACCGGGTGAGACAAACAGGCAGGCAAGTAGGAAAGATTAACATGGGTTTATTAAGCACGCTGACACTGGAACAATGACTCCACACAGGACACAAAACAGACGGGGTTTAAATACAGGAGGACCGGGAGCTAAGGTGATTGGGAAACAAGAGGCAGGTGGGGGTAATTAACGAGACACAGAGCTGAACTAAACAGGGAGACAGGACAGGGTGTGACAGTAACCCCCCCCCCAAAGGCCGATCCCAGACGCCCACCGGAACAAGGAGCAGGGCGGGAGGAGGGGGACCCGGAGGGAGGGCCCAGAGGAACCGAGGGACCGATGGAGAGGCGGCAGGGATCAGCAGAGTCCGGGGACCTGCGCCTGCGGCAGAAGAGGAGGCGACGGGCCCTGGGAGGCCGGCGCCTGTGGCAGAAGAGGAGACGAGGACGGACCCTTGGGGGCCTGCGTCTGCAGCATAAGAGGAGGCGAGGACGGACCCTTGGGGGCCTGCGTCTACGATAGAGGAGCTCTGCAGGCTGGGCCGGTGACAGCGTCTCTGCAGGCTGGGCCAGAGCGACCTTCAGAACCACCCTCGGAACCGGAGACGGTGGAGACGTTGGACTGGAAGGAGCGTCGACACCTGGACTGCAGAGAGCATCCTCAGACAAGGCGACATCAGAGGAGGCGTCGACTTCAGAGGAGGCGACGTCGTCAGACGAGCCGACTTGGGAGGCGACGTCGTCAGACGAGCCGACTTGGGAGGCGACGTCGTCAGACGAGCCGACTTGGGAGGCGACGTCGTCAGACGAGCCGACTTGGGAGGCGACGTCATCAGACGAGCCGACTTGGGAGACGACGTCATCAGACGAGCCGACTTGGGAGACGACGTCATCAGACGAGCCGACTTGGGAGACGACGTCATCAGACGAGCCGACTTGGGAGACGTCATCAGACGAGCCGACTTGGGAGACGTCATCAGACGAGCCGACTTGGGAGACGTCATCAGACGAGCCGACTTGGGAGACGTCATCAGACGAGCCGACTTGGGAGACGTCATCAGACGAGCCGACTTGGGAGACGTCATCAGACGAGCCGACTTGGGAGACGTCATCGGGCACGTCGACTTGGGAGACGTCATCGGGCACGTCGACTTGGGAGACGTCATCGGGCACGTCGACTTGGGAGACGACTTCGGACACGTCTACTTCGGAGACGACTTCGGACACGTCGACTTCGGAGACGACTTCGGACACGTCGACTTCGGAGACGACTTCGGACACGTCGACTTCGGAGACGACTTCGGACACGTCGACTTCGGAGACGACTTCGGACACGTCGACTTCGGAGACGACTTCGGACACGTCGACTTGGGAGATGTCATCAAACACGTCGACTTGGGAGACGTCATCAGGCACGTCGACTTCGGAGATGTCATCAGGCACGTCGACTTCGGAGACGTCATCAGGCACGTCGACTTCGGAGACGACTTCAAACACGTCGACTTCGGAGACGACTTCAAACACGTCGACTTCGGAGACGACTTCAGAGGAGACAACTTCAGAACAGGAAGGGGCGTCGACTTCAGAACAGGAAGGGGCGTCGACCACAGGACCGGACCGGGCGTTGACCACCATCGACTTCTGGTCCGGGGGCGTCGGCTTCGGGTCCAGGGGCGTCGACTTCTGGTCCTTCGATTTTCGAACCGTCGACCTCTGGACCGCTGGTCTCTGGACCGCTGGTCTCTGGACCGGAACCGTCTGCTTCTGGTCCGGGGGCGTCTGCTTCTGGCCCGGGGGAGTCGGCTTCTGGTCCCTCGACTTCTGGACCGCCGACTTATGGAACAGATCCGGTACCGTCTGCTTCCGGGCCAGTACCCTCTGCCTCTGGGCCCGATCTGTCAGCTTCTGGGCCGGTGGCAGAGCCGCTGTTGGGAGAGCTGGGAACGATGAGGAGAGAAGGGAGGTCAGATCGTCCAGCTGTAGCTCCCTGAGGCTGAGCGTCCGACGGAGCTGGACCAGCTCAGCCCGCTGACTGGCGAGCTCCGCTGGGTGAACCCCGGGCTCGCTCCTCTGGCCCTGAGGCGAGGAGGAAGTTGCATGCTGGCCCGAGGCCCTCTCCTGGCGGTTCGGGGAGGTTAGAGCGTCCAGGTGAGACTCCTGGAGGCTGATGAGCTCGCAGAACCGGCCGAACTCCGCCTGGAGTTCTATCAGCCGGGCTGCGATTGCTGCTCCTCCCCCTGCAGACGACGGAGGCGCCGGTTCGGCAGGAGACGGGACTGGTGGTCTGGCCGGGCGCGTGTCTGAACAGCCGCGCCGGGCAGGGGCAGAAGCGAGCTCACAGCTCCGTCTGGAGACCCCGGATGGTGGTGGAGTCCGGCATCTTTCCCCACACCGTGGACCGACTCAGGGGGAGCAGATGGCCAGCCTCGTGCCCTCATAGCTGGAGCGATCCTGGAGCCTCTCCCGGTCCAAACTCCCATCCGGTTCCGGGAGGGCAGCGAGGATAGCCGAGGGTGCAGGTCGGTGCCGTCGTCTGCGGCGAGGCGGATCTGGAGCAGAAGGAGATGGAGAAGCTGGCCGGTGGTCGGACGTGAGCCACTGGAGAAGGCAACTCCACGGGAGAATCTCCCCGCTGGATCCATTACTGGGTGGTGGAGTCATTCTGTCACGACGTGCTGCGGAGTGGAGCGGAGCTAAGGCGAGGATCCAGACCGGGTGAGACAAACAGGCAGGCAAGTAGGAAAGATTAACATGGGTTTATTAAGCACGCTGACACTGGAACAATGACTCCACACAGGACACAAAACAGACGGGGTTTAAATACAGGAGGACCGGGAGCTAAGGTGATTGGGAAACAAGAGGCAGGTGGGGGTAATTAACGAGACAGAGCTGAAGTAACAGGGAGACAGGACAGGGTGTGACACATCTGGATTTACCTTTAAGTTTAAAATGAAATAAAAAAATTAAACTTTATAAATTCAGATTTATTGTTAATGATTATTGTTTTTAGCTTGTTTTTTTTTTTTTTTTGTAGTTAGTAAAATGTTAATTATGTCAAAACTGGCTGTTAAATGAATACTTTACTTCACAACCAGAGCCATAATTAAGTCTGTATAGTTTATTATAGAGCTGGTGCTTTATTTCTGTTGTCCTCCTTGTGTTTCCTGCAGCTATGATCGAGGGAAAGCCTTCATCAGTCAGGTGGGCCTGGGCAGACTCATCACAGGGATGGACCGAGGGCTGCAGGGCATGTGTGTGAACGAGCGTCGGAGGATCACCGTCCCGCCTCATCTGGCCTACGGCAGCATCGGAACAGGTTTGCATCTAAAAGGCTCGCCAGCTGTTTTTTGTCTGACGTCATGTGAGCTGGCTCGTGCCGATCTGTGCTGCTGATCCTGCAGGTGGTGTGGTTCCTCCTGATGCCACCCTAGTGTATGATGTTCTTCTTCTGGACGTATGGAACACAGAGGATAAGGTCCAGATCCGCACTATCAGCAAACCTGCTAGCTGCAGCCGCAGCACTGCAGCAACAGATTTCATCCGTTATCACTACAACGGCACGCTGCTGTCTGGGGAAACCTTTGACTCCAGGTGAAGATGCTCTTCCTGTCCCAGAGTTGTGCGCCGTAGCTGCGCTTTTAGGTTTTCTGCTGTTTTTTTGAATTTCCCAAAAGTGTCAGCTGCTTTTGTTTTCAGTTATGCAAGAAATTCAACCTACGACACCTACCTGGGACAGGGCGACCTCATCAAAGGACTGGACGAGGGTCTTCTGGGCATGTGTGTTGGAGAGAGACGCGTCATTATCATCCCTCCTTTTCTGGCGTACGGAGAAAACGGCAATGGTAAAAACTAAAAGTCTAAGTAATGATGGGTATTTTTACTGGTAGTATTTTGTGGCTTTATTAGCTCTAGTATGCACATCATCTCTATGGTTTGAGCCAGTTTTATGTTTGTTAGTCCTTCTTCTGCAGCCACTGTAAACATTTGCAGCAGATGCACACACACATGTTTATTAGAAGGCTGAAGATGGTTTAAAGGATTCTTTCCAGAATCTTTTCATCTTAAAGCTTTTAATAGACTTGCACTATAGTTTAGTTTATTTTTATTATTGCAAGTTAGGACTGCCACTCTAGGTTGTCATTCAGACTTTCTAGAAAGGAAAGGGGTCGTGTTGACCATCATTTACAATGGCGATCTGGCCAAGAGGCAGCAGCAGCAGACACACAGTTAGCTTTACACCAAAGAAAAACATAAAAGATGAAAATGTAACAGAATGAAATGACTGTTTTCCTCTCCTCTGCACAGAACTAGTCTGCATGAGATATGGTCTCAAGGTCTCATGCATTTGTTATAAACTGCTTCTTTCCAGCTCAACAGAAGAATGAAGAATGGACTCTCTCTTTTTAATAAATCAAATAACTCTATTTTAATAAGCTAATCCAACAAAGTGTTAGTCAACAATAAGATGTGACCAATCTGTGAAATCAAAATATTAATAACTTTATTATAATCCTATAGAATATAATAAGTAATATGACTTTAAATGTTCCACTAGGACTGATCTCACGTAGCGTTAAAAGACACGACGCATTACTTTCACTGATCCAATCAGAATCTGCCAGATCTGACGGAGGCGTGGTTTTGGTGGTGTTTGGTGAAATCTGTCAACTTTTCATTCGACCATAAACCAAAACATCCGATGTATAAAACTATGCCCACGTCATCTTTAATGCCAGTTCAAAGCGTTCTAGAGAAGTTGTCAGAGTGGCCAATCCGTAACTTTCCTCTTCAGCCGAAAGAACCAACGACAAGCTGGATAAAATCTGTTGCTATTCCACCTGCTGCAACGGTTCCTTTCAGAATAAAAGCTGAACCATCATGACCCAGGTTTGGGTCTCGCTAGATGCCAACCAAACTGTCGTGACCCGGAAGTATCTCAAGACTGGTCTGGTCGGCTGCCGTGGCTGCTTCTACAGGCTTTGGGTCCATAAACGCCAAGCTGTACCTTTACACCTCCTGATCTAACGGGGACTTCCGCTCAGGGTAGGTAGACCGACAAAATGGCGTTGAATGTATTTATGAACCTCCTAACCAAAGCTTAACGCGAAGACATCACCTTCAGTTCCCATCAGAACTAATCGCTTCTTCGGATTTCCTGGTTCTGAACAACATTCCACATCACACCATTCTCCATCTCATCTACCTTAGTTACACCATACATTTAGTGTTAAAGTTACTCTAGTTTAATTTGTTTAGTAATAAATCTTTAAACTTTAAACTTGACTCTCTCTCTTCTGTTGTCTCTGAGTGAATACGAAGCTGTTATCTAATCCCTGCAATAAAAAGGTCCAATCTTCTGGTTAAACAGTACCTACGGATCCATAAGTTTGATTTAATCTTTGCTATGGAATCTCATGTCTTATGGTCCATTAAATAACATGTAAATTAATTCATTACAAAAACATACAAGATCAAAATGAGATAAAACAGTTGGACATAAAGACAAAGCACTGTTATTATATATAATCTGTACAAGCAATCAAAACAGACTTAAAACAGTCTTTAAGTACTCAGAAGCACATTGATCAGAAACTATTGATCACAATGAATTATTGAAGATAGATGATGGGATGTAGCTAGTGAGCTTCAGTGATTTTTGCAGCTCATTCCAGTCGTACAAGTAAACATGCAAGTGGTGCAACAAATCAGTACGTTCATAATAGGGAGCCTGACCCCTACTGCACACTGGAAGCAAAAGCCACATGGAACGGCAGCGAAATGGCCCCGCTTCAAATAGAATCCATTATGTTCTATGGAGTGTAACAAACCAGCCGAGTGCGGAAGTTTTCAGAAGATAGGATCGGGTTCTTTTTTTCCAGCGAGCTGCTTCTGGGATGCGTCGATTACCGCAATTAGTTAGCTTAGCTGCATGGTGGTGCAGTGGTTAGCACTGTTGCCTCGCAGCACGAAGGTTGCAGGTTCGAAACTCGGCTGCGGCCTTTCTGCGTGGAGTTGCGTGTTCTCCCCATGCATGCGTGGGTTTCCTCCGGGTACTCCGGTTTCCCCCACAGATCACAACATGGTATAAATACAGGTTATAAATTGTAAGTCGCTTTGGATAAAAGCGTCTGCTAAATAAATAAACATAAACATAAACATAGGGCTAGACAAGAAATCACACAGTTTCAGTGTTAAATGCCCAGTCATTTTCAAAATAAAAGTATTGCAGCGATGTAATTTCATACACTCACCTAAAGGATTATTAGGAACACCTGTTCAACTTCTTAATGCAATTATCTAATCAAGCAATCACATGGCAGTTGTGCATTTAGGGGTGTGGTCCTGGTCGAGACCATCTCCTGAACTCCAAACTGAAGGTCAGAATGGGAAAGAAAGGTGATTTAAGCTATTTTGAGTGTGGCGTGGTTGTTGGTGGTCTGAGTATTTAACAATCTGCTCAGTTACTGGGATTTTCACCCACAACCATTTCTAGGGTTTACAAAAGAATGGTGTGAAAGGGGAAAAACATCCAGTATGCGGCAGTCCTGCGGGCGAAAATGCCTTGTTGATGCTAGAGGTCAGAGGAGAACGGGCCGACTGATTCAAGCTGATAGAAGAGCAACTTTGACTGAAATAACCACTCGTTACAACCGAGGAACGCAGCAAAGCATTTGTGAAGCCACAACACGCACAGCCTTGAGGCGGGTGGGCTTCACAGTTGGGACAGTAACGTTGGCCTTCAAGCTAGAACGAGCATAATTTACAACCCCACCTCCCCTCTCACCTCTGTCAGCCCAAAATAAGTCAAATCTGAGATCACGACCCTCCTAAAAAGTAGAATCCTTCCTCCAGGTTGGAAGTGAGTCCCTGCAACTTGGCGTCTTTTCCCTGAGTGACGGTAGGATGGAGGAGACATGGACCAGTGGATTGGAGCTTCAGGACGAAGCTGAGCTGGAGGGCCAAGTTCTGGATTTTTTGGTCTGTCTAAACCCTCCATGGTCAGGAGATTAGGATTGGGAACAAGATCCTGGATCCAAGGAGTGGAATTAGTTTCTTCTGTAGGGTAGCTTCAGAGCAGAGCTGCTTCTCCTCAACAACAGGATTAGCTGGTGTGGTTTAGGCATCTGATGGAGGTTGTGTGGGCACAGGGAGGAGACCCTGTGGTGGACCCAGAACTTGTTTGAAGAATTATGTCGCCTCTGTGGTCTGGGAACACCTGGGTGTCCCCAGAACCTCTTGGATCTGTTATTCCTGCGACCCAATCTGGGATAAATGAGTGAAACATAACAGATGACCCATTTGTTGTATGTCATTTGGGCGTGGTCCAGTTCTGAAACTGTGTCTGGGTCATCAGCAGGGTAAGATGTGTTACCAGTGGATCTCCTCCGACTCACAGCCACAGTCTTGTTTTGTGTTGGTGCTGTCCAGATGTCCGTTCATTTAGATCTGTCGTAAATATTTAAAGATGCAAACCTTCAAAATATGTAGGATGTAAGCTTTTTATTCCTCCCAACAGGAACCAAGGTCCCCCCACAGGCGACGCTGGTGATCCAGGCGCTGATGGTTGACGTTTTTAACCCGAAGGACGATGTGGTTGTGGCGGTGAAGGAGGCGCCTGAAGGCTGCACCCGCAGGACGGTAGCTGGAGATTACATCCGCTACCATTACAACGGCACCTTTCAGGATGGCACCCCTTTTGACTCCAGGTAAAGATTCTTCTCTTTCTTTATGTTACGTTCTGGAATAAAATAAAGTTTTTTTTATTTGGGGTTTTGAATGCCTCAAACAGCTACCAGCGCAACAGCACCTACAACACCTACGTCGGTATGGGGTATGTGATCCGAGGGATGGACAAGGCTCTGCAGGGCTTGTGCGCGGGGGAGAAAAGGCGGGTCGTGATTCCTCCTCACTTGGCGTACGGCGAAGGAGGAGTTGGTGAGTTTGATGGTTGCATTTAGGCAATTTTAAAACGCCGTCGAGTTTTATTGATTTACCTCTTGTCCTCCTCCGGCTGCAGGAAACCTGATCCCTGGCTCTGCTGTGCTGGTCTTTGACATCCATGTCATTGATTTCCACAACCCCAAGGATCCGGTGGAGATCAGAATCACCCACAAGCCTCGAGAATGCAACACGGCCAGCGGCGCCAACGACCTGATTCGGTACCGCTACAACTGCTCCCTGATGGACGGCACCCTCCTTTACTCCTCGTGAGCGCCGCCCGATGCTGCCTGTGCAGAACTGCATCCTCCGTCTCCCTGCATGTAATCATTGCCGGCTCCTTGTCCGACACATTTCACGGGGTTTGGAACTGTAGGCATTTCTGTAACTATAGCAACAGCATGAACAGCTGCATGGCTTCAGGTTTTGGTACCCGGGTGAGTTTTTCCTCAGCTGGATTTTTTTTTTACGATCTTTTTTGTGGATTTGCAGGGTCCAGTATGACTCTCCTTCAGTCACAACTCTGGGAGCCAATAAGGTGATTCTGGGTCTGGAGGAAGGTTTGAAGGGCATGTGTGTGGGTGAGAGGAGGGAAGTGGTGATCCCTCCTCACTGGGCGCACGGAGAAAACGGAGGTGAGGAAATACTCTAGTGCATGTTTGACCTTGTTTGTATGCACGTCCCGGTGCAGTAGTATTAAAGAAGTCTTCTCAACTCTCCTGTTTCTCATTCTGTGGAGAAATTTCTCCACTTTGATCTCATAAAGTTAGGAAAGAAACGTGCAAATTATAAATCTAAACTCTGGGTTCAGTCAGGAAGGGTGACACGGCTTTTATAGCAGCTCGTCGAGCAATGCAGAGGAAAAAACGGGAGAAATTTTTAACATCATAAGACTCAAGTTACAACATCACAGTAACTTGTGATGAGGCTTCAAATCTTTTGCAAACCAACTTTTCTTCCTCCCATATTTTAAATACTGGTAAAAGTCTCACAGCAGAATTCGACCATAAACCAAAACATCCGGATTTTGTGTTCCTCCACCCTCGGGTTGTCTCTGCTGCAGCACGGATGGTGTGTGTTTCACTGAAAAAACATTTTTGAAATCTTATTTCTTATTCTAACGGCTCACTCTGGGTTTTTCATGCAGGCTGAGCATGAAAATAGTCTCCTACACCCATCTCCTGCATTAGCTTCTGATAGAAAACAGACGGTGAAACTCTAGGATTAGAAAATCCTGACAGATCTACGTCACACTGTCACTAACATTCATGAACTCGCCCATCTTGACTCACGACGTGGAAGGTTGTTGGTTTAGCGTCCAGGAAACAGCAGAGAACATCTTGGCTAGTAGAAGCTAACAGTTAGCATTAGCAACTCCACCACCCGGCTGAGCTCCTCCAGGCTTGAGTTATTTGTAGAAATGAAAGATCATCGTTGTAAGTCAGTGGTAGAGTCGTGTTGCTGTTATCCAGAGGTGAGATGTCAGGAAATAAGACTCCAAATCCTGCCGTCTGAATTTCGGCTGTGATGTGGCTCACTTCTAGTTCCAGGAAATGGTGCACCAGTGTTTTTTGTTGCATCGGCATCCTTCAGAATGTCCTCATGTCCATATCAAATCTTGTCTCCTGACTGGACACCTTCAGCTGCTGGAGTTCCTGGGAGTGCTGTTCTTCTTTTTGAGCTGGAGTTGATGGAGCTGCAGAAAGGTGTTCCTGAAGGCTTCATGTTTGTGTGGCTCGGAGACATCCCAGATCCTCTTTTCAATGCTCTGGACCTCAATGGGGACAAAGAGGTCCCTCTGGGGGAGGTTAGTAGACCAGATTTAACTCGTGTTTGCATCTCTCTCTTTCTAATCTGTAAACGGAGTCAAATTCTTACTTTCTACAGTTTTCAGAGTTCATCAGGCTGCAAGTTAAAGAGGGCAAAGGTCGTCTGCAGCCTGGGGTTGACGTCGACAGTGTTATTAAAAACATGTTTGATGATCAGGACAGGAATAAAGATGGGAGAATTGTGGAGGACGAACTAAAGATCAAAGACGAGGAGGCGGAGCAAGTGCGACGAGATGAGTTATGAAGAGCACACGTCTTGGTTTCATGCTGCCATCTCAGACACAGAAGCAGCTAAATCGGTTATGAACAGTTTTTTCCGAATGTAAAAACAAAACAGCCGACATTAATAAAACCAAAAAGGAAAAAATATTTATATCATAGTTGTTAAATTGTTTGCTGATGTCATAGACGGCCTTAAACGGCTGGGTTTCAGGAGCAGTGACGCTGAGGCGGGAACTTGGCGGGTCACGCAGAGTGGTTTATTTTCCACTAGTTGTCCTGGTCCAGGCAGCATCAATCCACACCAGCATGAAAACATGCACCCTGCTGCTAACCGGGCTAAACCAACTACCCCAGCTCACCAGGGGAGCTCCTCACCCTAACCCTTTCTCAACTTTATTTAAATACAAATATTTTCATAACCCATTACCTATACATACAAATATACAAATCCTAATTTGCATCCAAACACCAGGTTAAAAACACCCATAAGAGAATCCTCATTAGAATATTTCCCCCACCCTCTCCGCCGGGCCTCAACCGGAACCTTTAAATGGTGCTCGGACCCCCAGGGAAAGATTTTAAACTTAAGGTAGTCCCCACCCCGTTCACTTTTTCAGCCGACACCAACTCAGAATGCACCAATGGCTGGAAACAACCTGAATCCAGTAAGGCTTCCTCCTCATGTCGATTCAGCAAGACTGACGTGCGTCGGTGCCTGGCGTAGGGAGTCTGAAGCTTTTATTCTGAAATGATGAACACAACTGGTTGTACAGTATGTTTTAAGTACGTGTCATAAAAGGATATTTTATCATGTTATGACAAAATAAACTTTTATAATAAAACAAACTGATTATTCCATTTATTGCACAGAGTTTATTAAACAGATTTAAAAAACTAACAAACAGGGAGAACCTGGTTTGTAGAAGGTAAATATTTGTGACGGTGGATGAATAACAGCAGCAAGCGGGTCAGAAAATGAACAAATGCCTTAGATCCCTTAAACTTGATACCAAATCGGTGCAGAAAAGTGTGGCAGAAGCAAACAGTGATTTAAAAAACGTATAAACCATGATAGAGGATATTTGGCTGCACCAACATCCTGGTCCTAAAGCACAGCAGCTGGTCGGGACAACCTGGGATCACCACAGACCCGTTCAGGTAAGTGTGAGTTTTAGGATGATAAAAACGTTGGCTGCTCCCTCCCTAAGTGCTCGGATGGTCCCAGAGACGCTGGCGCACGCGGGACAACTAACAGTTCACTTGTTTCCAGTGAGGTAGAGGACGATGGCATTAGGAACTTCCAAGGTTTCATCTTTTATCAACACAATGTCATACGAGTCCAGGTAGGCTTGTTTCCGTTCCTCCACCTGGACAACAAAAAGAAGTTCTTAATACTGTTATGAACCTGTTATAAACAACAGCACAAGTTCTTTGTTGACCTTGTCATTAAGGAACCCAATCTTTAGGATATTCTCCATGTCCTGAACTCCGTCAGCCATGTTCAGATCCCCTAGAGAGTCCCCTAGCAGCAGGACATTGGGCCGAGTCCGGAGCTCCTGGAAGTGGCCCGTGTTGAGCAGCGCACCTTCCCTTTTATTGTAGATGTGAATCAGCTCGCCTTTAAAGGCCCTCAACACCCCCTGTCCAATCAGATGAAGTCATTTAAATCCCTGCTGTTGGTTTGAAGTTAAAGTCAGGTGCGTGACGACTCACAGACTCGTCAAAGTCCATGTAGTTGGAGAAGACGTTGACGTTGGAGTGGAAGACACCAGCTTGTCGGATCACCTCTTCCAGGATGTCTCCGATTCCGGCAGAGAAGATGAGCAAAGGGATGCTGTGCTCATGTAGGTGGTCAAAGAAGAGCGGGTAGCCCTCCCTGTTAAGACACCCCAGCATGTTGTAACTTAAAGCTGTAAGAGTACAACGACACGTCTCGAGACGTTCCCTCACCTCAGCATGGCGTCAGACTCACGCACCGCCTCAGCCAGCTGGTCTTTCCTGATTCTCTGTTCAACTAAGAGATCGTGAGCTTTGGTCCACCTGTGACATGAAGAAACATCTGAAACCACAGACCCCCATCAAATGTATGGACCATAAGCGGTAAATGTCAAATACTCACCACTCCACCATTAACGGCAGCTTCTCCTCCACTGACAGTGATGTGTCGATCTCTATAGGATAATATGTCTTCAGAAGAGTATCGAGCTGGGGAAGAAAGGAGAAGATCATCAAAACTAACTGAACAGGAAATGCTGACATGAGCTCAAAATGTCTTTAAGAGTGAAGCATATTCTTTAATAGACAAGATTATGTTGATTTATAGGACATGCGTTTATAAACAAGTATCAAGATTTTAAAAAAAGACCGTTGATGCATGAAAAATATAATTGAAATCTATCAAAGTCTTACTTTTGCTGACTAATGTTTTCCAGGAAACCACTAGATGGCAGGGCAGGACTTGTTAAGTGTATTTGGCCGAACTTACAAATAGAAATTAAAATTTTTAAGTAAATATGCAGGTTTTTGTTTCAGTAACTGATGTATACATAAATGGAAATGTATTACTCTGTTTATTTAATTGCAAAAACTTGCAATCGATACTGTTAGGATACTTCCTACCTTTTCTCTACATTCAGTGGAGATGGCTTTGCTGTTGTCCAGAATATCTGCAAAAGAAAAGTAGACACGAAAAGTCGTATCAAGCAATAATAAATTAGAATGAAAGCAAACAATAAGGAGAAAATCCACAGGAAAGATAATAAAAGGTGGCATGCAAAATAAAAGCTGCAAATTTCAAATCAAAACAGTTTGACCACAAAAAATGTTGCAACCTCTTCTTCCTCCTCTCCTCCCTATCTTATCCCAAGGCTCTTTGTCTGTCTTTGGGTGCACGGCTGCTTCTGCATTTTTTTCTGGAAACTATTAAAAATGGACCTGGTCAGTTGGTCTCTCAACGCGATTTTTTCAACAATGAGAACGGGAGAAGGGGCTCCCGGATGCCCCTCTGGGACAGATCCAGTTGGGCACATCATGAACTCCTGGAAACAGTGGAACCTGATCTGCCTCTCCCAACTGTCTGTAGAGGATTCTGAAGACGTCTGGATATTCGTGGTGTTGGTGTCGGGTTTCCTGCTCTTTGGCCTAGGAGGCTTCCTGGCTTACCGGAAAATTAACGAGCTGTCGAGGAATATTGGCGCTCACCCCGAGCTCAGGGATGGATTACACCGCTCTGTGAATTCACAGACTCAAATAATTGTCAAGATGAGTCGTAAGCTTGGCACAAATTCATGCGTTGGCACAAAAGATGGATGCCATCAAGGAGCGAGTGGATGAATCAGCACGGATTGGGATAGATTAATTTATGCCTTTATTGGATTTTGAGGGGTTGAGGACCAGCAGAACTCTAAAACAGAGGAAATTATCTTCGTCTGGTCCCAAAACAAGTTCTTATCTGAATCTGGTGCCCTTGAGCCTGTGAGGCTGAAGTGAATACCCCCCTCAGAAGAAATGTGGAATGCTGCCGTCACCATGGCAACTCTGTCTCCCTATCCCGGCCTGGGCGGGACTGCGAGCTGTGAAGGCCGCTGAATCGTTCCAGGAGTCACTGTGCCCTCTAAACCCAACGACCTGCCACCTCTGTCCAGACTGAAGTGAAGAGCGCTGCTTATCGCAGCTGCTGCTGCTGATGTGTGGAGAGTCCCAAAACCCTACCACCCCACCTAGTGGACACTTATGTTATGTTATATCTACATAACTGCTGTTGCATTTCTGTCTGAGGTGTTTTTTTGCAGAGCAAAGTTGCCCTCCAGGTGGAGGGTAACTCTGAAGTGCCTTTTTTTTCCCCTCCACCTGACCCAACCCTCATGTAACCCTCTGATCTCTATTAAGGTAGCACGACTCGGGTTGCGAATGACCACAGTCACCAATTCTTGTCATGTGTCTATGTATGTCTGATCTCAGAATTGTGTGTACTGAAACTCTAATTTCCCTCTGGGATTAATAAAGTATCTTTGATTTTGAATTGAAATGTTATTACTCCACAACTCGGAGCTGATTTGTCATGAAGTGCACTCACTGTGGCAGGTTGGGCAGCGTTTTCCATTGTGAGAAAATCTTGTTAAAGTCATGTCAAAGTCTGAAATCACCTGAGCAGAACAAGGAAATAATGTTCAACACTACCTGTAGGGCGGATTGTGTTTATGAACCGTTTGAGTGGAGGTACCTGCAGGGTGTTGGAGCCAGCCTTTCGGATGGACTGCATGATCTGTTGAACCCGCTGAGGGTCCTTCATACACACAGAAGAGTTGGACAGCTCTGGGACCTGAGCAAACACAAAACCACGAGATGAAAGTAAGTTTAGTAACCGACAAACCAGACTGACTCACTGAAAGATAATCACATCCTTTTCTGAAAATCACAAGCTGGTATCAAAAAAAGCGCCTGCTAAATACATAAACAGGAAAACCTAAAGACAGAACTTCTGTCTTCTTTGATCTAACTGGTTAGCCGCAGTAACTTAGCTTAAAATAGTTTAGCTTGCTAGAAAACTAATTTTTCGTCCTGCAGTCAAGCTTTATGTGTCTGACGTTTTTCTAGGCGTTTACAGAAATGTTTTACCATTTTTGAGGTTCTGCTTTGATGTTAAGTTATTTAGACAAAAACAGATCCTTGAGAAGCCGGTTTGAGCAGGACTAGGCTAAAACGACATGTTGATTACTTCCTGGAGCGTCGGAATTTTTACTAAGCAGATTTTAATTTAGATTAAAATGCTATTTACTCGTGCAACATGTAATTTATTAGATATATGTAATGTATCAAATCGCTCAAATGCAGTAACTTAGTCTGGATTGGTTCATCTGCACGTTCTGTCGCTGGGACACGCCATTTGCTATAATTTTATTCCGAGCCTAAAAATGTAATTGAAAGCACCAGCACGTGGGGACAGTGTGCGCTCTTCCCCGCAAACCAACGCACCGATCATTGGTTCCTCCCTTAGTTGTTTATTTATTGACATTCTTCGTCACAAGAAAAGGTTACTAAACCAGATTATAAATGATACCATTTTAGACTCTTATTTTACAGAAAAATAATTTGCCAGTTCTAATATAATTTTAAAACAATTTAATAAGTTAACAAGCTCTTTTTAAATATTTCAGCCAAGGGTATATACATGTACGGAAAACTTATTAAAATTTGCATGAAGGAAAATTGCTATTTAAAATTCAATTCATGACAGTGGGCAGACTGGATTCAAATTGCTAAATTACAACACACACACACACACACACACACACACACACACACGATTAGAAAAATGCTACACACTACATGTAAAATACTGTTTTAATTTATCATCTTTAAAGAGCCCAGGGATTAAGAATATTTTCTTGATTACATTACATTACTTGATTACATTCTTGATTACAGGATGCTGTGAGGGCTGCCAGAACGGCCTATTTTGCAGACATCATTGAAACAAACTCCAATAATCCTAAGATTCTCTACAAAACACTAAACTCTGTTCTGGTGTATCAGGAGCCTAGCTTAATGTCTCCTACAGCTGCTGGAAACTCTGAAGCTTTTCACAGATTCTTTGTTGATAAAGTGTCAGGCATTAGAGCAGCTATTTCTGGTAACTCTGTTGACCCGGTTCCAGTTCCTCCATCACCACCCACCCTGAGCTCCCTCAATACTGTTTCTTATTCTGAGCTGAGTAAGCTTGTTGCGAGGCAGAAGCCATCTGGCTCTCCACTTGACGTTCTGCCGCCTCGTCTCTGGAAGGCTGCCTTTCCGTGCCTTGGCCCTTCACTTGGTCAGATTATCAATGGGAGCCTCAGCACAGGTGTGGTCCCAGCTGCTTTGAAAGCAGCAGTTATTCGGCCGACCCTGAAGAAACCTGGTGCTGATGTCTCTGTGATCGAAAATTACAGGCCTATCTCTACCCTGCCTTTTACATCAAAACTGCTTGAGAAAGTCGTTTATCAGCAGCTGGTCTCACATTTAGCTGACTCTGATCTGTTTGAGGTTTTCCAATCAGGGTTCAGGTCTGGCCATAGCACAGAGTCAGCTCTACTGAGGGTCCTAAATGACATCTATCTATCACTAGATCAGGGTACATCTGTGGTGCTTCTGTTGTTAGACCTGACAGCAGCCTTCGACACAGTTGACCACGAGATTCTACTGGATCGCTGGAACGATGGGTTGGGATCAAAGGGTCAGCTCTGGATTGGTTTAGATCGTATCTCCACAACAGGACATTCTGTGTTAAGCCAGGCGTACACTGTGCGACTTTTTCACTCGTAGCACTCCGCTTCAGCTCAAACTGTACGACTTCCTCGCAGGGCAGATCTCAAGAGTCATGCGCTCACACTGCACGACCCAGTTCTCGCATGCAACCTGACTGCTCACACTGTACGTCTGGTAGCAACACGTCGGCCCTAAAAATATGCTAAAAATAGCAGTTTTTACTCAACACGTCAGACTTTTTTGTCTTGTCTTGCCTGTTGTCCTTCGGGAGTGCTGCAGTAGGACACACAGGGATTTATGGTGGTTGGATGAGGAAAACGAAATAAAGAAAGTAAATCTGTGTTTTGTGATCAGTTTAATTTGACATGAACACGACAAACACGCTTTCTTGACAATCCTTGTGAGTAAAAAAAACGTGTAGAAACAAAAACGAACAGCGTTTGTTATTAGGGAAATTGTGAGCGGCGTTGATGCAGGATTGCGCATGTGCCGTGAGCGGTTCTGATACTTTTTGGGTCGCAGCTGCTCGCAGCGATACCCTCACGAGGGACGAGCGGAAATTTAAACACGCCAGAAGTCCGTGCGACCTCACGACTGCTGATCGGCAGCTGGTCAGTTGGTGTTAATCGCCTCTCGTAACCCCCTGTACACTACACGACGCTCGGCGCAAAACTCGCCCCGATGTCGTGGATTCTCGCACGACTGGAAAATCGGCTCAAAAAAGTGAAAAAGTCGCACAGTGTACGCCCGACTTTAAACTGGGTGATGTTTATTCTTCATGGGAGGGGCTCCGCTGGGGGGTCCCGCAGGGGTCGATCCTTGGTCCTCTTTTGTTTGCCATTTATCTGCTACCTCTGGGGTCAATCTTTCGTAAACATGGCCTATCATTCCATCTCTATGCTGACGATTGCCAGATTTACTCTCCATTGTGTCAGGAGGAAGGTCACTCTATTCAGTCCTTTGTCTCCTGTGTTAATGAGGTGAAATCTTGGCTAATGGCCAACGTTCTGCATCTGAATGAGGGAAAGACAGAGCTCATTGTTTTTCACCCCAACAGCAGGAATGTGGATCATTATGTTGATCTTGGGCCTCTTTCTCCATACTCAAAACCAGCTGTGACCAGTTTGGGTGTGAAACTTGATGCAGGACTTAAATTTGATGCTCACATCAATTCTGTGATCCGGTCCAGTTTCTTTCACCTGAGACGCCTTGCAAAAATCAAGCATATGCTGCAAGAGCCCACCTGGAGCGGGTAGTACATGCTTTTGTAATTTCTAGGCTTGATTACTGCAACTCTCTATATGCAGGGTTGTGTCAGTCATCACTGCGTCGTCTACAGGTTGTGCAGAAAAGCGCAGCCAGGTTCCTGACTGGGACCAGGAAACGGGACCACATCAGTCCGGTTCTGGCCTCCCTGCACTGGCTTCCGGTTCGCTATCGTTCACACTTCAGACTCCTCGTCTTTGTTTTTAATTTCTTCCAGGGTGGTGCTCCCCCCCATCTGGCCACTCTCCTGAACAGACATTCCCCATCACGCGCTCTGCGCTCCTCTGACCAAGACCTGCTCGCTGTCCCTCGTTCTAGGTGTCGTACTCGCGGGGACCGGGCTTTCTCAGTCCTAGCACCGTCACTATGGAACCAGTTGCCACTCTCAGTTAGGCTGTCCCCATCTCTGCCAGTCTTCAAGAGCCACCTAAAAACACACCTCCTCCGCTTGGCGTTTCCTGAACAGTACTGTACAGTATTCAGCGCCTTGGGCTTCCTGACAGGGTTGCGGAAGGCGCTTTATAAATAAAGCTTTCATTTGATTTTACATTACAAATTCACACATTAAATAATCAAACTATCAAAATTATTTAAATCAGCAGCAGTTAAACAATATTACCTGAGATAATCAACATTTTGACACAAGGAAGATTTTCTTCTCCAGTTTAAGAGACACGTTCCTTGACACTCAGTTGGTTCTAACGTGTAATTTTATTGTCACTGAAACAGCATCTGTTTAAAAGTGAATGAATAAATTTAAGCTTTGTTGTAGAACACATAAATGTGTATTTTGCACATGCATGAGCTGAAGTCCAATAAAATAACAACGCATGAATTATTTTACAAAACATCTTTATTTGCAAATGAGTTTATTATTTCATACATCCATTATAAGGACAAAATGTCCGACTACCACATGCAAAGCAAACACATAGCTTATTTCAGTTAATATTTGCAGTGCCATGTTGGTCATGAAGTGGAAATGAATATCATTTCTGCTCTGTAACCTCGCAAAGCCCTGAATATCACAACAACCCTCTTCTTTTTGTTTTGCCTGCAATCACGATTCCTTTCCATTCCATCTCTGAGTATTTGGCCGACAACAAATCAATATCGCATCTCCCACTGGAGGTGAAATACAATAAATCAGGGTTTTTCCAAGGCGTTAAGGATAGAAACAACTCGACCGATACTGAAAACACGTTTGTTCAAAGCTGCTGGAATCTGGAGTTCTAAAAGAAAACAACAAACAAATCCTTTCCCCAAATACAATCACCTTGTCTGATATGACACAAATAAAATAAGTGAAATCAAAGTGCAGCGGCGGCGACTTCGTGCCTCTTTAAGACTTCTCAAAGATGTTAAAAAGTGCAGCTCCAGGAAAACGTCCACCACTCTTTGCTGATAATCCTGCGCAAACGTGACTCCTAAGCACTCCTGCAGTCACTCATATAAACATTTTCCTTCCTCAAAAAGGAATGCGTCGACAAAGACTTAAAGTGCAAAAAGCAAAGGAATGATCGAGCCATTGTCACTGGTTTAATGCAGTGGCAGAATATTTAGATCGCTTCAGAAAACCGTTCTCTTAGAAACCCGGCGGAGGAAACCACACGAACAAAAACCCGCCACAGCGGTTATTATGACTAGTCTAGAACAGGATTACACCGTGAACGTCTACGGAGATGCTGAGGCTAACAAAGGAACACGCAGAGTTTAATAGTGCGGTTATAGTTTACGTTTTTTTTAAACCAGCATTACATTTCCATGAAGGGATTATCACAGTGTTACAATGGAATGATGAGACTTCATTAGGAATGCTGTCATCACATTTTCTCACCAGTACAGGCATCCATACCAATGGAATGTAAAATATCCGTAGAAATGTGCACATATACAGCTTTATACGTACAAATAAACAGCATCTGTATCAACATCAATGGCTAAAGTAGTTTTTGGCTGCTGTATAACACTCTTATTCACATGTTTACATCCATCCTCCACAGGCTGTACACACCTGCCCACGTGTTTCATGGCTTTTCACGAGTCAGTGATTAACAGAACGCAGCGCGCTTTCGATGAATTGACTCCACAGCATGGGCAACGCGCTGCTTACATACGCACAGGCTGCGGTGAGATGGCGCTGAGCGGGGAAATCTTCGGACAGAGCTGCATGATCAGTGAACGGAGCAGAAGACGACCTGTTCAGCACTCAATCTGCGACTGGAGCTGTCGGCGCAGGGTGAGCGTGCGCCTGTGGAGCTGCTGCATCTGCTGCATGCGATCTCTCTGGCGAGCTAGGTTCTGGGGCATGGGATACCGTTGATAGCCGTACAGGAAGCGGTAGGGAATGCGCACGTGGCAGGCCGTTGCACGACAGCGGGGCTGTGGCATGGGCGGCAGCAGCATCCAGCGCTTCCTCTCGGCGCAGTACCGATAGGCTTCCTTGCGGTACTGCTTGTCCACATCGTCGCTGTTCTTCCAGCCGCCGATGATGAACACGTCCTCGTCAAAGTAGCAGATGGCTGCGCCCTCGATGCTGGTGACCTCTGGGGGCAGGCTCTCCAGGATCTCATCTGAGATTCGAACACTGATTTTCTGCCTGGCAACCTCATCCCGCACCGTGTAACTCTTCGGGCAGCAGGAAGCCGTATGGTAGAAGTTAGTCGACGCCACCGCCATTTGGAAGATGCAGTAGTTGTCGATGAGTGGCAGCGAGTCGACATCCTGCCACTGGCGGCTCTCCGTGTCGAAGCGGGTGGTCACCGTCTTTAGTCCATCCTCATTATCCGTATCGACAGGCGTGCGTGCCGTGACGTAGACGTAACGATCCTCCACACTCACCGCCTTCACGTCCCGCAGGATCTTGGGAGCCGATTCCAGATTGTGCCACTTGTCCTGCTCCGGCTCGTACACACTCACATCTTTGAAACCCGGACTGAAGTTGCCATGACCACCGATACTGTACAAGATATCCTTAATGCAGGTTAGGCCGAACGAGTGCTTCCGCGTGGTCAGGTTGCTGACCTGCTCCCATGTGTTGCGATTTGGGTTGTAGCGCTCCACGGTCTTAGCAAAGCCCGGTTCCATGGAACCAGCTACATAGACGTGGGACTCTGTGGTGGCAATGGCGTGGCCGTCCAGGTGATTGTGGATGTGAGGTAGGTTGACCCAGCGATCCTCGTAAATGAAGTAACCCACGCACTCACTCAGGTAGTCCCCTCCCTCGGAAACACCACCCACCACCATGATGACGTCCATGTTCTGCCCAAAGCGTGGCTGATAGGACATGTGTGAAGACCAGAACTCCATATCCAACGACTTGAGATTCTCAAAGCGAATAGCGTGGCCCTCTACTGCGTCTGACACCAGGCGGAGACACACCTCGTTGGACGCCACCAGCCGTTCATTTTTAACCACCCTGGCCAGATAGGTGGGCATAATCTGGGGCAGCCTGAGGAGGCGAAACAGCTCCTCGAAGTAGCGGCTCCGCTCCTCCGGGTTCTTTTGCACCCACTTCAGTACGGCCTCGAACAGCACCTCCTCTGAATCCACTGTGATCTCTGCGTCCGACAGCCAGTCCCGGACCAGGTGGAAGGGCAGTGTGTAGAACTCTTCATCCTGGATGACCTTGTGGAAGTTACGCCGAATCATGTCTGCAGCGCGTAGAGCCAGCTGGTCCAGCGTGTACATGTGAGCGAGGCTGTGAACGGCCACGCAGTTGGTCAGGCTCAGCTTCTTCTTCAGGAACTCTCCACAGAAATCTTTCAGCTGCAGCAGCAGGAACCTGACACCACAGAAAACACACCAGAAATCACAACTGCTGCTGCTGACTTCAATACAGCGGCTCGACTTGTTTTCTACACACCGTGCACCAAACCAAGAGCTACAAAAAGCCTCGTGCACGTTTTCTCTCCTTAGTATTAAATTACCTGTCTGCCAGCTCCAGTACTTCATGCACGTTGCAGGTGCTGACGCGGATTTCTCCTGTGTACATGTACTGGATGACACTCTCCACCGTCTCCGGGTCAGGCCCCAGCTCTGAGCTCCACTCCTTCATCTCCACCCGTCCGGACAGGGACTCGGAGAACTGTCCTCCCAGCAGCGGGGTGAAATAATCGGTGGCAGCAGCCAGAACAGACCTGTGGGCTGAAAACTCGCAGCTCTGGACGCTCCCGGTAGCCGCCCTGCTGCTGAAGGCCAGCGTTACGTCGCAAAACAGACCCTGCTTCCTCTGCTCGTTCTGCCGTCGAGACAGCTCCGAGCAGTGGGAGGAGGAGGTGAAGTCCTCGGCCTCTTCCGCGTCTCCGTCTCCAGCTAGCGCGCTAGGCGTGCTGCCGCCGCCGCTCCTGGTGTTGTCCTCCGGGTTGGGGGCCGCCGCTGCCATTCTGCTGCCCGCGCTGGAGGTGAGCGGAGGTGGGAGATGAAGTAAACTAGCAAGGGAAAGGAGGCGACATACGCAGCCACACATACATCCAGGAGGGGAACGACGGAGAGGCGTAGTGATTACGTCACATCCGTGATTTCAAATAAATTAGAAATGAGCTACAATCGGTGCTTGACTTGTTACGTCTAACTCCATGTAGCACCGCCAGTGTTCCTCTGATGGTTGGTTCGCAGTCACGATCCTTACTAGCCTAGTGAACTAGACCAAATTCTTGCTTTGCCAGACTAAATAATACATTTATTTAGTCTGGCTTGCCAGGCTAAATCCTTACTAAGCAACTTTACATCATGAACAGGGGCGCAGATAGGATTTTCTATCTGGGGGGGGGGGGACAGATCCCCCCCGTCCCCCTATCTGCGTGCTTGATTATGAACACAACTTAAAGACCCACTCTGATGAAAATCGTGTTTTTTCTGTTTTTAACATATTCTTGAGGCTTTACGCAACAGGAGACTTCTAAAGAAATTTAAGCTCAAAATTGCATTTCTGAGTTCAAATCACTGTGAATCAGCAGCAGATGAATACATACAGTGGGTGGAGCACAAACTCCACTGCGCTCAGCTCCAGCCTGGATTCCAGCCCTGGTCCCCTGCATGTAAGCTGTGTGCTTTACCAGACTGGTACCCCAGTCTTCCACGCCAACAGCTCCGCCCACAACCCAGGGGTGAATTTTTAATGAGCCACTGCCACTATGTAGAAACTAAGTACTAGAAAACAGCACACGTTTTGTGATTTAGGCTAAAAACAGCATAATCATAGTTTAAAGACACTATTTAACAGCTAAAAATATTATTAGAGTGGGTCTTTAAGTGCTACAGAAACACATATCATGCCTTTAGAAACTGAAATTATGTATTACGTTTAACCTTTAGCCTTATTTTTTAATCATTAATGGGTTATCTTACTAAAACTTTTAATCTTTGACCATCTCTAGTGCTATTCTTATATATTAACCTTTAACCTTTTATTGTAACATATAATAAAAACCAACATATTGCACATCTCTGATTTTGCAATGAACCTTGTAAAGTTTGTAAATGATAAATGACAAATAACCCGCACTTGTATAGTGCCTCTCACGGTAAGGACTCCAAAGTGCTTTACACTACAGTGCATCATTCATCCATTCACACACACATTCACACACTGATGGTGATGGGCTACGATGTAGCCACAGCTGCCCTGGGGCGCACTGACAGAGGCAAGGCTGTAGTACGTGAGCGCCGTCTAGTGGATGAAAACAAAACCGCTACATTCTGTAACTGCAGCATACAAAATCTACAATGGTAGCAGAAGTAATTGATTTTATTTTAGTTACGTTAAAGTACTCATAAAGGGGTTTAAAAATAATTGAATAAAAGTGAAAGTATCCAAGCAGTTTCTGACTTAAAGAGATACTGTGCAACTTTTTCATATTTGTAAATCATTTTCTTGAGCCAGTATGCTAGACACTGATGAAATGCCACTCAGACCCCTACTGCCCTCTGTGGCAAGAATATGCCACTTGCAATGTCAGAGTGGCAGGCATCTGTTGGACTTGGAGCTGGCATGCTGACATGCCAGGCGCTACAGTCTGCTTCCAGCAAGTTTTCTGCATGCTTTAGATCATGAACACAGCTGATTTGTTTTATTTAGAGATCAATCACTTATGTAGACACTAATGAAGGCTGGGGAGACATTTCAGTTGTTAGAATAAGGTGTTAAAATGACCAACATGCAGCAGTTTAACCACAAATAATTAATAATGGATACTGGAGGGTGTTAAAGGCAAGCAAAACAGAAAAGTGCCTTTAAAAGTAAAATGTAAGAGCATTCAATTAACATTTCATATGACTTGTGTGTGTAGAAGTGTGCTGTTATACTAGGGCACAGGTCGGCAACCTGCGCATCAAAGAGCCATTATTACCTGTTTCCCACAGTAAAGAAGACACTGGGAGCCACAGCAGAGAACTGCTTTAACCAATCACAACAGGTGACAGCAGCCAATACCGGTCGCTCGTGTACGTCAGATTTATCTTTCAACAGAAGATAATCAATAAAACGATTTGTATAAAATGGATCCGGAAGTTGTAGCCCGTCTCTGCCTTTTGCTATTTTTCACCCTGTTGGTGTTTTTACTGAGCAGGTGCCACTTTTGTCTTACGTTTCTTTTTAAAACATGTTTAGACTGTTCAGAATACAAATCCAGGCTCTGTCACGTTTGATTGTTGTAATTAAACTTTGTAGGTGGGGAAGGTCAGAAAAGGATCCTCATTTACAGTGACGGAGATAACGACGCAGTGCGCCTGGCTCTGGTGTTGATCAAGTTTAATTTTATCTCTTTGCAACAATTTTCACAAGAAATCAAAACAAGGCAGGGCTTGTGTTGACCGGACAGTTCCCGTATTTGACCGTTTATTTTGACGGAGAAAGAATAGAAAGAATTACACCGACGCATGCAGACGAACTGACATTTTATTCTACGCACATTGCAGATGTAGCTAAATCACTCAAGAAAAGATTCCCATCTGAACATCTGAGCTGGACACTGCTCAGCGCAGCTCACTGTCAGCTCGTACATAAGGTCCACAGCGAGCTGAAGATGTGGAGAGGGGCTTGGAGCGCGTCGCCAGGGGCGGCGTTAGGCCCGGCTACTTGGGCTCAAGCCCCGGATGTTTTATGGAAAGCCCCGGATCTAAATCGTGGAAGTAACATGCAGTACCAGAGTCCAACAGAGAGGGAGCAGCTGGCAGTAGTTTGTATACAGCCTGCCTGAGCCTCCACCACTGAAGAAGAAGCCCTTCAGCAGCCGGCTTCTTCTACACTCTCTGCCTGAAACACATGAGTGAAGATGGACATAAGGACGTTTTTTTAGACCAAAAGTACAACGACAGAACCCCAGCTTTGATGAGACTGGTGTTGACTCAGGTTTGTGAGTCTTATTTGAAAATATTTGTTGTGCTGCTGGTTTGCCTAAAGTTAGCTTATCAGGTAAAGTTGTTGGAGAAAGAAAGGGAATATTTACTATCATCTCACACTAAACACTAACAGGAACAATACTCTGCCCTGAATATGCTTAATATGTAGCTTCAGATTAAAAATTATGTGGTACAAGACATATATGATGTTGACTAGTGCGTGTCACGTGTGTGTGCGCGCGCGCATGTGTGTTAAGCCCCGGATCTTCTTCAGTCCTAAATCCGCCCCTGCGCGTCGCAGAACCAGAGCGCATGCAGGAAGGTTCCTCCCACTGAAGCGAGCGTTTTCCAAACCCAGTCTCTCAGAGAGATTTGTCACTTAGAAAATGTTCCCTGATTATGAAACATTGGCTGAATAGCGCTTGTTCCTATCTCCAATGTGGCGACACATCCATGAGCCGTCTGAGAAAAAGCCCAGAATCTCACATTCTCTTCAGCTTAGAAAGCTCCTATGATTACGCACAAGCGTGATCCGTCAACCCGGTCTCACAGTAAGACCGGGTTGGACCTGTTCAGGTTTATGCAGACAATCTTTACATAAAATTGACATACAGATATAAAATTAATTCAGTAAAATATAAAGCATTTTATTTAAATATCCATTCATTATTTTACAAGCACAGAGAGCCGCATCAGATGGATGGAAGAGCCGCATGCTGCTCCAGAGCCGCGGGTTGCCGACCTCTGTGTAAGTACTATCATCTTTGGAACTACACATTCTGCCCACAAGGGTGCATCAACTCCACAAGTACCAACACTCGTCATGTTAGAGTCCCCCTGCACACACACACACACACACACACACACACACACACACACACACACACACACACACACACACACACACACACACACACACACACACACACACACACACACACACACACACACACACAGATTCTAATTGGATTCAATTCAGTTTATGACAAGAGTCGTCTCAAAGCACTTCACACAGTAAACATTCCAGTACAGGTCAGTTCATTAAGCCAATCAGTAAAAAGTTTCCTAAATAAAGAACTCAGCAGGTTGCGTCGAGTCACTGCCTAGTGTCAGAGTCTTTACAGCAATCCTCATACTAAGCTTGTAGAGAGGAACCTTTTAACAGGAAGAAACCTCCAGAGGATCCTGGATCAGTATAAGCAGCCATCCACCACGACTCAATGGGGTCTTTTGCACCTAAGGCGGTCAGCAATGAGGGGAGGAGGCTCAGAGGTGAACCTGGTTTTCGTTGCTGGATGTCTCCTGGCTCTTAGGATGATGTTTGGCATGCTCATCTACAGATCCAAAAGGTCCTCAGAGTAGAGCTGGAAAATGCTTAAAGGATGTAAATTCAACTTGTCTTCTTTTAAATAACTTTGATGGAGACTGAGGATGGAGATGAACTACAGCGAGTAATCAAGACTAGCAGCTCTCAAAGTATTTTCAGATTTGAAGCTAACGCGTTTTACGGGGTAAGATTAACGTTCATATACTTCATGTGGACCAACAATAGGCCAGGAAGGGGCCCCGTATGTGGTCAAACCAGGCCCCCACAATCACCCCTCACCACTAGGCAAAGGTGTGAACTTGGGTCACATGACTTGGACTCGAGTCAGACTCGAGTCATTTTTTGAATGACTTTGACTTGACTTGATAAAATCTATAAAGACTTACGACTTGACTCGGACTTGAACGTCAATGACTTGCGACTTGAATCGACTTGCATCTGTTGACTTGGTGCTAGCTTGAGCATATTTGGTATTTCAGCACAAAAGTGGCACGGCATGGACAAAAATCATAAATCGTTCTTCGTTCTGGGTTAGATATTGTTCTGCAGCAGCACTTTGTTTATAATCAGCTTCAGTTTCGGCTTGTTTGAGCAAATAAATGAAGCTTTAAGAAGCTTTTATTCTGAAATTTATTTATTATCATCATCATTAAACTGAAGTTGGACAGATGACTTGATTATGACTTGAAACTTCAAAGTTGAGGACTTGGACTTGACTTGGACTTCCACATCATTGACTTTGGACTCGACTTGGACTTGACTCGAGACTTGACTGGAAAGACTTGTGACTTACTTGTGACTTG